GGGGGGGGGGGGGTATGGGGGATTCCCAGCACACATGCATGTGGGGGGATGGGAATTGCAGACCATGTGCTGCACAGCCGCTGCTCACCGCTGCTTCAGCGCCGCACGCTGCAGCTGCCGCTCCTTCTTGTTGCGCGCAATCTCCTTGGCGCGTTCGGCCTTCCTGCAGGGGCCCACAGCCGGTCGGGTGGCAGAGAGCTACACAGGAGCAGAGGCCACTGCATTACAGCGCACCGGTGGGCATCCGCCGGGTTGATCTCCCGCCCTGCCTTCTTCTTCACCATGGTGCCTGCTGCCGCTGCTGCCCAGGGAGGAACGACGCTCGGCGACGGGCACGCCGCCTGCGCTCAGGGCGGCGGCGGCGGCTGGGTCCTCCTGCCGCGCAGGGCTCGCAGGCTGCGCGGCGCTGTCAAGCGCACAGGGCCAGCGCTCGTCTCCGTAAGGGACGGGCAGGGATTTGGAAGCGTCCGTTAACGTGCACTTTCAGAGGTCCCGGTGTGGAATAGCTGTCATGTCAGGGCCCATTGCGTGGAAGGGGAGAACATTTGCGAGTCCGCGACCGCGCGGTACGCATGCTGTACTGCAGTTTGCAGTTAATGATGAGAGCTCCCTAATACTTCTCAAGCTTTGGCTGCTCTCTTTTGCTGAGCGGCGGCCTGTCTCACGGCCGGCAGCGACCCGTCAAGTTTGAACGTCTTCGTTTGGCTTTTTTTCCTTGGTGGCTTTTCCCCAGGCTACAGTGTGCACACAAAGTCCGTCTTCAGCGGCAGCCACATTCGTCTTCTGCCGGCTGCGGCCGCAGGCAACAACTGGCAGTGCGCTCCGCTGCCTAGCGCGCTCAGAGCGGCCACAAGGCAGGAAGCGTCCGCTGCTTCCTTGCATGAGCTGCGGTCCAGGGTACCAGTGCTGGCGGCGGCCCGCTCCGCTCTGCTGCCGCTCGCTCCCAGCGTGTCTTCTTGGCCCTTTGCTGTCCATCTGTGCAGATTGGAACATCAAACTGTGCCAGCAGCACCCCATCTCGCCAGTCATGACCTACACCACGGTGCAGTGGCTAGAAGCCGCCGGCCTGTCCTCGGACACCGTCAAGCGAGTGGAACGGCTGTCGCTGCATGAACTGCGGCAACTGATGATCAGCGACTATGAGAGATTTGGAATTCTTGACATGGGGGAAAAGCAGCGGCTCTTCAGGGCACTGCAGACTAGCCACAGCACGCCACTCATCTCACAGCTGAGTCCACTGGCTGCCAGCGAAGAGGATGCGGTGCAACTGGTTGACCTTGACGATGATGACTTCTTGACACAGGTGTGGCTGCTGCTGTGCTGGCCACTGCTCCTCAGGGAGCCAGCCTGCAGCAGCAGTATGCCGGCAGCTGAGCGTGATTTCACGCTGCCCCTGCCTGCCCACTTGCTCGATGGACCCCAGGACCTGGATCTGGAGGGCTTCTCAGACCAGGCATTCATGTTGTCGCCTGCACCGTCGGCACCTGATGTGGCAGGTGGGCGCTGCGTGACAATGGCGTGGGGCTACAGCGGAGCCGTGCCAATTGATGCTTCCTGCCATTCCACTTGCAGGCGCAGTGAGCGCGGGGGCACCACTACTGCTGGCGTCGCTGGCAGACGCCCCCAAGATTCGTGTGATTGTGCGTAAGCGACCGCTCAATAAAAAGGTGTGCTGGTAGGCCTGCCGCGGTTCGGCAAGGGCAACCAAGTCAGAGAGGCCCTCCTTCCATGACCCACTTCTGCAGGAGCTGGAGCGGAACGAGGCGGATGTGCTGGAGTGCGATGCACAGGCCAGTTGCCTTTACGTAAACGAGCCCAAGGTCAAAGTGGACCTCACCAAGTACACCGAGCGGCATACATTTAGGCAAGCTCCAGAATGCAGAGTGACGGCGCGAACACCCTGCCTAGCACTGCTTGCCTTTACCCTCATTGCAACCGCAGCAGCGGCCAGGGCAGGGCAGCAACTTAAAGCCAGGACTTGCTCCCAGATGCCTTGCAGGTTTGACGACGTGTTTGATGAGCAGGTGGACAATAGCCAGCTCTATGAGCAGGCGGTGCAGCCATTAGTGGGCACCATCTTCAGGTATGCTTGCTGACAGCTGCTTAATTGGAGCAGGCCATCATCAGCAGCTCAAGTCGAATTGCATGCAAGGCATGCATTCAGGGCCCACTCCAGCAGTAGTATACCCACACATCGTGCTGCCGTGCAGGGGCGGCAAAGGCACATGCTTTGCATATGGGCAGACGGGCAGTGGCAAGACATTCACCATGTCGCCGCTGCCGCTGCGTGCCGCGGCAGACATTTTCAGCATCGTGGCGCAGCCCAGCTACAGCGGCCTGGCCCTGCATGTCAGGTGAGCGTGTCCGATTGCCTGTCGTTGGCTTGCAGCTGCACGGCACAGCACACTGAGGCGCTGTGCTGGGTCAATCGACCCTCCTGCGGTCTCTTTGTTGCGGCCCTGCAGCTGCTACGAGATTTATGGCGGCAAAGTCTTTGACCTGCTGAATGGGCGCAAAAAACTGGAGGTCCGGGAGGACGGGCGCAGGCGTGTGCAGGTAAGGCACTGTTTTGCCTGCTTCTCGCTGCTTGACTGCCGCCGGATTTCAGGGGGTGCCGGAATTGGTGGCAAGGGTTTCCCCGCACTGCACTGTCCCCTCGTTGCAGGTTGTGGGGTTGCGCGAGGTGGGCGTTGGCAGCTTGGTGGTGCTGCAACAGCTGTGCGACCACTCAGCTGCAGCACGAAGCACAGGCAGCACTGGGGCCAATGACGAGTCATCCCGGTGAGCGATTGCTGTGTTGACAAGTGGAGGAATACCGCTAGTATGAGCAGCCGCAGCGCAGTGTGGGCGACATTTGCATCTTACGTGCATCCTCCCAGTGTTGTGCAGCTCCCACTCCATCCTGTGCTTTGCTCTGCGCACCACTGGCGAGCCTCAAAAGATTGTGGGCAAGCTGTCCTTCATCGACCTGGCTGGCAGCGAGCGTGGTGCAGGTGCTGCTGCGCAAGCTGTTTCGATGAGTAGTTTAAATGAGTTGACACATCCTCACTTGCCTGGAATGTACAATGACGTGCAGACACATACGACAACGACAAACAGACTCGGCTGGAGGGTGCTGAGATCAATAAGAGTCTGCTTGCGCTCAAGGAATGCATTCGCGCCCTGGATGCAGATGCCAGGTAATCATGGTTCAGCTGCGCCCCCCCCCCCCCCCCCCCCCTCCCCCGGTCGTGAGTTGTGCATTGACAAGTGGGTATTGTAACCAGGTGTGATTTCAACTACTCAACTACTTCCAGTTGCGAGCGTCCATCATGAATTCAACTACTCCCAGTTGCGAGCGTCCATCATGAATGGGGCCCTGAGACTCGTCGACAAATGCTTCCTGGCTGCTGCTGCAGGCACATCCCCTTTCGTGGCAGCAAGCTAACCGAGGTCTTGAGGGATAGTTTTGTTGGTGGGTGCAGTTGTATTATTTGCGGGGCTGGTCCACCGTCTTCATTCATTTGCATCAACCTTGGTGCGGTTGCTGCAGGAAAGAATGCACGCACCGTGATGATTGCCAATGTGAGCCCAAACAGCGGTAGTTGCGAGCACACCCTGAATACGCTGCGGTATGCAGATCGGGTGAAAGGTAAGGCGAGGCGCCGGATTGCTTGATGTGCCAACTGCAGTATTCACAGCTGCTCAGATTCCCATTTGCGGTTTGTTGCATGCAGAGATTCGCAAGCCTGGCAGTGCGTCTGGCAATGGAGGAGTCTGCCCCCAGGGCAATGGGGTTAGCGTAGATGCAGCTCCTCGACAGGTGCCAGTACAGGCGCCTGCTCCAGTGCCAGCGCCGCCGGAGGTGATTGAGCAGGCGGCCGGCTCAGTCCTGGATGTGCCACAACTGAACACCAGGGCCAGCTCCGTGCCCAGCAGCCGACCCACCAGCCGCCACCCCAGCAAGCGGGACGGCAGCGGCATCCCTGCTGGCCCGGTGGCGGCCGCGGCTGCGGCTGTGCCAGCACCTAGCCCACCGGCACCTGCATGTAGTAGCTACCAGCAACACGCAGCACCAGCCACCTCCACCTGGCAGCATGCAGGCCAGGTGGCTGCGAGGCGGCAGCCAGGCGGTCCAACTGCTCAGCTGCGCCAACCACAAGGGTGGGACGCGGCAACAGCTTCCAGCAGTTCAGGTGCGGGCATTTGCACATCAAATTGCACATCAAATTGCTGTCCATTGCAGCATGTTCCTCGCCAGCGGAAGGCTTGATCATCAAATTACAGGGTGATTGCACATCATCTTATGGTGCAGGGGATGACATGGTGGGTTCCATCATGGCGGCTGAGGATGGTCTCATCACAGCGCACAGGCGCGCATGCTGGAGTTGACCGATACTGCAAAATGGGTGCTCATTTGTTTGTTGATTAATCTGCCGCAGCGCCCTGGTCAAACACTGCCATGCCACTTGACTTGTGTGCAGGCAGCACATCGAGGAATGCATGGCTGCGGTTCGCGAGGAGATGAACTTGCTGGCTAACCTGGATGGCAGCATCGGTGGCGGTAAGTGCAGTTTGCACAACGGAAAGGCCCTTGGCCTTCAGCGGTGCAAGAAAGACTGCAGCTGAGCCTCCTAACCTGTGCCCCTCTTGCAGGCGACATTGAGCGATACTGCAGCGACCTTTCGGCGCTGCTGGCGCAGAAACAAGCATCGCTTTCACAGCTGCAGCTGCGCCTGCACGCCTTTCAGTGAGTGCCCAGCTGGTGTTGTCCATGAGCTACTCCTCCAACCCTGTCCTTGCTGTTTGGGACGGCTGCCACTCGCCCCACCTGCCCACTGCCTTCTTGATGCAGGCAGCTGCTGCGCAGCGCAATGCAGCTAGGCAATGGCAGAAAGGCTGCGGCCTGCAAATTATGAACTGAATCCTGTCGCATGGCGCAGTTCTGTTGGCTCGCTCCTCCGCAACATCCAGCACGCTGTGAAAAGGCACTCAGCACTTGCGCCGCGCTGAGATGGGTTCTGTTGACGGCGTTGCTGGCAACCCTCTTGTGATGCCTTGCTCATCCTGCCTCCAAAGCAGTCCATTACACGTCCCTGGCAGCAAGCAACATGACCATCGTGAACGAAGGCCTGTGTGGCCTTGTTAATCCGCTGAATGGGTCTACTCCTTGGTTGCCCTCGTATAAATCGACTGCGCCCGGCTCTTGGAAACCTCCTTGATGAGCCCCTTGCCCACCAGCTCCTTGATGGCCGCGCGTGCAAGGCTGCCATTGATCTGCATGCAGCGCACATGGTCGGCTTAACAAAAGAACCTAGTAGGCCGCCCAGAGGCCCGGCCAAACAGCTGCCAAGCGGCACGGACGTGGCGCTCCTCGCAGGATTGTAGCACATGTGCAGCATGCCCGCACCCGCAGGCGGTCTGAGAGCACCGAAGGAGTGATCATCTTGTACTTGGGCACCTCTGAAAGCAGCTTCTCGTAGGTGGCCTGCAGGACAGTCGATGCAGGTACACGCTGAGCAAGCATGTGGCATCATACTGCGCAATGGGCAACGACAGCGCTGTCCGCTCCTTGGTCCACACGATCCTGTTCTCATCGAAAGCCCCCAAAATTGGCTTCAGTGCAGCGCTGTGGCTGCTACCGCTGCTGCTCTTGCTGTGCTGGCAAAACTGCCTGCTGCGACTCACAGCATCAAACAAAACCATGTTGTTGCTCTTCTCCTTCAGCTTGCCCTTGGACCATTTCTGCAGGAATTTCCAAGTCGAGAACACATGGAGACGCTCCCCAACAAACTCGCGCCAAGCTCGGGCCGGGTGGCACTGCCATCAACCGACGCACCTTCTTCTTGCCCTTGCTAGAGTTGGCAGCCGCCAAGGCCTTGGCCTCCTTGGACTTTTGCTCCTTCGGGGCCTGCAACAGCGAAGTAGCCAGCACTGGTGCGATCCTTCAGAGCGGCGGGTGGTGGCAGCCCAGCGGAGGAATGGGGGGCACCCAGCCTGGCGCCCGAAGCGCCCGCCTGACAGCACCCCCTCTCCACGCCCCCGGAAAACGACCAGAGCGACAGCCACAGGGTCGTGGTGAGCCTGAGCCCCATTGCATGACTCCTCAGCAGCCCCCAAGGCCGCTTCGCATGCCACCAGCTATCCATGCCAACCAGAGCCCCCCACCCCCCCGCCCGGAGTGCCCGCGAGTGACCCAGCAGCAGTGACTCTGTTAGCTCCCCCAGCAGCGACATGGCACAACGGCAGAGGGCAGCGGCAACACGCACCATTTCGCCAAACGGAAAGAGGCGGAGGCAGCGGGGTGGGGCGCCCAAGAGACCCGCCAGGGACTACGGGTGCATGCGTTGCGCAACGATTGAGGCTGGTCCAGACCTGCTTGCCCCCTTTTCGAGGTAGCCTCTGGAGCCAAACGGTAGGCTTGTTGCGAGGGTGGCAGTCCCCCATTTGCATACTTGCATGGCCGGCCCTCTCCGCCACCGCTGCTGGCCGCGTGCAGCAAGGTCCATCTCTGCGTCCCCTGCGTCGATGCCGCCTGCAGGCTGAGAAGGAGGTCGCAACCCATCACCATGGTCGCCGCCAAGAAGACCAAGAAGGCTCAGGAGAGCATCAACTCGCGCCTGGCGCTGGTGATGAAGTCGGGCAAGTACACCCTGGGCTACAAGACCACACTGAAGACGCTGCGCAGCGGCAAGGTGGGCGGCATGGCGGGGGCAGGGGCGGAGCGGAAGGCGCTCAGAGATGCCCCTGCATTGCTGCAGCTTGTATGTGCACGTGCAGTGAACTCGCAGGCTGTCTGCCCTGTTCACTGTGCTGGCCGCCTGATGCAGCAGTGGCGGAGCTGCCCGCCAGGCTGCTCACCGCTCCACACCTTCCCGCCCCCGCAGGCCAAGCTGGTGATCATCTCCAACAACTGCCCCTCCGTGCGCAAGTCGGAGATCGAGTACTACGCCATGCTGTCCAAGACTGGCGTGCACCACTACAGTGGCAACAACGTGGACCTCGGTACCGCCTGCGGCAAGCTGCACCGTGTGAGCGTGCTCACGATCACTGATGCAGGTGACTCTGATATCGTCACCATGTAGACCTTCTGCGCCGTGTTTCACATGTGCAGCTTGTAAGCACCAGGCGTATTGAGATATTCTCGACGCAAGTGATTCACAATGGGTGCATCAGGAGTGGGTGGGGTGATGGGCAGTGTCGGATTGGACTGGCTGAAGAGAAAGGCAGCAGGAAACAAAAGGAAACAAACTGGAAAGTGAATAGCAAAATTTGAGGATGAGCAGCCACCCGTGGTCGGTGCGGACATTGGTCTCTGCGTCGGCCGCCGCCGCTCCTGCGCCATCTACTTGTCGCTTGGGCGCTCCTGGCCCTCCCAAGTGGCGCTCCACTGCCGGTCGTAAAAGGTTGCCTCATCAATCAGGCCTTTGTAACGCTCGACGTCGCTGCTCGTGCGGAAGATCAGGATGCCAAACACGCACACATGCAGCAGCACCTTGCCGAAGAAGGAGTTCTGCTGGTCCAGTAGGCCCACGCCTGCAACGGCGGCACAGTTAGCGTCGGCGGGCGGCACACATGTGTGGTGCAGACAGCTCCAAGCATGGAACCAAGCATGGCAATGGGTGGCCTTGCAAATGATCACTTGGGTCAGGAGCGCCTGGTGCCGGCGCGTGCCACGTGCCGCTCACCGGTCAGCTGGTCCACGAATAGCGCCAGCACGTAGCCCATCATTGCTGCGCGGCCGTTCAGCTTCTCAGCCTGCAGCACACGGCATTAAAAAAACTTGGCAAACCTGCCAATCTTCGCAAACCTGCCAAGCTGGTAAAAGTATCGCCCCCATGCCTTCCAGGCCGCATGCCTCGTGCCTCACCTCGGGCAGATGGAAGCGGCGCACCCAGGCCCACCAGGGGATCTCCGCGGTGTCAAACAGCACAGGGTCTTCGTTCGCTGCAGCAGGCAGGGTGGTGCTCAGCAGCTGCAGCAGGGTCACAAGGCCATTGGCCTTGTGCATCGGGCGGTTCAAGCACAGTCGCACGGCCGCCTGCTACTCCGACGGCGGCCGCCTGCCTGCCGTGTTGGCACGCGTGGGTGCAGGTGGCGGGCACTCACTGCAGGGGATGGGCGAGTCTTCCAGCAGCTTGCGGCGTGCCATCTCCGCGTCAATCACATCATCCCAGCTGGTCTCGCCGGTCTTGGAATCTCTGCGCAATGACCGCGGTGAGAGGAGGGCGTGTTGGGGAAACATGGCCGGAGTGCACATCGCTGGGAGAGCTCATACCGACAGCAGGGTTGATCGCAACCGCAGAGAGGCTTACGCGAAGAGGGACAGGTCCCAGCGACCGCCCTTCCAGCGGTAGTCCTCAAACCGGCCGTCCACCATCTGCAGCACCGGGCCGCCAGTCTTCCCGCCTGTAGCCATGCTCTTGAATTTGTCGCTGGCATCCTTGCCAGCCGCCGCTGCGCCTTGCAGGGTGCCGCCCCGCTGCAGCGGGGAGGGCTTGCGATCCTGCGGGCGGCGATGCGGGAAGAGGGTGGAAGCACTCCTTGCAGGCACCTGAATGTGCGAGCCCGGGAGCGTTTGGTGGCTGGCAGGGAGAGGGCGGCGGGCCACCGCCGGCGGTGCCCCTGCCCAGCCTGCTCCTTAAATCCAAACTCCCTGTCGCCTTCGCCACGCCCAATCATTGCTTCGGGCGCGCCCCTTGCGCAAGCCTGCCCGAGTCACTGCGCCTTCCCAAAGCTGGACGATCTTGGCCACTCCAAAGCCTGCCCACCTTCTTCTCCAGGGTAGCGGTGGATGCCCCGGCGCCATTCTCCGACACCTCGCAGCGAACGCTGCGTTTCTGCGCGCGGTTCGCCAGGGTGGTGGGAACTCCCACGGCCCGCAGGCTAGAGGCCAGCATCATTCTGCCTTTCACTGATAGCTACTGCGCAAATGCAAGGGTATGGGGGCCAGAATGCAAACTTGCCGCCACCACATCCATTAATCCCTCGCTCGCCAGGGTCGTCATGTCAAGCACGGCCTGCCAGAATGCCGCATTGCGCCCCTTGTTCATCGCGATCGGCTGAGGCTGGTTCCTGAGCTCGTTTAGGAGCCACGACACGGCCTAGGCGAGAACTAGCAAAGGATGGCCTTCGCCCTTCAACACGGCAGCTTCCTGGGCGCGCAGCCGCATGCTGCCAACGCCAGGCAGCAAAAGGCAAGCATCGCAAGGTCTCGGAGCAGGGGAGCGGGGGCAGCTTACCCCGCCACAAAATCGCTGACCTCAGCTGCTCTTACAGCGCAAATGATTGATCGTGTGCTGGAGTTGAGCGGCACTGGCCCCAGCAGCAAATTGACGGGCTGGCACCTGCCCCTTGTGCAGGCGGCACGACCGAGGGTGGTGCAGGTGCGGGCGTCCGCCGCCAAGCGAGAGACGGACCCCAAGAAGAGGATTGTGATCACCGGAATGTGGGTCCCATGCACCTAGGCGTATGGGCCGTGGCAGCAGCAAATCCATGTGTTTGCGATGGGCGACAAGTTGCCTTTTGGCCTGCCCAGCCTGCTCAGCAAAGCTGTTGGGCCATGTCCCGTGCAGCATGAACGGCTGGATGCTCCTGCTGCTACTGCAGGGGCATCGCCTCTTGTTTTGGCAACGATGTCGACACCTTCTACAACCAGGTGCAGCTCATGCGCCTAGGGTGCAGTCTTGTCTTGCCGCTCCTTCAATCGCACCATCCTTTCGAGTGGGATGGTGCTTCAATAGGCCTTCCTGCAACTGCTACACGCCTTGTGCTGGCAGCTGCCAGTGGCATGCGAGACGGTGCCACCCCCCTCGCTGCTGCTGCCCCCCCCACACACACAAACTTCTCCGCAGCTGCTAGAGGGCGTCAGCGGCGTGGACTACATCTCCCGCTTTGACGCCAGCGAGTTTCCGACCAAATTTGCTGCGCAGGTGAGAGGCTGCTTGCATCGCTACGATTGACGCCGCAGTGTTCGCAGCCTCATTTGCCGTGGTTTTGAAACGATCAGGAAATGAATTGGACTCTGCAAACTTGTGCAGATCAAGGACTTTGATGTGGGCAACTTGGTGGACAAGAAGAACGCACGGCGCTATGACGACTGCCTCTCCTACACCATGGTCGCCTCCAAGAAGGTGCCACCCCTCCGTTGCCGCTGTCGGCCAAATCTTGTTGAACTCGGGTGCCTGTTGTGCTGGTAGGCCCAACTGGCTGTTACCACCGAGTCGGGCAACAAAGGTGGCACTGCCACCTTGCAGGCGCTGCAAGCAGCTGGCCTTGAGAAGGGCGCCAACCCCGATGGGTACGGCGCGCTGGATAAGTCGCGCGTTGGCGTTCTGGTGGGCAGCGGCATGGGCGGCCTCTCTGGTGAGCGTTTGGGCGGGTGGTGATGGTTGCTGCTGTGCTGCTGCATTGATTGCAACATGCTTTGCAGCACCTACACGCCGCCATGCTGTGAGGTTCAGGTGCCGCTCACTCTCCCCTTCTTTTCCTGCAGTGTTCCAGGATGGCGTCAAGGCGCTGGTGGAGAAGGGATACAAGAAGATCACGCCCTTCTTCATCCCCTACGCCATCACCAACATGGGTGAGCGGGCCGCGCTCACCCGCCGTGCACTGCTTGGCACGCTTGGCACTGGTGTGGGAGGGCGGGCTGGGGGGGACTCAGGGTGCTGCAGGGTGCAGCCACTTCATGGCCTCTGTCAGAGCAGGCACGCAGTTTCAAGTGAGGTGTGGGTATGTATGCCTCAGCCGTTGACAGCAGGATACTACTGTTCCTTGTGATGTACTGCCACTCGACAGGCGGCGCACTGCTGGCAATTGACCAGGGCTTCATGGGCCCCAACTACTCCATCTCAACCGCCTGCGCCACCGCAAACTATGCCTTTGTTTCGGGTAAGGTGGGGCAGGGGTGCGTGCAAGGTGTGGATGTCATCAAGGGATCTGCCCTCCGCCATGCCTGCTTGGCTCCTCCTTCCATCTGAACTGCCCTTGATGTCCCTCCAGCTGCCAACCACATCCGCAACGGCGACGCTGACGTCATGGTGGCTGGCGGCAGCGAGGCGCCTATCATCCCTGTGGGCCTGGGCGGATTTGTGGCATGCAGGTGGGAGAGAACTCTTCCTGTTATCGTATCCTATGCTAGGCATGTTATGCTACGCATGTGGGCGCCCTTGGGTTGCAACTGATGTGCAGCGCTCGGTTGCTTTCCATCCTGCCGCACTGGTGTGGTCCTACTCCCTGCCTGCAGAGCTCTTAGCCAGCGGAATGATGAGCCTCAGCGGGCGTCACGGCCATGGGATACCGACCGCGACGGTTTTGTGATGGGCGAGGGCGCAGGTCTGGCTTGCTAGCTTCCTGTTTAGACTCTGGGTCCCTGCAGGAGCGAAGCTTGCTGCATGCGGGAAGTTGCTGATCCCCACTTTGCCCTTGCAGGCGTACTGATCATGGAGAGTCTGGAGCATGCACAGAAGCGTGGTGCTACCATCATTGCAGAGTACCTGGGCGGTGCGCTGCAGGCAGTTGCAAAACCCTTTCTCCCAAGCATGCATGTAAACAACACCTTCAAAGTTCCCGGCTCCATGTTACTGCACCCTTGACACCAAGCCTCCTCTGTTGCTCACAATTCCGCAGGCGCTGTGACCTGCGACGCGCATCACATGACAGACCCCCATCCCGAGGGCCTGGGCGTGTCCACGTGCATCGAGCTGGCGCTCAAGGATTCTGGCATCGAGCGTGACGAGGTGCATGCTGCCTCCCCCGCAGCTTCCAACTCCCATGCCGTGTGATTCTATTGGGTTTGCTTCTATTGGGTGGATGTCACGGCTCACCAACTCCGTTCTGCTGCAGGTGAACTACATTAACGCGCACGCCACTAGCACGCTGGTCGGCGACAAGGCAGAGGTGAAGGCCATCAAAAAGGTGAGCGCTGGGCTGCATCTCCAGGGGCTGCCCCCTCGAGGGTGTCCCCTCCTCCCTGGGCCCTTCCATGACACCCATGCGTTGAATGCTTGAGGCTAGCCCCTTTCTCACCGCCACCCAACCCACCCCCCGACATTAACCCTCCGCAGGTTTTCTCAGACCTGTCGCACATCAAGATGAACGCCACCAAGAGCATGATTGGGCACTGCCTTGGAGCAGCGGGCGGCATGGAGGCGATCGCCACGATCCAGGCCATCCAGACTGGCTGGGTCCACCCCACCATCAACCACGTGAGCATGACAGGGCTGCGAGGCGCTCATGGTTCAGGCTGGGAGTTGCTGCGTGCAGTTGGCTACTTTATGTAATTACGCGCCAGTCAAGTCGATGTTGGTGCTCAACTGCTGCTGTGCGCATGTGCGTAACCGTTGCTGCAGGAGTCGCCCATCGAGGAGGTCGATGGCATCGACGTGGTGCCGAACAAGAAGCAGCAGCATACCGTAAATGTGGGCATCAGCAACAGCTTTGGGTTTGGCGGGCACAACAGCGTGTGTGCTTTTGGCAGGCACGAGGCGTAGTTTCCTGGCCGAGAGAGCGAGTTGTGAATACACCGTAGGAAGAAGCACGCAGGACTGCTGCCCAGATGGCTGATAGTGGCGGCGACGCAGGTGGAAAGAGGCATTGGAGAAGCAGTCGATGCATTCCGACTATTCTTGAGAAGGCCTAGATCGCTATTGATTTCACCTGCCAGTGGGGCTACCCAGCCTGGCAGTCTAAATCCTTCCCCTCTGCACTTCTGATCGTCGCGCTCTCTGGAGGCTCTCTCTCGACAGAATGAGCTGGCAAGATTACATTGACCAACAGCTCATGTGCACCCTCCCTAGCGGCGGCCAGCTCTCGCACGCAGCTATTGTGGGAACCGATGGAGGCGTGTGGGCTCAAAGCGAGAGCTTCCCAGCCATCACGGAAGAAGAGATTGCTGCCCTTGTAAAGGGCTTTGACGATCCGTCCCAGCTGGCCCAGGTAGGTTGCTTGCCGCCCACCGCCGCCCCGCGCCGCTTCAACAAACCAAACCGGCATGCCCACCCGGCTTTGGTGCAATTCAATCACACACAAATGCGCAAGGGAAATTGGAGAGTCTTCATCCGGCGGTGCACCCCTCTGCCGCAGAATGGACTGCGCATTGGCGGTGAGAAGTACATGTTGGTGGCGGGCGAGCCCGGGGAGGTGCTGCGCGGGAAACAGGGCTCAGGTGGGTGCTGCTTTCCCATAGTGCAAGAGAGGGACCGAGCTGTTCAGGAACCAGCAGCCTCAGTGCTGAGAGCCACTTCTCATGAGCACCCATCGGCTAGCCTGCCCTCTATCACTTGCAGCTGGATGCACGATAAAGAGGACCAAGACGGCAATGGTGGTGGGCATTTACGGCGAGGGCGTGCCGCACGGTGAGGCTGGGGGATGCCAGCGTTATGGGGGTAGGCGAGAGGCTTGTCGCCGAGCGCATTTTCATCCCCGTCACTTCTTCTACCTGCGGCCGCTGGCGAACCACTGCTCTGTACCCCACTGTTGTTGTTGCGCCTCTGCAGGGGACTGCAACATCGTGGTAGAGGGGCTGGCTGACTACCTTCTGGATACCGGATTGTAGGCTCAGGCCAGGGAAAACACCCACTCCTTGTGTTTGCCCTCCGTGCTGGAGCACCTTGTGGGGTCTGTTCAGCAAATGTTGTTCAGCGCTTGTGTTGTGTTAAATGTCACACCAAAGAACTCAGCAGGGGGCGCGGCAAAAAAGCAATAAAACCAGAGCAGAGCGGGCGGCAGTTGATAGCGCCACGACAAGGTATGATAGAGAACAGACAGGAGTTGCTCAGCACAGCAAGGAATTTGCGGCGGTACGTGGGTGGCTGCCAATGCGCGACCGTGCCTAGTACCTGCAGCACGAGAAAGTGGGCAGGTTTATAGACTTGAATACACGGAGATTTGATGGAGGCCGACACACTTGCTCCCCTATGGCAAACACCAAGAAGGCTCCACGTGTCCCCCCCATGTAACATTGCTGCCCCGACACGTCACTCACGTGTAGCCCTTCTCGAACATGCCCTTGGCAGCCTCCGAAGACTCGCCGGCGGGGTCGTACTTGCCCAGCTGCGCCTGGCTGTTGGCCTTGGCACGCTTGAGCAGCGCTTCCTGGGCGATCTGCACGTTGCCCTCCTCACCCTTCCAGGTCTTCAGCACAGAGTTCTGCAAACAAGAGGGGGTGGGATGTAGGGCGGGGGGCCGGCTGCAAGACTTTGACACACTGTTCAGCTCAGGCTTACGCACTTCTAGCACCTGGCAGCACACAACTGCACTGCACACAACAGGTGCGCACTCCTGACACCATGCGCACCTGCAGCGCGCGAGCATACGAGAATGACACGTGCCACGGGTTGGGGCTCTGGTTCATGGCGTTCAGGTTCAGGGTGGACTCCAGCTCGCTCTGGCCACCAGACAGGAACATGATGCCCGGCACGGCGGGGGGCACACGGCGGCGCAGCATCTTCAGGGTGTACGAGGCAACCTGCAGATGGGAAACGCAAAAGGGAGACCGAAAGCGAGCTGCTGTGAGTGGGAACCATCACCACAACCAGAAAGCGGCATGCGAGCCATACAACCGCAAGGCACTAGCAGCATGAGCACGACAAAGGAACATGACTAACCTCGTCGGGGGTGGACCGCTTCTTGTGCTCTGCACCGGGGGTCACCATGGAGGGCTTCAACAGGATGCCCTCGAACAGCACGTTGTTGTCGGCCAGGTACTTGAAAGTCTCAGCCCAGGTCATCTCAGCCACCTGTGGAACGAAGGAGGCAAGGCATGGCCGATCAGAATACCGGCAGAAGGACAGGATGAGCAGGCGGCAGCAAGCATTCGCTGGCCCGGACCTCCAGGGTGCGGTCAATGTCGTGCTCGCCATCCAGCAGAATCTCGGGCTCCACAATGGGCACCTGCAGCAGAGCACGGCGACTGGAAAACTTAGGAAGCATCCCAGGCACAGAATGCAAGCTTTCGTTCGGACAAGTGCTGGGATTGTCTCATTGGCACCCTTCCCCTTACTCGCGACTCACCAGGCCGGCGTTCTGGGCGATGGCGGCATAACGGGCCAGGCCATAGGCGCAGTCGCGCACTGCGATGGCGGTGGGGCCAGCGGGGATGGAGACCACGCTGCGCCACTTCGCAAAGCGGGCGCCTTGCTTGTAGTAGTCAGCGCAGCGCTGGTCCAGGCCGTCCAAGCCGGCGCACCAAGACTCGCCGTTGGAGTTGGCCAGGGGGTGCAGGCCCTTGTCCACCTTGATGCCGGGCAGGATGCCCTGAACAGGAGCACGGCACAGGGCCAGCATTCAGCATGCAGGGTAGCGGAGGAGCCGTTCCCAGGTTAAGCCTCGCACTGTCTGTTCTCGTGCTCGTGCCATGGCTGGCAGTGCAGTGGAGGGGCTCCCCCTTGCAGGCCGCCACAACAGGCAGGGCGACCAAGGTGGCTAACGCAGCGCTGCTCACGTTCTTGTTCAGCTCATCCACCATGGAGGTGCCCTTGCGGGTGTCCTGGAAGAGAGTCTCCTCAAACAGGATGGCGCCTGGACGGGGAAGAGGAGGATGCAAAATCTGCTACCTCGGGAAAGAACACGGCACAGTAGAGCACCAGGCCAACTGCTTGCTGGGGGATTCAATGCCGGCCGCAGGCCGCCCGTTCTGCCACGGCCAGAACTCACCGGAGATGTACTCGCCCAGGCCGGGGGTGGTCACCAGCAGCTCGCGGTAGGCCTGGCGGCTCTCCACAGTGTTCTCCAGGCCGATGGATTCCAGGCGCTTGCCGCAGGTAGCGTTGGACTCATCCATGGCTGCAGGCAGCGCGGGCAGAGCAGGTTGGTTGAGGAGGCATGGCGGGGGAAGGTGCTGGATGTGCCAGGTGTGCAGACCACCCGTTGGGCATCCGGCTGCGGTGCGCGTGTGATGGGGCAGCGCCCCGCGGCGCACAACCCCCGCCCAACGCCCTAGTCAATCAGCACCACTCCAGCGGCGTGCTCACCCAGGATGCCCTTGCCAGGGGTGGCGATCTTGTTCTGCGAGGGGAGGGGGAAGCAGGGTGAAGCGCTGCTGCAGGCATCGACACCATGTGAGGAATCCGGCCGCATCGCTTACCGCGGTGGCCACCAGCTCCTCGGCGTAGGCCCCATTGTACGCCGCCGCGTTCACATTGACGGAGGAGCGGCGGCGGCCCTGACGGGCAACGCCAGCCTTGGCGACGAGGGTGGTGCCGGCGAGAGCAACGGAGGCCATCGTGACTGATGAGGCTTGCTAGTGAGCACAAACACCACCGGCTGGGCTCAAAAGAAGGAGGGATGAGGGCACAGCTGGCGCTTGAGGGTTGGGCTCCAGGGTAAGAAGAGAAGTCGGAAGCAAGTCCACGGGAGGACCCATCCGGCTTGCAAGTTTTGCGAATGCAATTAGATGAAACAATGTGGCGCTCCGCCTGGCCCCTCGGTGGTGCCTGGGCGGTGTGCCTGAGCGGCTCCTCCCCACCTCCCGCCTGCTGCGCCAGCGCCTCTCGGGCGAGTCGACGAGCGTTCTGTGTGCTGCCCGCCATCCCCAGGGGGAAACCCATCGGTGTGCCTCGATTGAATTAGTAGTCAACAACAACACCATGGAGCAAAACTACTAGTCGGGGGCACCCCAGCCAGATTGGCTGCGGCGTGTCAGGCGTGTGGGCCCATTTTGCAATCAAGCCCGCAACTCACTGTCAGGCAGTTGCTCAAATGCCAGTCCATGTCAGCTTTGACTATGGCCTCGACTTCAGCCCTGACTAGAAGAAGAAGAAGAAGAGAATACGCTGACTATCAGGGTCTTCACACTTTAGTGTGCCAGTGCCGGTGTCCACGTAGGCGGCACTGGTGTGGGCGACGGAGTGCCAGTGCTGGTGCCGATCCCAACCGCCGGCACTCGCCGGCACCGGCCTCGAGGCCAGTGCCGGCGAGTGCCGAAATTTGGGGGTCGCCGAAATCCTCTGTTTCTGCTTCTACACGATTATTTTTGGCCATTGTTATAATTTCTGGCGCGAGCAGGGGCAGCACCGCACTGCCCCCAAGCCATTTGTCCGCCATGCATTCCCGCCAAGCCAAGCTGCCCGTCTCCTTCAGCCTGATGGTGCCAAATCTATATTATGCAATCAAAAGAAGTTATCGAGACTGTTGGAAGGCCATTTTGGGCACATTGCCACAGCGGCACTGGGGCATTGGTCTGCCAGTCTCAGTGCCAGTGCTGGCAGTTGGGCCAGCACTACATCAGCACTGGCACTGGCACTGCGGCACCAGTGTGAAGACCCTGTATGGCCTGGAGGGCGCACCGCGACGCTCGGCGGTACACGCGTACATTGCCCACTTGTAAATACAGCCCGGGCGTAACTATCCCGCTTGGCTCATGATGCGCGTGCTCGGCCTGGGGTTTGGGCTGCTGCTCGTAGCAGCCGCGATGTGCGCGCCGGCTACCCTTCCCTCACTGGCCATATGTGTGGCCATTAAGGACCAGGCTGCAGATGTGCGGGAGTGGATCATCTATCACCATGCATTAGGTGGGTGGCAGGCGCCGTTGTCTTCATGGTGTCCTGGGAATACACCAGCTGACTGTGGCCCTGCAGGCGTTCAAAAATTCTATATCTGGGACACAGGCAGCGTTCCGCCGCTGCTGGTGAGAGCAGCGCTGGGATGGCTACTATCGCAGCTGTTGCGGACTACGCCCCTGCCTCAAGCGGCTGCACAGATGCCCCCAAACGTGGCATGGCGACACATCCAATTGAGCTGCAGGATGCAGTCAAAGACTTTGTAACCGAAGGGCTGGTGCTCTATGAGTATGATGCTGATGGTGGGCCAAATACAAGCGGGGATGCAAGCTCTTCTAGGCGCATTCGAGCTGCTGCACTTTCTTCTTGACGCCCGCTGAACTTCCGCTGCCCGGGATTGCCGCCGCTGCAGTGCGGCCCAAACCGGGCACCCACGGACCGCAGGTAGCGCTGTATGACCGCTGCCTACGGCGCTGGGGTAATGCTCACACTTTCATGGCCTTCATCGATACCGATGAGTTCATGGTGCTACGGGACGGCACGCCCGACCTACCCACCCTGGTATGCGTTCCAGTTTCTGCAGCGCTGATAGATGCAACGTAGCAGGTCGTGCGTGGGGGAGTGTTCAGGAAAGCAGGGAGTTCATTCCCCACCTATCCGCGCTGCCTGGCCGGAGGTGATGCAGTTGAAGGATTATGTGGGGCACGGCGGGCTGGTAATCAATTGGGAGGTGTTTGGCAGCGGCGGCCTGCAGGTGCGCTGTAGTTGACCACTGGTCTCTGTCTGTCTGGATCAGCCAACCACCCGCTTGTTGATGGGAGTTGCTACGCTGTGGTCCCCAAATCAGTGCTGGCAGCCCTGCTTCTGGATCAAGTCGGCTCCCACCTCCCGCCTGCAGCTGCGTCCCAAGGGCAATGCGATGATGTCCTACTGGCGATGCTCCCCCCGAAACCACCCAGGTGGGTTGTGCAGCAGGTGCTGAACGCCCTCACCCTGCCACGGAGGCCAGACAATGCGGTGCATGCACTCACCCCTGGCTGCTATGTGCTGATGTATAGAGAACGGGCACGTAAAGAGCGTGGTGCAGGCGGCTTGTGCGCTCGAGTCCTCCACCGATCCGCACCACTTCTTCTACCGCGACACGCCGGAGTGCATGCCCGGCACGTGTCACCCCGGGCGAAAAAACCAGCTGCTTTTCTGCGTATGTTGCAGCTGCTGCTTTGACTGTTCAACAACACGCACTGCGCTTCTGCTCACCATCGCATGCAGTCAACACGCGGCACGAGCCTGTGCCTGGGCCCAAGTCGCGGACGCCGGTGCAGGAGCGATGGGCGCTGTACCACTACGCCATCAAGTCCGTGGACGACTTCCAGCAGAAGATGATGCGGGGGTCGGGGATGGGCAACGTCAAGACGCTGGCCTACTTGCAATACGTGGACAACTTCACAGACGCCCGCTGCCCCGATGCGCTGGACATGGGCCTGCAGCTGAACAACCTGATGGGGCTGCAGGGTGCCCTGTAATTGGTCAAACCGACTTAAACGACTTCAACGAAAGAAATAGAGCTGGGCAATGCGACGAGGCGGTACGCCTGCGCCACGACCCAGAACGGCAGTGTCTCCCAAGTTGCTCCCTTTTCAACCACTCCTTTCGTGGCGTTGAGGTGGGTTGAGTGCCGCCACGCGGGGAGAAGCGATTACAGAGACCTCTGCCATGCAGCTTGCTCTTCTGGGGGCTTTGCCTGTGCCGTTTGGGGGGATGGGCGGTGCAGGACATTGGGAGCTCGAGTGCGCAGACTCGCGAACCAAAGGTTGATATCAATCGGTCATGCCGCAGCGCTGCAACAACCCCTCCGTGCCCTCCTCCGCATCTGCAGAGCCTGCGAAGCTCTGTGGTCAAAACGCCACCTCGTGAGTGCCCCTGCATGACACTTCCTGGCTGGTTGCTTTTGCTCTGGGCCTCACGGTCGTTCACCGTCCGCATGTATGCTTGAAGAAGCTGCTGGGCGCGTCCGGCGAGCGCAAGGCCGTTGGAACTGCCGGCGGGTCGGGTGCCTCTCCCCTGCCACCGCCACTCGTGCTTCTGACGACTTCCTACTGCATTTGGTTTGCAGGCAAAACAAGCTAATCAGCCACCATGCCGTTCGAGACCATTTGGAACCAGCACCCCAAGGTGGGCAACAGACGAGGGTCGGCATACGGCGCAGCGTCCGCGGCCATTCAGCGGAAATAGAGAGCTCTGTATTTTGCCCTGCAGGATTATGGCAAGGGCTCCCGGCGCTGCCGTGTGTGCTCTAACCAGGGCGGACTGATTCGCAAGTATGGCCTGAACATCTGCCGACAGTGCTTCCGCGAGGTGAGCATCTGGGAGGGCTGCGATCAACCTTGTGGTTGCGGGAGCTCCCTGCTTGTGATATCAAGTTGGTTTTTTTGTGTGCTCCTTGCTTTCAGTACGCGACGGCTATCGGCTTCCAGAAGTACCGCTGATCTCGAAGAGCATAGCGGGTTCCGACATGCCCCGGCTACATCCACCACAGATGTGGCACAGCCAACACTGTGCCAGCAGAGTCAGTGCTGCGTTGTGCCGCTACTTTTGCCGCTGAATGCAGATTTCCTGCCTGACATGAACATCACGCCCTGATGTAAAATGCCAGTGCAATGGTTCGCAGCATGACCACAATCCCCTGCCGCCATTGACAATGGCAATTTAGGGCACAGGCTTGGTTAATGCTGCCAACTGAATGTGTTCAAAGGAATAGCCAGGGTGCTGCTTCTATTCGGCAGTCTTGAAGATGGCCGCAGGGCTCCCGGGCGTGGCAGCAGCAATCCGGGCATCTTGTGTTGTTTGCTGCTCCCCGAAGCTAACTGCGTGCACCTCCATCTCCGAGATGAGAAGAGCCCTGCGTGCCATGTCAAAACGGCAAATTCAGCCTGTAAGGATGGCGCTTGCATTGCGGTGCCTGAAGTTTGAGGAGCAATGCTGCTGGGATGTAATTGTGCGAGGAGCGCCTACCTGAGCAGAAACGCCTTGTTCTCTTGCAGCAGTGCCACCTCGTCAAATGGCAGGCGATCCTTGAGTACCTGCAATGAAGACGCACCTTACCCTTCGCATTTCTCAGTTCTTCACGAGTGCAGTTAAAAAGTTGGGATTACAGAGAACATCAGCAGCTGGCTTACCGCTGCGCCACCCTTGACCGCAATGTCGATGCGGAACTTGGCAAATGGCATGACTGCGAACAACATGCGGCACGTAGCAGCATGAGGATGCCTGGACAACCTTCTGACGCTGAGCCACAACTGCTCAAGGGGAACCCAGCGGACTGCCGCCGGCAAGCCCGCTTGCCTGTTTGTTTGAGCGCCTTCTGGTTCATCAAGGCAAGCTCGGGGTCGCTGCTCAGGATGCTCAACACCTGCGATGGGAAGTGCATGCAAGGTGGCAATGTGCTGTTGATTGAGAATCAATCGATGCGGCTCTTTGCTGTACACCACCTTGAGAAGGGAAAATCGTGCTGGGCAAAATGATGGCCACCCTACCTGCTGCATGGCGTCTGCAGGGAAGGTGTTTGTCGCTTCATCAAACATGACTGCCAGAGCTGCCAGCACCTTGGCATGCCAGCCGCCAAAACGGTCCACAACATACACATCTACGCCAGTCACCTGTGATTGCAGTCGTGGGAGGGATTGGACAAATTGGCCAGAATGGCGCATGTCTGGCAGCAATGTGTCTGGCAAATCACACATGGCATACCAACCTTCTTGGCAGGGGCCGGTGGCTCGCCCTTTTTTGCCTTAGCGGGTGTCTCAGCCTTGGCGATGCCCTTGCGCAGGTGGGCAATCGTGTCGTCAAGGTACCTGGATATAGATATACATGGGTTTGTTGGATGGCTGCTGGATACCATCAAAGTGCGACACATTTGCCAACCTCGCAGCCACAGGAGCGCTTACTTGGCCGCTTGCTGCAGCACGTAGTCGGGAGCCTCTGACACCGGCCAACCAGCTGCAGGTCGCGAGACAAGGTGGTGAGTGCAAACATCACTGCATCCTCTTTCGCATCAGGCAGTGCCCTGGGAGACACACGCACCCTTAATGGCCATGCCCGGCTTCCTCAGCAGGTTGCTCCAGACATGCTCACAGGTGTGTGGGCAAACAGGCACCAGCAGCAGAGTGGAAACCTGCAGTAAGCAACATCACAATCTGGACGAAGCCACCTATGGAAAGTGTTCTCATGCATCATTGTTCGAGCAATCGAAACCCACCTCTATGAAGCGCAGCAGCAGGCGCCTGTTGCCGCCCTCTGGACCGCATGCAAAACGATACACATCCCGCGCATTGAGCAGGTCGTACCTGCATATCAACGGGTACAGGTGCACATCAGCTGGCGAAGAGGATGGAATGAGAGACCGGCTGTGATTGCAACAACGCCAACAACGCACCAGCCACTTTTCAACGCCTCGCGGAACAGCATCCTGCCATACGCCTCCCGCGTGCGGTGCGTCGCGATGTTGATTTCATTATCAAACACGCGGTCAATGAAGCTGGTGGGTGGCTCATCCCGCAGGGTGTCGGCTGCCGTCAGAACCTCCTCTGCAAGTGCACCAATGCTCCCAGTTCATCATGAGTGCTTGCCAGCAAAGAGAGGACTGATTTGCTGTGTAAATAGGTGCCCCCAATGGAGGTTGCATCTCAGAATTTTCACTGGCCCCACCTATCCAGGCCAGCTCCCTGGTGAGCCGCAGGATTGCGCCGTTGGCAGTAGTGTGCTCAAAGTTGGCATCATCCATGGTGTCACCTGCACAAACATGCATGGGAACAGTGAGCACGAACCAGGAGGAGCAAACGGACCATAAGTACAAGGCAGCCTGGCTATCCCCCAACGAACCTGCATCTGCCAGAGCGATGCGCATTGCGTCGCTGCTGTACTCGACGATTGCCTGCTGCAGCGTCTTGAAGTTGCCTGCGGGAAGGTGCAATGGAGTTGGTCTCTTGACTGCATGTAGGTGCGCCACAAAAGGCGATGGCCCACTTCACACACCTGTGCTCTTGCTCATCTTTTCTGCGTTGAGCAGCAGGTGGCCGTTGCAGCGGATGGACAGCGGCCAGTACTGCTGCTGCTGAGCCCAGATGGCTGTGTGGTTGTATAAGCAGAAGGTTAGGTGATTCTGCGGAGTGCAATGACGGTGGTGGCAGTTAACTGCCTTCTGATCATGCCTACAGTATTGCAAGTGTGCAACAGTTCCCAGGCAGCGCTGCATATCTTTAGTGGAGGTGTGCGCACTTGGATCAAATCCTTGCCCGACACACGCAGGTCAAATGGATACCAGTACTCAAACTCGCGGCGCATTGTCTGCAGAACTGTGAAAGTAGGCAGGTGACCAACGAAGCCATCATGACCGCACTGAAACTGACGCGTCACTCAAAGCAACCTGCCTGTAGCAGCTCAGTGGGGATGGGGCTGTCAATTGGCTCCTCCGCACCCAGGTAGATGTAATCCCACACCTGCATTGGGTGAAACAGACTAGAGGTCAGGAGGCATTGTGTTGCAGACATCTGGCCTCAAAACATGGCGTTGCATGAATCACCTCGGGAGTCAAGTGCTCAGGCTTAATGATAGACGCGCCTTCGCCATACATGTTGCCCTGCTGCAGCACGTGTGCCACTGCAAATTGCCGGTAGGCACACCAACATGTTAGGTATTTGCGACTGAAAGAGATCACTCATGCCCTTTTCTCCCGCCTTGCAGGTACCCTGCTGTGCACCTGCGTAGTACGCCATGTAGATGGTGCTATCCGAAAGGGATTCTACAAGGTACACAGGGTCCCAAGGAAGCCTGCAGGGCAGTGTCATCCATGCTGCTGGAAGATTGGCACACCAAAACTCAAGCCACAAACAAGGTTGTGAACACAAGGCAGCTGCAAATACATCCCCGCCTCACCTGGTACCTAGGCCAAAGGACCGCGAGCACGCCCACTGGTTCAGCCAGCCAAGGGTGTGCTCAAATTGGTGCCGTGCTACGGGCAGAAGCACACACACAAGCGCGGATCAAATGCGCCAGCCTCGCACAAGAGAGATCCCTACCCTGCTGCATGTAAAAACAATGAGAGAAGAAGGGGGAGCAGCTGCTCACTGTTGTCGTCATAGAGCTCCATGTGCTTCAGACATGCCTCTGTGGCCTCCCTCCACTCCTGCTCCCCATACGTCATGTACCTGCAAAGGTGCACCCTTTTGCGGCTAAGTGCTTGCGGAGAAATCACTGTTTGTTTGAATTCAATCACCTCTCCAACCGGCAGTGCACTCACCACTGATCCGTAAGCGCCACCACGCACTCATCGCCACTGCGGCTCATAACCCGCTTCTCAGGCTCTGCGCGCAGCAGCAAGAGCTCAAGTCTAGGAATGCGGCCGACAAGGAAGTGTTCGATACAGATACTAGGGCGTCTACAGATGCGCTCGCAGCAGCGCAGCAGCCCATCACCTGAGTAGAGCAGCGCCTCTCCGGCGGAGATCATCTCATTCTTAATCACGGCCTTGACCTCGCTTACCTGCAGAACCAGGAGAAGAATCAACTTAACAATCGATTCAAAGCCGCTTCATTTTCCCATGATTAAGCGACACAGATGCCTCCTGCTGTGGAAAGTTGTATCCCATTCAATCACAACGGCGCTGCCACGAACCTTCTTGCCCGCATATTCGCCCACCACCAGCACACCATCCGTGAAGCCCTTCAGGTACACCATTTGCTTAGCCTCTGCCAGCTTCTTAGCGTCATTCTGCACCAAAGCATGTACGGTGCAGCTTCCCAAGTTAAGTAAAATGATAGTGAGCTGAGCAGGAAGCAGAGACAGGTTCCCACGTTTGAGGCTCGCACCTGTGACTGGATCTTCATGTCCATGCACACCTTCTCTGCTGCAGCCGTGCCAAATCCAGGGATGTCAATGATGGGGATCACCTGCAGGCAGCCAAAGCGTAATCCTCCAGCAAGAGGTCCTCATGCGCATGGCAGGCATTCCAAGCTACCTACGGCATTTCCAAGCACCAACCTTGTAGGGCAGCACCCACTCATCCAATATGCCATACTTCTCACGCAGCTTGGGTTTGTTCACTGCAGAACAACCATCAGCAGCAAATTGCTGGATCGTGCAGCCGTCAATACACCCACCTAACACCAATGATCGCATTTGCAAAAAACTCACCAAGGTCCATCAGTGCCGCATAGTCATCCGGCGCATCGGACGGCACGCTGGTCACGATGCCAGTGCCCTGCAACAGTGTGGACACAGCAGCAAAATCAAACAAATGTGGTCAACTCTATGAATAGGCATATCATTAAGGGTGCCGGCACGTCACCTTGTTCGTCAGGATGGTCAACAGGGGGAGGACGTAGATGTGGTTGTGCGGCGTGCGAGGAGACTGCACGGGCATCCCAAAACTTAGAAACCAAGATGAAGCAACTGAGAGACACAGGGGAGTTTTGCACCTGGACGGGGAGGCCCAGCAGATCAGACCCCTTCAGATCCATTAGCTTCTCTGGCTTTCCAGTTTCTGGCATGCGGTCCTGTGGCACCAAAGAGGCAGAGCGGTCAGCCTGATGGGAGGCCCGTCATATGTTGAACTGATGGAAAGGAAATCGACGTGCAGAAATGGGTACTCGCATTCGCACCTGGTAGGACAGGTTCAGCGCCGACCGATCCGTCATGACATAGATCTCGCCATTCAGGCCTCTGAAAGCTGCATAGTCGCCATCAGGCAGTGCCCAGCAGTTGGTCTGCCCATACATGGTCTCCGGCCTGCGTTAAGGGTGCAATGGCAAAGTGAAGCCACCTGATTTCAACGATGGCCATGCGCTTCGCACTACAACTATATTTGTTAACTTGTGTTAGCAACCACCCACCTAAGCGTGGCAGCCATCAGAAACACAGGGCCTTGACCTGCACAGGCTCGTCAAAACTTTCCAAAGAACAGCTAAACTGGGCCAGCCACAGCTGAGGCAGCTGCTTGTAAGCATCAATCACAATGCACCGCACCTTGCAGCGCGCCCAGCTTGCGGTTCAGCTCAAGCACGCGCATCTTGATCAAGGTGTACTCCTGCAGATGCACCTTGTCCAAAGGCTTGCATAGAAGCGAACTGGAAAGAAGCAGTGGTAGTTAGCATGAGCACATACAATGAAGACCATCACTCACCTGGGGTCCCACACCCTCTCCAGTGGCACGGTCGTGATCCGCGCATGGCTGTAAGGGGCACATCACAAGAGTCACATCCAAACCCACTTGACGTAGCGAATTGCGCCAGTGGAATCTGATGCTCAGGGGCCCGCATGGCTGCCGACACTCCGGCAGCATGTGGATCCATCCTCACCTGGCCATCTAACGGGGAGTACACAGCATACCGCTTATCCTTGACAATTTTGCCCTGAAGAGCAGCAGGCCACCAACACCTCACACAAAACACACAGATCTGCCGACAAATGACAAGGCCTCCTGGTTCCGAGCCATCCGTCCGTTGTTCTACACACCTGCTTGTGCAGCACCTCGAACTGCCAGCGCACAAAGGAGTCATAGTACGGATTGACGTCTGTGGTGATGAAGCTGCAGCGCATCAACATAAAAAAGCAAATTGCCTACAACAACCAGCAAGCACAATGCAGCCCATGTGCATCCCTCGCGTACAGGGCAGTCAGAGACCAGCCGGTGCTCGGCAGCTGCCATGATTCGAACACACCTGCGCCGCCAGTCAATGCCGCAGCCCATGGACTTGAGGTCCCGTACTGCCAGCGGCGGAAAAAAACGCAGCCAGTGACCACAGTCCGCAAACTGCAACAATGTATGTAGGAGCAAGCAGGAGGTCCAAAATGTGTCCATCCACCCCAGAGTCAGCCAAACATCTGATGTGCCTGCTCGCAGGCATATCCCTGAACCCAGCTCACCTCTGCAATCTCCTCCTCGGGAATGCCACTCATCTTGAGAATGTCCCACTGCAATCTCACGCCACAGAGCATTCAATGGCGGGCAGAAGGCCTGATGGAAGGAGAACCAAGCAGGAACCCCCTTGGCACAGCGCAGCATACTGCAGCGCTGCAGGCAGGCAGCGCACCTGTGTGTTTCCCGTGCCCTTCTTGGCTGCGGCCTTGCTCTTCTTGGCAACAAACTTGGTGGGGTCTCCACTGCCCGCCTCCTCCTCCTGCACACCCCAACAACCAGGCAAAACGCATGCTTTTGCAGCTCTGCCGGGGCTCCCCGACTCCACCGCAGGGGCCTGCCTACAACAGCTGGAATGGACCATCCTCTGTAGCACAGTCACAGCTGGGCTGGCTGGCACACCTGCTCTGGCTGCACTGCAGCATCGTCCCCGCTTGGGAACTGCGGCGGGTTGCCAAAGGTGGCAATCTCCCGCGCAAGCTTGTCGGCGCATGCCTGCAGCGCGGCGCAGCAGCTTGAGCCGCAGGCATACCAGATGCCCCACCGCCCCGCTCTCGACATGGTGCTGACATAGTCGCAAATGGCTCGCAGCCATTGTCGGGAAGGTGGAGGTGCGCTGTGCGCGCCAGCACACACCTTGATGGGCATCCCGGTGCAGTGAAACCCCTGCGGGAAGAGCACGTTCTTGCCGCACAGGCGGTGGTAGGCGGCAGCAAACTCCAGCTTGGACAGCGAGAAGGCGTGGCCCAGATGCAGCACCCCGTTCATGTAAGGGTAGGGGAAGGTGCCAAAGAACTTGCCAGTTGCAGCCCCCTCTGTCGGCGCATCCACCTCAAACACTTTGGCTGCCTCCCACTTTGCCTGCATGCCACGTAGCACCCAGGAGCAAGAGCAGGCAACGCGTGGCGGCGATACCAGGCTGGCAGCTGCGGTGGCGGCGGAGGCGTCGGGGCAATGAGGCCAGGTGTGCGTGCGGGGTGGATGCAGGCGGCAGCGCTGGTATACCTGGGACTCATTCTGGATGCTCAGCAGCAGATCCCTACGCGCGGTGCTCTGCAGGGAGCAAAAGTTTGGCAGGGGGCCATGCTTGTGTGATGGGGCCCGCTGGATGATTGAGCAAGCCTGTCAGGCATTGTAGCGTCAGGGTAAGGCAGTTCGTTGGCAATGCTTGCAAATAAAGGGAGACTTTTGGGCAGCCTGTGGCAGGCAACGATGTTTGCATACCTCCGCCATCTCTGCCTCTCTGCTCTGCGAAGTTGCAATCGTGGACCGGGTGAATTATTATTGTGCAGCCGCCAGCTCGGCATTACAAGGCTCTGCAAGGCCCTGCCCACGCCTGCTCGGGCGTTTTGCTGAGACTCCCTCAGACTCGTGGGCTTGAGGAGTCGCGCCCGCAATCCAGGAGTCGCGCCTCGCGTTGTGGGCTCCCGCTTGCCGCCCTTGGCCCGCTCACTTGCCCGCCACTTGCTTCACGTGCCAATTTTGATCGCAGCCTCCTCTGGCCATCCGCCGCCGCCACGGTTTGCTCGCCCGCCACTGCTCGCCCGCCACCGGCCCTCAGCGCCGTCGCTGGCCGACGCCAGAGCCGAGGCAGCGAGTCACGAGGCCCGTAGTACACCCCCTTCCTCATTGCAAAGCCAAGGGCAGGATGGCGGGCATCCTGGAGGCGCTGCCCGCCAGCAAGCGCTTCGATTTAGTGGGCCCGGCAAAATGCGTCACAGCGCTGGAGGCAGACCACACTGGCAGCCGGCTGGTGGCGGGCGGTAATGACTACATGTGCCACCTGTTCGACTTTGGCGGGCTCAAGGCCGACGGCAAGAGCTTCCGCAGCTTTGAGGTCACAGAGGGGCATCCTGTCGTTGCGGTGCGTAGCCTTGAGGCCTGGTGGCGGCTGCACCTGCCCAATGGCCATGCCTGCATTGCCAAATGGACGGGGTGATGGTGCTGCATGTGTGCAGCTTACAGCAAGCTGCAGCCCATGGCATCCAGGGCAGCAAGATAATCAGGGACGCAGCCTCTCAGGTCTCCTGTTTTCAACCAACGCTGCAGGTCAGCTGGTCGCCCACCGGCGACGCTTTTCTGGTCGTCACCTCTTACAGCCAGGTTCGCTGCCGCTGAAACCTGGATGCAGCCTTGGATGAGTACCAGCCATGTCGGCGCGAGGCCCATGCATCACTGCTGCCGGCCCCCCTTCGGGACACAGGACACTCTGCCTCAAACGGTATGCATCCCCATGTGCCGGGTGCAGCCAAAGGTGTACAGCCGGGATGGCAAGGAACTGGGAGAGTTCCCCAAGGGCGACATGTACATCAGGGACTTGAAGAACACCAAAGGTAGGCGGGGGGTGCCATGTCTGCTGCACTGCCTGGTTTGGTGCCCGCTGGCGCGCCGCGCAAGATGTCACAGCGATCTTTCTGCATGGATTCATGCTTGCAGGCCACATCACCAACTGCACGGGCGGCTGTTGGCACCCGATGGACAAGACGACTGTACTGACTTGCTCGCAGGATGGCACACTGAGGGTGTGGGATGTGATGGAGTTGCAGCAGAAAACCGTCATCAAGCCGCAGGTTGATGGGCTGCTGCTGAGCAAGTGCAGGCACAGCTATATCTGATATCGCCCCTGCACGCAGGAACTATGATATAACCTATCTTGCAATGACATGCGTGTGGTGCAGCTGGCCAAGCCAGGGCGTGTGTCTGTGACAGGCTGCAGCTACTCGGCAGATGGGCGATTAATAGCTGCTGGCCTTGCAGATGGCACGCTGCAGCTGTGGGATGTGCGAGGTAGGATTGTGCTACACTCCCACCTGTTGGCATGAAGTTGCGTTGGTTGTCCTCCCTGCCCACGTGTTGGGTGCCCTCGTCTGTGCAGGAAAGTTTGGGCAGTCGGCTGCCATTGGACTGGTCCCTGTGCCCAGAGCGCAAATGGTTGCAAAGCAAAGTTGGACATATGCATCCACCCCAGGTGCCATGGCCTGCCCCGGAGGTGGTGCTAGGCACTTGCAGATGTGACATGCAGCTGTATGGCTTTCGCGCGGCCCAGGCATGTGCTGTTCAAGCCAGTTGCCTGAAGCTCACCCAGACACTCCCAACTTGGGCCCCATGCAGGGCATGTAGCTCGTGGGGCACACGCAGCAGGCAGCGACATAACTTGCGTGTGCTTCTCGCTCAGCGCACAGAATTTGCTGTCACGGGGAGGAGGTCAGTGCAACATACCAAGCAGGCCTGCTTCCCTGGGGCCTGAATGTTGTGGCAGCGTGCCCGGCGCCACTGGTCCAGCATTTAATGCTGGCTGGCTGACTTAGCTGTGAAGCTGTGAATGCAGATGGTACGATCAAGCTGTGGGACCTGCGCAAGTTCAAGTCCCCAGTGTGCCAGGCCGGCAAGCTGCCATGCAACTATGGCTCAACTCAGGTAATGCCACCCAATTTGCGTTGTTTCTATGGCTGTTCCCATTGCTCCCCAATTTGAGGAAGGGATGCCTTGCAGTTTCGTCACAGGGCTGATCTCCATGCTGTCGCTCCTCCTTGCGCAGTGCTGTTACAGCCCAGACGAGAAGTTAGTTCTGACAGGCACTTCAGCCGAGGCCAAGGACAGCACCGGCTCGCTAGTTGTGCTCAGTGCTGCTTCACTGGAGATGCTGGGGGAGGTGGCGGTTGATGGCAGTGCGGTAGCTGTGCAGGTTTGTGTGGTTGGCTGTCGTCGAATATCCAGCCAATCTGCGGGGCCGCACTTGTCGTTCACCATGTGGTGCTCTTCGTCTCCGGCTGTCTGCAGTGGCATGCACGCATCAACCAGATATTTGTGGGGTGCGGGGGCCGCAGTGGAGGGTGCGTGCGCACATTCTACGACCCCAAGCTGTCTTCCAAGGGTGCAGTGCTGGCAGCCTCGCGCGCTCCCCGAACAATCACCACCGACTTCATGCAGGCAAGTTGTGTTGAGAATCGGCGTGTGGCCTGGCATCCATGCAGCAATGTGGAACTAGGGTTGTTTGGCAGCTTGGACAAGCGGACACAGCAGCTGCGCTTGTGCTGCCTCCCTCTGCAGCTGTCTGCACCGAAGATCTACAACCCCAACGCACTTCCGCTCTATCGGGAAGACCTCCCTGGTCGGCCACTTCCGAAGAAACGGCGGAAAGAGGTGGAGGACGAGAAGCACAAGTACACACCATCAGGAGGGAGCATGGCCAAGGGTACGTCTGCCTGCTGCCGGGCCTCCTCCTTGGTGGAGTTTAGCGTATGTTGTGGCAGGCACTGACCCGTGTAGTGAGGTTCCCCCTGATCGCAGGAATGGGCGCGGGTGGAGCTATTGGTGCTACTGGTGGCACCCTGCTCACACAGCATGTGCTCAAGCAGCAGGGAGGCCTGAAACCTCCGAGCGAGGAGGATGCAAGGCAGGCCTTCCTCCGCCACGCCGACAAGAAGGAGGACGCTTTCTCCAGGTTCACTGAAGCGTACCGCTCCACGCAGCCAACAAGAGTGTATGCCGAGGAGGAGGACGAGGAGGAGCCGCCGGAGGAGAAGTAGGCTTGATGCATTTGGGAGGTTCCAAGTCCAAGACTGCACGCCAGAAACTTGTCCCAAGCAATTGTCCCAGTCAATTCAGGTTGAAAGATGGGGGGCCAGCCTGCGGCGCATGCGAGGTGCCAGCCTGGCGGCGAGCCCACCCCAGTGCCCCTGATTCATCAAGTTCCAGATTAAACTCTTGACCTCCCTGTCTCCTTCTTCTCGTGGATGTTTGGCATGCCAACCCATACCATGCCCCGTCGGTTCATCACCACGGGCTCTCTGAACGCAGCACGCCTGCAAATTGCCACTAGGCAAATGAGTGCAACAGAAGTGGTTCGCAATTACCTCTCCGGCTTGCGCCGATTAGAACCACAGCTGAACAGCTTTATTGCTGTCGATGTGGAGCACGCCCTGTCGCAGGCGGCAGCCATAGACAATCAGCTGGCAAAGGGTGAAGAAATAGGGCCGCTGGCTGGCGTCGTCATGGGCATCAAGGTGGGGTCGACCCTGCTGGCGGGGCGCATAATATGGCGGTTATGCATTTGCTTACTCCACCAGGAACACGTGGTGATTGTCGTTTGGCTGTTGCTCTCGCAGGACAACCTGTGCACCCAGGGACTGCAGACAACAGCAGGCAGCAAGGAGCTGCGGGGCTATGTGCCGCCTTATGATGCCACGGCGGTGGCGCGCCTGCGGGCTGCTGGAGCTGTGGTGGTGGGCAAGACCAACATGGACGAATTTGGCATGGGCAGCAGCTGCGAAAACTCGGGGTTTCAGGTACAGCTTGCTGCGAGGCATTCCTCAAAGGGCAGGTGCTGCTGCGCAGGTGTGCAAAGACGAGTCTAATATGGCATTGTTGAGCAACAGGCCCTCCTCTCCTTAGCCCCCATCTCCCCACCTGACTCCCAACACATGACACGTCGCTTTGTCGCAGCCCACCTTCAACCCTTGGGACACGGACCGCGTGCCAGGGGGCAGCAGCGGTGGATCTGCTGCGGCGGTGGCCGCCAACCAGTGCATCGCGGCACTGGGCAGCGACACAGGTGGCAGCATCCGGCAGCCTGCCTCCTTCTGTGGTGTGGTTGGCGTCAAGCCTACATATGGGCGTGTGTCACGCAATGGTCTGGTGGCCTATGCGTCCTCCCTGGACTGCGTGGGGCCCATTGCCCAGACAGTAGCAGATGCGGCGGCTGTGCTGTCCGTCATTGCAGGTACGCAGGGCTGGGCTGTGCTGTTTCAGCAGCCTTCACCACATGCACGGACACTGTTCCCTGGCTATTCTCTGATCGTGCATGTGCAACGCTACATTGACCTTGTGCGTTTGCCAAGCCCATGTCCGGTGTAGGTCCTGACAGTGCAGATGCCACCTGCAGCCAGCGACCTAGCGAGGACTTTACGGAGGGACTGGTCCCCCTGGAACAGCTGAGCAGCAAGCCGCTTGCAGGGCGGCGGCTGGCGGTTATCCAGGAGACGAGCGGAGAGGGTGTGGATCCAGGCAAGCTGCGTGTTCTTGGGCACCCTCGCGCCCCTTGGCAGTGCGCATGTTGACCAGAAGCGCCGCATGCTCCCTCCCTCCCCTTCCGCCCCACCCCACCTGTGCCACCTCGTGCGTCATCCCACCCCAATAATGCAGGGGTGGCAGAGGCGCTGGCCGCGGCAATCAAACATTTGCAAGAACTTGGGGCTGAAGTGGACCAGGCAAGTTGCTGGCTCCTTGCTGGGTTCAACCTTTGGAAAACTAGCAGGACTTTCTGCTTGTTGCATTGCACAAGCAGCATCTGCCAAATCCATGCATCTATGTACATGCAGGTGTCGCTAACTTGTTTTGGTGTGGGCTTGCCCGCATATTATGTTATCGCATTGTCAGAGGCATCCAGCAACCTGTCACGCTACGATGGCGTGCGGTATGGTCAGCGTGCAGAGGCAGATGGTGAGCCTGCCCTGCTGCACAGTCTCCCACGGCTTCTCACCCATCAAATGACGGACATCTGCCACGGCCTGTAGCATTGATAGGCCCACCCCTGCTGCCCTGGCCTGGCTGTCACGAAGCGCCTCCCAGCTCTTTGCTCCGCAGAGCTGCGCAGCATGTATGGCAAGACCAGGCACAACGGCCTTGGCAGCGAGGTCAGTGCAGCCCAAACTTCTGCCGCTTGCCTGATGTGCCGCCCTGCCCTTAAACTTTGCCCAGCTGGACAGCTGGACAACTGACCCACTGCTTGCAGGTGGCGCGGCGCATTCTCATGGGCACGTATGCTCTGTCGGCAGGATACTATGATGCCTACTACAAGCGCGCGCAGCAGGCAAGCAGCCAGAAGGGTGGGGCTCTCTGGTACTCGTGTGGAGAGATGCCGCGCCCTTTGGTGTCCCGTGCGCAAACTCTGTACTGCCTTCCCATGCAGGTGCGCACACTGGTTCAGCGGGAAATGGGCTCGGCGCTGCAGCAGTATGATGCACTGCTGTGCCCGGCAGCGCCTACAGCAGCATACCGAGTGGGAGAGAAGACCAGCGACCCACTGGCCATGTACAAGGGTGAGGCCATGCGGTACTGCCCCTGATTCATGCGCCGTGTAATGCCCTTGCATCAAATGAGTAGGTTCTTTAGGCAACATGGACTTGCTCCCGACTTAACGGCGTCTGCAGGCGATCTGATGACCGTAAACCTCAACCTGGCTGGCCTGCCAGCAGTGTGCTTGCCATGCGGCTTTGCCGAACAGCCTTCTGGCGGCACGCTGCCGGTGGGCATGCAGGTAATAGGTTTTGAATGCTGTAGCCTGCACGTGCGCCAACAACGCTCTTTGCGAGACCCGTGGCTGGCAGTGACAGCACGCCTTTGCCCCATCCTTTTCCCTGCAGATGATTGGGCGCGCCTTTGGGGAGGGTGATCTGCTGCAGTTGGCCCACATTTTTGAACAGACTGCGGCAGTGATGGCCCTCCGGAGACCTGCTGTGTATTTTGAGGCCTAGTCCAGTCCAACTTGTGGCAGAAGTTGCACAAATAGCCCGCTGTTTTGAGGGCAGAATGTGTCAAAATCATTTGAAAATTGGAGAAAGTGAGAGCAAGAGAACAGCAATTGGCGTCCTTATCTCTCAAAGTCCTTGGTAAATCCTTGGTCCTTCTGGTCATCTCAGTCCTTCTGGTCATCTCCCGCCTTGACGGGAACCCGCTCTGCCAGAACTTCGCCAGTCTTCTTCAGGTAGCGCTGCAGGACAGTCGACAGAGTGTGTACGTGTTGATCGCTATCAGCGCAATCGGCTTGAAGCCCCCAATGCCGGTCGCGCAGCCACGGCTGTCGGCAACACCAGGCACGACTCACCACTTTCTTGCCATCAACCTCCCTGCAGCAGCACAACAGGGGCTTTGCAACGTTAATGGCAGGCTTCCCTGGCGCTGCAACATGCGGGCAGGGCAGCATGTGAGACACAGCCCCCAATCCCAGTTGCCAACGCCGTGTGTGGGCACAACCCGCGGGCCGCCACTCACTTGAAGCCGACGCGGCTGGCCACCTGCTGCGCCGTGGAGTAGACGGCCACATTGGAGTGGTGCACGGGGAACTCCTTCTTCACAATCTGCCCCTGCTCCCCCTGCTGCGCCGGCTTGACGTGCTTGGTCTTGATGTTGACGCCCTCCACCACCACCTCGCCGCGCTTGGTGTTCACCTCCACCACTGTGCCCACCGTGCCCTTGTCGCTACCGGCAATCACCTGCAGCAGGGAAGGCAGCAGCAGGTGAAGGACAGCGGGTGCTGCATCCTGCACATGCACAGCCAGAGACTCTTGACGCACCTTTACGGTGTCGCCCTTCCGGACGTGCATGGACACACGCTGCGGCTTGCCATTCTGGTTCAGCTCAAGGTGCTCCCACTTCTTGCCGGGGCCCTGCAGCGAGGCGTGAAGGGTGGGTCAGGGACATGCTGAAGCGTGGTTGCACCCTGTTCAGCGCCCACCAAAGCGGCGGCGGGCGCTGGCACCAGTGCCACTCACAATGACGGCTGCGCGGATGACGAGCGTGCGTGGGGCCGACTGCATGCAAGAAGCGGGCCAACAGTCACGGACAGGGAGTGCGGCTGCATGAAGACGCCCCAGGGCTGAATGAAGAGAGACGCGCCAATGCGCCACGAGAAGCGCCGTGCGGCATGTTGCACTTGCCGGTTGCTGCCGTGGTGTGGCCTGGAAGGGCTTGCTGGTGCCCAGGAAGTGACCTTGCATAGCTGCAGCGGTCATGGCCCCTCTCGTGAAAGCGTGCTCCCTGCCCGACAAGAGCTGCGCACACCGACCGAAAAGGCTGGAAGAGGGAATGGGACCGAGCTCATCCCCAAGTTGTACCTCTACTGGTACTTCTGCGCCGACTCCTGTGGCCTTGCATTCTGTCTGGCATACTGCTACATGCAATGCTGCTTCTCACACCAATCTGCTGCATCCCGGCGCCACTTGCGCCTTCTTAGTCCCGCTCGCTGATTGCCACCAGATGCTCCTCGAGCTCCTCGCAGCTGAGCACCCGGAAACGCCCACCATCCTGCGCCGATGCCAGTCCCACCTCAATGTCCGAGACCTTCAGATCCTCGCCCAGCACGTGCTGCAAGCAACGGCGGCAGGGGGCATTCGAAGTGTGGGGGACACCCAGAGATGTGCAAGTGCGATGAGATGTGCCCATCTCCACGGGCACGCTCTTGACATTGACGCAACCCCATTGCCTGCTCAGCCTGCTCAGCCTGCTCAGCCCGCTTCGCTCAGGAATAGGGGAGACACACAAAAAAGGGAAGCACAGGCAGGCCACGCACCTGCAGCGTGGAGATGGCCAGCTCTACCACCTCCTTCTGGCTGTACTGCGGCCCCGTTTTGAACTTCTTCTCCAGCATGTTCACCGCCTCCGTTTCCTTCACGCCCGCAGCGGTGGCCTGCAGGGCGCACAGCAGCACTGCCGGTGGATCATCCCATTCAAACCCACAACCCAATGCTGCGCATCAATCTGACCCCGACCTAACACACACCTTGTAGCCCACAAAGTAGCCTGCAGGGTCCACCTTGAACAGCTGCGGGCCGCGCTCCTCATCAATGGCGATGAGGATGGGGATGACGCCCAGCGGCCGCATGTAGGCGTGCTGCAGAACGGGGCAGCACAGGCCATCGGGGGCGACCAGCACAAGGAACTCAAGGAGTTCAGCGGCGGGGGGGTGGCCCCGCTGACACAGCCGAACCGGGGGGCATGACCATGGGCAGATGCCTGCGCGCAACCCGCGCCGCACGCCAGCGCCTGTTCCCACCTGCGTGTACACCTGTGCCTGGTCTGCTAGCACCCGCGCCAGGTAGTGCACCGGCATTTCGTACCCAAATTTGAACCGGAACTCGGCTGCCTCGGAGCGTGCTTTCTGCATCAGCGAGCGGGCATCACCTGCAATGCAGGTGCGCGGCAAAGCAAGGTGACGGTGAGCAAGGGCACGTGGAATATGCAGCCAACGATACTGCCAGGCAGCGGCTTCCCACAGCAACGGGGCCCCCCACCGTGCATGCCCGTCAGCAGCATGCCGATGTTCTTGGTGATGCTGTGTATCTGCGTCACGCTGCTGGGGTCGGTCAGCTTGTCGGGCACCTTGCGCTGCACACAGAGGTAGGAAAGAGTGGGCACAGATGACCGGACGGGTGGGTGGGTGGTGCAGCTTGCAGATTGCCTCTAGAAAGAATCGCTGGTGCGCGGCCAGATCCTGCTGCTCATGATAAACCATTTGGGGGGAGCACCGCATGAGGCCCTCGCCCTACCTGCGTGACAAAGCACACGCTGTCGGTGCCCCTCACAGCGATGGCCGTCAGCCCGTTGCTCTTGGCGGCTTTGAATGCATACTCTGCAAGGGGCACTGGGGAAGTGTCGGCAGCAAGGAACCAATACCGCCGGGCGAGGGCTGCGCAGCCAAAGCATATGCCTCACCAACTTGATACAGTCTTCCCTCGGGGCTAAAGATTGTGCTGCAAAGAGCAACAAGGGCAGTGGATGAACAAAGCACGTCGGCGGTGTGCGCCTGCTGAGCTCCTGTGCCCTCGAGAACTCACATGTGACGGTCATAGCCACCACTGCCGTGCGACATCTTGTTTCACCGTGACTGATCAAGCGCTCGATCGATCGTGCTAGGGTAGCTGGCGTCTCTAGTAGACAGCCTTATGTATCGCGAGGCCTAGAGGAGGCGAGGAGCGCGACACGAGCGCGATGTACCATGCGGAGTACACAAAAAAACAACTTCAGTCGCAGTGCCCTGGCGAACGATAAGAATGTCTTGGCCCGGCGGTGCCATTTCCGCTGCTCCAGGCGACCTGCCGCAGCAGCCGCTCGGCTGGGGGCGGGCGGCGCCACCGCCAGCTGGGCTAAGCTTTGGGCAGGCGGCGCCATCGCCATCGGGGCCAAGCTTTGGGCAGGCGGCGCCACCGCCAGCGGGGCAAAGCTTTGGGCGGGTGGCGCCACCGCCAGCGGGGCGCGGCTTTGGGCAGGCACCACAGCCGCAGGCAGCACCGCAGACTAGATTTGGCTTCGGTACCCAGCAGCAGTCAGCTTGGCAGCCAAGCACTTTCCAATTTGGCGCCCAGCTGCCCTTCAGTGTTCCACCCCACACTACCCAATTCAGTTTTGGGCAGCAGCAGCAGCAACTGGCAGCCCTCCCTGTCAAGTTTAGCTTCGGCTCAGCGACACGTAAGAAGCCACAGGAGCCGCCAGCCCCCTTTGCCGCAGCAGAAGAGGAGGGCGATGGCGAAATGGTGCGCTCGGCCCGGCCCGGTTTGATTGTCCTGCAATGGTTTTGTGCGTGTTCTCCAACGCATGTACAGGAGTGGAGCCTCCTCATCTCACATCCTTGCAATTTGCAGGTGGAGCAGGCAGGCCTGGCAGCAGCGGGCGCTGCCTCGGCACCGCCACCGCCACCAGCACCACGTGCGCTCAGAGGCATGCGACCTGCTGCAGCTGTGGGCCTGGATGCAGAGGAGGAGGAAAAGAAGAGGCTGCGAGCTTCGCGCTTTGGCGGCGCGCCCAGTGGGCATGGCTCGTCTGCACTGCCGCCAGCAGCCATACCACAGCAGCGGCAGCAGGGGGTGGCAAGCACTGCCTCAAGGCCAGGGGTCAGTACACCCGACGGCACCGACATGGCAGAAGGAGAGGCAGATGCAGGTGCGGAAGAAGTAGGGGACACAGATGCACCTCCTAGCAGGAGTCTGTCGTGGCAGCTTATTCACCTTGAAAAGGATGCACACAGTCCTTCCGGGCTGTTGTCTGCTTGGCAACTGCAGGCGGCGAGGGCGGGATGCGTGCAGGCGCCATTGTGGGCACCTGCGAGGAGATGTGCCCAGCAGTAGAACGGGAGCGGCGTAGCAGGCTCAGCGATATCCAGGTGCCGAGTGCTTCTACTGGCACCCGATGTTCTGCTGCAGTGAAACCACTTGCCAAGTTGCTCAGAGCCCCTGCCATCCCTCCTCTTGTGCCTATTGCGGCACCACAGATGCAACCGACTATTGTAACTGCTTGCTTGGCCCGCAGATCTTCGAGCGCTTGGACCTGGAGAACTCGGGTTTGACCAGTGCTGAGCTGGCTGTCAAACGTTTTGCTCGCACGGTGCGTCATGGCTGGCACATTAATTACTGTGTGTTTTATCCTGTTCAATGTGTTGCAACTTGCACAGCCTTGTGTGAGTCGTGGCACATCACTGTGCAGATTGACGACAGCAATAACGCACCAGAGTTCTTTCGGACACGCGGGGCACTTAGTCGCACCATGGCACACCTCAGAACACTTCTGGATAGGCAAGCGCAAGCGCCATGCAACCATCTATGCATCTATGCATGCAACCATGCATGCAACCGCAATTTCGTGAGGGTCTGAATTCGATGCATCTTTCTTCTCGCACGCTTCCCGGATGGCTTGACTTCGTCTGCCCATTCCCTTGATTCTGTCGTGTGCAGGCAGGATGCACGGCTCGGCCTGATTCACAAGTTCTTGTGGGACCGCTACCGCTCCGTACGCCAGGATCTGTACATTCAGGGCATGGATGTGAGCTGTATTGCTATATCAGTGGGTGCTTTTTGCTGCAAGCAGCAGCTGGTGCTGCCGGCATGGTTCACCGACGGTTCACAGACTCTCATGCCTGCTCACAACACCCTACGCACACGTGATTCTTTTTCTTTGCAGGACGAATTTTCCGTGAACATATTTGAGGAAGTAGTGCGGTTTCACCTGCTGTCTGAGCATGAGCTATGCGAGGAGGAGGCATCTAGTGAGTGGCCTGGGGTGCCAGCCACAATGCACACATTTGTTTGCCTTGCTTTGGCTGAGGGCATCCTTTGGTGCGTGCAGTTACCGAAATGGAGGGTTTCAATTCTCACCTGAACATGGAACAAATGAACAAGGTGATTCAGCAAATTGGACGTGCTGTAAGCCGAACCCATGCCTCTGCCTGCACAATATACCCACAAGCAGGGCTGCTCACCCCGCTTTCAGGCGCTGATTTCGCTGAACGACATGTACAACAAGTTGGCGGCGGCAGGCAGGCCAGTGCCAACTGGTAAGTGGTCGTCAGTAATTGATTTTTATGTTCGTTTCTTCTGTGTGCATGCTCCAGTCACTGGTGCTCTTAGTCTCTTTGCAGAAGCTGAGTTCCGGGCATACCATTTGCTCAGCCTAATGGGGCAGCACGGCAAGTTCAAAGGGGACCAGCAGGGTTTCCTGTCCATGCTCCAGGCATGTTGATTCACGCATCTGGTTGCATTAAGCAGCTGTGTGCTCATCAAGCATTCCCTTCAGCACCGCAAGTCAGGGGGATCTTCTGGGCCCTTTGGCATCTGGGCCAGGGGCGATCATCTAGTCATGACAACGCCCCCTGCTGCTGCAGGCAATGCGGCCAGATGTGCGCGGTGCTGCACCAATCCAGTGGGTGCTCAGGTTGCAGGTATTCAAGCAAGCTCAAGCTGTTGTTACCATGTGTGTGTGTAGCAGCAGCTTCTGACTCTTTGATGTTTCAAACTGCCTGTTGTGCAGCGCGCTTTTTCGGCGGGCAACTTCGTGCGCTTTTTTGGACTGGTGCGACAGGCGCCTTACCTGCTGGCTTGTTTGTCGCACATCTACTTTGGGCAGGTAAGGTGCAACAACGCAGATCTTTGTTTTTTTTTGCTGACATTTTCATTTCATGTCTCAAGCCGTGCCAAGCCGTGAGTTATGCTTGAAATGCAGATTCGTGGTCGTGCGCTCCGCATGCTGGGCGACACTCTGGCACCAAAACCTGATGTGCCGGTTGCGCTGGAAATCACTTGGCTGGTGGTAAGCAGGCAAACAATTGCCAAGGGTTGATCTGGCACCCATATGTACTGCAGAGCTTCGTCTAACTGGCATGCAGCATTTAGTCTGCGCCATTGTCGGATTGCTGATCTGCAGGAGACGCTGATGCTGGATTCAATAGAGCAAGCACAGCAATTGTGTGCCATGCATGGCTATGAGATGGGCATGCAGGGCAACGTGCCTGTTGTGCTGCTGGTCAAGGTCAGCGTTTCTGTCCCTCCATTGATAAACACTCAAGGGGCTGACCTGCCCTGGTAATTGCTCTTTCTGCGCCTGCAGGCAGCTTATGTAGACCCTCCGCCCCCTGTCCCGCGTAAGCGGAGCAACCTTATCAGCTGCATGGCGCCGGCCACGCGTAGGTGTGTGTCCTGCTCAGCCAGCAATGCTTGAATGCCACCGCGCTGTATTGATTTGTGCGGCGATGCGTGAGTCGTAAGTTTCCCTTTTTGTGAGCTCCTCTTACCGGCCCCAACTGCTTGCTGTCGATGTGCGCGCAGCCTGGCTGTTACGACCCCATGCCTGCCACCCATGTCAGCTGAGGAGGCAGCGCTATTAGTACAGCAGAGGCAGGAACAGGTGCGCAGGCATAGCGAAGAGGAGTCTCGGCTCATAAAGCAGGCTGCAGATCAGAGGCACAGATCAGAGGAACAGGAGATGGCTGCCACAGCAGCTGCGGTGGCAATGGCAGCGGCAGAGAAACTGCGGCAGGAAGAGGCGGCGGCATGGTGAGAGGCAGCTGCTGGTCCTGCTCTCTAGTACGAAACAGTGTGTTCCTGCTGTCCAGCGCGAAACAGTGTAGGCAGGTTTGCTGGCTGGGGCGCAGTCACTTGAGGAATGTGGTGCATGTGGTGATGCAGGCAAGCTGAGCAGGCTCGACTTCGTCAACAGGAGCTGATTCGGCAACGAGAGGCACAATTGGCAGAGGAGCGGCGACTACAAGCTGCATTGCTGCAGCAACAAGAAGCTCATCGGCAGCAGCAAGAGGAGGAGGCAAAACGACAGCAGCAGCTTGCAGAGTGGCACCGGCAGCAGCGACTGGCTGTTGCGGAGGCTGAGGAGCGCAGGAAGCAAGAGGAGCATCGGCGCCAGTGAGTGCGGCTGTGTGGCCTCGGCCTTGCCCTGCCTTGCAAGATCAACTCATGCCAAATTCAGGATACCTTGATGAGAACGGGAACTGTGAAGCTATACATATGTATGCATCTTCACGCATGCTTGGCGGGGCCTTGTTTGCAGGCATGAGGCAGAGGTGGCAGAGAGGCACAGGCTGGCTGAGCTGGAGCGTATTGGTTTAGAGCAGCTGAGGCAAATGGAGGTAGTGTGCAACCTCGCTGCTTCTTTTCGTCTTTACAGACGGGGTTATGGGTGGACATTGACTCGATTTTGCATGGCAGGTACAATGTTCTAATGCCGTCTCAAACGCGGGTTGTGCGCTGACGTTCGTTCAGGAAGAGCGTCGTGCTCGGAGGGAGGCCAAGCGTCGGCGTGCCATTCAGCATTTCTACATATCTCGCTGGCAGTTGGAAGTGCGCAGGTTCGCTGTGCAGCAGATGATCATATTGTTGGCAAGAGCGGTAATTTGCACTTGCCTGTTTCCGCCGAGCTGCCAAAAGTTTCTGTGCGTGATGCAGGCGCATTGAAGAACGCTACCGACAACAGCGACTCGCAGCTAACTTGAAGGCATGCCAAGTGGGCATGCCGAGCAAGGTACGACTGATTGCATACTCGGCCATTTCTTTGGCGTGTTGGCAATGCATTTCGTTGTCAGGCATGCCACCAGCCAGCTATTCTTTTCAGGTCCAAGCCTTGTTGCTGCAGATGGCTGCCACAGGGGATGCCAGGGGACGAGCGGCTGATGAAGTGGTGGAGCTGAATGCTGCTGCAGATGCTCCACAGCCACAAATTGTGCCAAGGCCAGCACCAGCGGCGGCAGCCACACAAGCAATAGACCTTGCCTCCTTGGCGGCACCGCTGCTGCTTCAGCGGAGCCCTGCAGCGGGCACACTTTACTGGAAGCTCGTGCTGGCGCCATCGCAAGGGGCCCTTGTCGGCAGCAACAGTTCCCAGCTGGAGCTGCTACAGCACCTGCATTGCTGGCTAGCATTGCAGCTGCAGCAGGGGAGGCCAGTCAGGATGCCGTTAAGCAGCGCTTTCGTGGAAGGTCCAGTGGTCGTGAGCACTGCTGGCCGCAGCTGCGCAGCAACCACGGCAGAAATAACAATATGTTTAGCAAGCCCCGACAGCGACAGTGGCGGCTGCGCGGCTGCCCTGGCGGGTGCATCAGGCGTGGTTGTTGCAGTGCCCAGCAAAACCTCTGATGTCTTTGAGCTGCAGCACCAGCTGCAGCTATGCAGGACAGCCACACCTCTCCCGATCTTGCTTGTTGCTGCTTCAGATGAAGCAGCACAGGCTTGGCAGAGGCAGATTGATCACGCTGAACTGCCCCCAGGGGCGGCATTGCACGTGGTGAGCGTCCATGAGATGGCTGCGGCACGCTGCGGCAGCAAGAGCGCCGGTGGCATGCAGTGTCCAGAGCGCACTGCCTACAGCAGACAGCGGCTAATTCAGGGCCTGTGCTGGCTGGCAGCACACGCTCCACTGCAACCCATCCTTAAGGTGAATTTGCCAAGTGCTACCTTGCATGCGTGCAGGCGTTGGTGCTATCGCATTGCCTGTGATGAAGCTGTATCTTCCACCTCAACTTGTCTGCAGATTGTGCCGCTGGAGGTCTTAGCGCGCAGTGCTCTGGCAGCAACATGCATGCCGCTACAGCGCATGCCAGCTCGGCTTGCATGGGGTCCGCCTGCTGCCTACCTCGTCTGCACCGCTCTTCAGCAGGCCGCAGCGCTGGTGGAGCACGTTGCACTGTGAGTACCAACCATGTTGCCCAAGTGATCTCCGGCTGAATTCCCTTCGTTGCTGCATGCAATTAGTTCAGAAGGCCTTTGAAACGGGACCCGCCGCACTGGGTGTTCCTGCAGGCGCTCGCACCACAGTGTAGCCGCTCTGTGGCAATGGCCGCCCCCCGAGCTGGCATCAGGGCCTCTTTGCAGCTGGTACAACGTGGAGAACTTGGAAATGGTGACGAGCTTGTTGCAGAGGTTTCGTCCTGATGCATCGAGCCTGATGGGCATGACCAAGGGTAAGGCGCAGTACCCAAATGCAGGAGTGCCCCTGGCAAGTTGGCTGGCAACAGGAGGAATCGAGAGGTTTGCAGGGAGACCACCCTTTACAGCCTTCTGTGTTTGTGGTCTGCCACGTATGCAGGCAGCAGCCGCCAGGCGCTGATGGTGGCAGCCCACATGCAGCTGGCCATGCTAGAAACAGCAGGGGTGCCTCCACTGATGCTGACTCCAGATTTGGAGGAGTGGTTTAACCAGCAGCTGGGTGCGGCAAAAGCCGCATTGCCGCTACCCCCGCATGCAGCAGTTGCACAACAACAGCGACCTGGCAGCCCCAGCCTGCGGCAGAAGCGCAAGTGGCAAGCAACTGGCTTGCCTCCGGGCTCATCAGCGGACCAGCAGCCATGTGTAGCAGCAGTATCGGCACCAGCTCAGCAGCAGCAGCCCGACTCCTCAGCCATCAGTAGGCTTCCATTTTGGCACCACTTGAAGCAGGCCCTGCTGGCAGAGAAGCATCAAGAGGTGGACCTTCAGGAGCATGCTGTGCTGGTGGCGGCAGACACAACCTTTCTTCCTGTTGATTTGTCGGAGCTGGATGGAAGTGACAATGAGGCCTGTGTGGCAGGCACGGGGACGTTGCGCCAGCTGCAGCAAGCGGCCGTAACGGAGCGTGCAGCTACCGAGCGACTGATGCGCCTCGCACTCCAATAGCACTGTAATTGTGACATGAAATGTGACACAGATGAAGCCAACACATCTACAACAGAGCTGTTAGCACTGCCTCAATAGTAGCGCATTTCCAGCTCATCCCCCTCAAATGGCCTGCACACAATGCAAACAACCATGAGGGAGGAACGTGGCTACCACAAATGCGGTGTGCGCCCACACATAGTCTGGAACCCAGCTGCCACCTACCGGATGGGAACCAAATCTGAATTTTCGCAGCGGTACATGAAGAAAGCGAAGAAGAACAGCGGTAACAGAACAATGGCCTGGGATACGTTGATCCATGTGAACCCATAGTGTAACCCCAAATAGGCCAGTGGGTACTGCATGCAAGAGAGATGCAGGATTCAAAGTAAAGCGACAGCGGAGGGCTGATAAAACGATGGGAAAGTGTGTGAAACACTTGCGCACCTGCAGCAGCCCGAAAAGGCTATTGACTATGTTGTCGGCCGCCACCAGCTTGCCAAAGTTCTTGAACCCAAACAAATTGCCAAAAATGGCAAAATAGCTGCAGGGGCACACCGGGATTCCATCCAGTGACAAAAAAACATACCATCACGGTGCCAGAAAACCACATGGTGCAAGGAGGTGACATCACCTGGAGTACATAAAGAAGCGGCTGATCATCCACGTGATCAGAGTGAGCACTTGAATCTGGAGATTGGGGATGGCCTGAAGAATGCTGCTGATGACATTGAGGCCGTTGATGGTGCCCAGGGTGATGCCATACCCCTGCACAAAAGGGCCAATGCCGGAACATTGCGCAGCTGCCACAGCTTGCTGCCAAAGCAAGGTGAGAGAGGCAGGGCGTGCACCTTCTTGTCTAACAACCAGCCTATGACCGGGATGCCCAGCACAGCAAACGCTACGACAATGTTGGCAAAGTCCACGTACGAGCCGTCGTCGCCCTTGTTCTTCAGCTGCTGCCGCGTGGTACCTGGGAGCAGCAGAGCAGGGGAACCGCTAATGTGGCCCACATGCTGGACAAGCTACAATTTGTTCACACAACGGAGAAAGAAAACAGGCAGGCAGATTAGGGGCGGGACAGAAACGAACCAAGGTAGAATTGCATGATGAAAACATTGAGCGTGTAGAATATGCCCATGCCCAGCGCTTCAGTCGACCAAAATTGTTCTGCATTGAGGTAGCGGTTGCAAACACAGTGTGATCCGTTTCTTTTCCCTCATTTCTCTTCCTGTGCCACCAGAACACCACCACAAGGCCTCTTGCTTGCCTGAGAATGTCTTTTTCCGCAGCTCCACGAAACGCCGCGCTTCAAACACCAACGGGCCCCAGGAGACATCCTCTGGAAGTTGTCCAGCAATGGCATCCTGCTCGTGCTCCGATACCAGTTGTGTGCTGCATGATCAGGTACACAGCGGCACCGCAAGGCTGTGTGGACGGAAAACAATGGAAACCAACTAATCCTGATCAAGATCCTAATCAGAAAGATCCTTTCAAGCATGCGTTCCACCCACCTGGAGCTAGAAAGACCTTCACCTCTTGCTGGTTGAAGACCGTCCGTGGGAAATGGCCCAGGTGCATGTGCACTCACGCTGGGCATGTCCACAGCCGTCGGAGGCGGCCCGGCTGCATCCCTGCATGTACCCCGACACAAAGATGGGGTCACTGCTGCATGCAATGCGGCCGCTGGGCACATAACGTTCGTTGTGCATCTAGGGCATACCTGGCGCCATTAGCGCGATGCAGGGAGGATGCCGCAACAAAGTCCTGCAGGGATGTGGTCCGCCGATACTGCCGTGCAAACTCTGCAGCGTCAGCGTGAAGCTTGCCAAGTGGGTGGATAAAGAGGGTTGCAATTGCAGCGCATCCACTGCTCCGACCCACCTGTCCGCAGGCGAACCTCAAACGTCCAATCTTTTCGCATGAGGTACACCATGCCCACCCTAAATGAGTTGTTGGGCATCATCCACGCAAGCAGGGGGATCCACAGCGAGCAAATGCCGGCATAGCTTAGCATAATGGTGCGGTAAGCCGCCCTGCAGGGCAGGGGCAGCCAAGATACTTCAACAAGGGCCATCCTTACGGCCGGCTCGCTGGCAGGTCGGTGGGGGACGCAGTCTGCAACCCACTGTGAAGAACCCGAGTTCTCGAAGATGAGCATCAACAGATACATGACGATGCCACACCCAGTGAAGCCTGCCACAAAAACAGAGGCCACCAGGCCTCGGCTGCGTGGAAAGAGGGCAGATATGTGGAACTGGGCCAAGTGGAAGGTGATGTTTCCCAGGCCAAGCAAGATGGCCGCGGGGATGAAGGCATTGACGCCACCGGAGGAGGACACGCCAAACAGCACCAGCGCTGCCATGTTCAGGACCACCCCTGCAACAGCACAGCAGCAATGTGAGCGGGGCACGCAGCGGTGTAAAGGGTGGGTTCTAGGTAAGAACGTTATGCTGAGCATGCACGAAGGCGCTGCGGCCCTCCAACAACCCACGGCCACCAGGCCTACCCAGTATGCCTGTCAGCTTGGGCCCCAGGAAATCCAATACAAATCCCATGACCACGGGCCCACAGTTGAGCGTGAAGATGCCCAGCGTCCACAGCAGCTGTAGGCTGCTCTCCTGCGGCGTGCACACCTCGCCTGCATGGCAATATGCGCATGCATCCTTGCAGGGGCAGCAAGTCGGACGGTCCACCGAGTTCCATTGTGCGTGATGCAGGGGAAGCATGATGCACCCACTCGGAATCGCCCGCCATCAGCGATCGGCGGCGCTCACCTTCGGCCAGGTCGGAGCAGCCTTCATCAAAGTTGCCCAACTGTTGCAGCATCCCTGCAGGCCCGGTTTACAATGCTACGTGAACTGCGGTGCAGGCAAGGCACCACACTGGCGAGTCCAGCAAAAACAAGCACCTGACAAGCTGGGCCAGCCAAACATGAGCCCGCCTGCAGCAGCGCAGGGGTCAGGCGGCACAGCAGGTTTCAGATGTGTTCACACGGCACGGCAGGGATGGTTGGCCGGGCTGCGTCAGGGGTTTGAGCTCTGCCAGCAGCCGCGGCGGCGGCGGCGGGGGACACTTGTCCCAAAGTCCTCCTACTCCGGGCACGCGACCTCCCCCATCGCTGTAAGTGAGTGCCAGCCGGGGGTTGGATCAGCCGGAGGAACGCTGAAGGTGGTTGGCCCTTGCTGTGGGCTGCCTGCGGCTTTGATCGCAGCCACAGAGACGTCTCACCTTGTATGAATTCCCCAAACAGCGACACTGCGAGCAGCCACAGCCGCCCGTCTCTCGTGCCATGGGGGAACACAAGGGCCTCGACCCCAGACGCCATTGCAGCGTAAATGCTTACACACTGTCGTAGTGCGTAAACATTGCAGGACGCGTACAGTGCAGGATGCACGGCGCATCGTACCGCCGCGCCGCCCCGCCATGCCAATAATGAAACCATACGTCCACTGGCGTCTGATCAATGAAGTTGACCTTCTTCACAGTGCTGCACTGTCTGAGGCGATGTGTACAACTCCGGCTTGGGTGGCCGGCCACTGAGTCCTCCATTTTGCCACACGTCGGCCACGACGCATTGCACCACTTATGATTGGCACCATGGCTTCGCCTGGTGAAGTCTCTGTTGCGCTGATGCAGCCCCAGCTGGACAGCATGCATGGGCAGTGCAGACGCTGCCACCATTTCCTGCGTCTCTGCGGAGGCCAACAGCCCCAGAAAATGGACAGCGAACATTGAGCTGGCAGTACCTCCCACTCGATGCGCAGGCGGTCCCTTCCCAAGGTGCGGTGCCTTGCAGCCCCAGCTCCTCCCACGCACATACCCCCCCTAAACTCATCATGGCTTTCTGCCTGCGACTTAGGGCGGCACACCGAGTAGCAGTGGCAGGTGGGGGCCGTCCCCGCACCCGCCCCCCTGCCGCTTTCCCGGCGCCGATAACTGGGGCAAAGGGGGCACAAGCGAAGTGACCTGCTGCAGCTTTCGGACACTAGTCTCTGTGAAACATACAACTAGGTGCGCGTCGCGCATAGTACACAGGTGCAGACGCAAGGCGGGGCGCTTGGGCGGCGGCGGCCGCCCGCCCCCACATATCCAGCTAGCGCCACAGGGATTGCAGGTTTCCGCTAGTAGTAGATTGCAGGTTTCCGCTACTGTGCTCTTCAACACAACTCTTTTTGTCGCACTTGGCATGGCTGGGGCTGCCCGGGCTGCCCAGGCTGCCCAGGCTGCCCAATTTGCCTGGCCAGATCGATCGCAAGATTCCAGGAACAAGTGAATCCATCGGAGCGGGCAGCCTCAGCGGAAAATCGCCGCTGCTGTGACCCGGGCGATGGACCCAGCCTCACCCAATCGAGAACTTGAGGGGCCCGCCCTCGTGCGTGCTGGTGTCCTCCCCCGCTCCATTCGTAGCCCCTGCACGATGAGCCAGGCCCTGTCCACCCGCGCCGTGGCCTTCAAGGCCGCCGCTCAGGCTCGCCCGGCCCGGTGCGTGCTCAGCCGCAGTCGCCGAGGCCCTCCTGTTTGCTGGAGGGCGCCTGCTGCTTTCCGCGCCTCGCAGGGGGTTGTGCGACAGCCAACTGAGCCCTGTAGCCGGCTCCATCAGGCTCCTCGCCCAGCCCGCTTCTGCTGCTGGCGTGTGTTCCCTCTTGCAATTTGGCTGTTCCCCTGTTGACTGATTGAGTGCGACTCTGGGGGGGCTCTGCTGCAGGCGCAGCACCGTGCAGGTGGTGGCGTCCGCGGAGAGCGTCCAGGCCCACGCCAAGAAGGCCGCTGCGCTTGCCGCGTCTGTGCTGGTGGCTGGGGTGAGCTGGACGGTGTGCAGCCTGGGCGATGGTGCTGGGTGACCACCTGCATGTCTCGGCGGCCGGCCCCGTCAACCGCCGCTTCACCCTCTGTCGCTGCCTGCAGTCTGCCAACGCCCTGTCCTTCGATGAGCTGCAAGGGCTGACCTACCTGCAAGTGAAGGGCTCCGGCATTGCCAACACCTGCCCCACCCTGGATGGTGGCTCCGCTAACATCAAGGACCTGAAGCCCGGCAGCTACTCGCTGGGCAAGTTCTGCATGGAGCCCACCAGCTTCACCGTCAAGGAGGAGTCCCAGGTGCGCGTACTGGGGAGGAGGCATGGGAGCATCGACCCAAGCGCAGGGACGCTCTGCAGCACAGGGTGGGAAGTCGACGCCGCCCTCGGCCTTGCCACCCCTTGGTTCTTGCAGTTCAAGGGCGGCGACTCCGACTTTGTGTCCACCAAGCTGATGACCCGTCTTACCTACACCCTGGATGAGGCAAGCTTGGGCTGTATGCTGCTGTCGCTGCCCTTGTGCCCGCTGTGTGGCTCACACAGCCTGTCACCCACGCCCCCTTCTCCTCATCTGCAGATGAGCGGCTCGTTCAAGGTGGATGGCAGCGGCAACGTGGAGCTCAAGGAGGAGGACGGCATTGACTATGCCCCCGTCACCGTGCAGCTGCCCGGCGGCGAGCGTGTGCCCTTCCTGTTCAGCGTCAAGCAGCTGGAGGCCAAGGTATGGCAGTGGCTGGCATTCAGCGGCGCGGCGGTGATGCCCTTGGTCTGCCGTTGGTGCAGGGGTTGACCCAGCTGTGTCTGGGCCGCCTTGCCTGCGCAGGGTAACGCTGATGGCTTTGGCGGCGAGTTTGTTGTGCCGTCCTACCGCGGCTCTACCTTCCTGGACCCCAAGGGACGCGGCGCGGCCACCGGCTACGACAACGCCGTCGCCCTGCCCGCTGCCTCTGATGCCGGTGAGATGGTGGGGTGAGGGTTGGAAGGATTATTGTTCGACTTGCTTCAGCCAACTTCAGCTGGCACCCACCTTGGCCGCCCCCGCTCTTACACACTGCCACTGCGATCACGTGCGCGCATGTACAGAGGAGTTCCTGAAGGAGAACATCAAGTCGACCGCGGCCATGAAGGGCCAGGCAGTGTTCTCCATCGCCAAAGTGGACCCCGTCACTGGCGAGATTGCGGGCGTGTTCGAGTCTGTGCAGCCGTCCGACACTGATCTCGGGTACTTAATTGGGCTGCTGCCGCGGCTGGATCTGTTGGCGGGGTTTGCACAAGGGAAGGCAACTGCCGGAGCTTGTGTGCGCCGAGACGCGGGCACGCCTGCTTGTCTCAGCCGCCGCTCCTCCCCCTGGCGTGTTCTGCAGTGCCAAGGCCCCCAAGGACGTGAAGATCACCGGCCTCTGGTGGGCATGGGGCCTGCGCTGATCGTGGAATGGGGTGTTAATTATGTCCGTGCTGTGGCCGGTTTGTTTCAAATGGTACTTGGTCTACAGCTTGCCAACAGCCGGGTGAGTTCTGTTTTGCTGTATGCAGGTATGCCCAGCTGTCGTGAGCTACACGATCTAATTTGAGCTAAATGAGAAGAACATGGCTTACACGCCCCCGAGCTCAGTTTTTTTTGTACTTCTAACTAGGATCAAATGTGTCGCACTGCACGTGTAATCGTTGGGAAGCTATGCAGCTGAAAATGAAACCTGCACAAACACAATTTTGTGCGAATAAACACACAAAGTGGATGCTGGGATCTGGTGTGAGAGCAACAGCCAGTGGTGGTTGCCACACCCAGCTCTTCCTGTGGGCAACCCACCTTGGCAGTTGCAGGTGGGGCTTTGCCGACCCTTCCATCACTGCCGCTGGCAGCTTGCAGCACTTGTAAGCGGCCCGCCAGATTGAGGAGGCCAGCAAACGTGGTGGTGCGCTGGTGGAGCAACTCCTGCGCAAGCCGCAAGGCTGCCTGCATGGCCATGTGCAGTGAAGGATCTTGAAATGGCGATGAACAGGGGAAAGGCTGACCGAGGCTAGAAGCCCTGCCGGAACGCGCCCACGGGTGCCAGGCCAGCGCTCTCACCTGCCCTCCAGGCGTCGCTGCCAGGCCTGGGCCATGGGTGAGCAGCAGGTTGCGCAGCCAGGGCACCAGGCGGCCTGCCTGCTGCGGTTGGTGCTGTAGGCGCTCCACGAGAGCGTTCAGCAGCGCTTCAGCATGCGCTGTGCTCAGCTTGGCCACGCTGCTGGCAACGACCGCCTCATCTTGCACTGCAACCCAGCACGGCAGACCCTATGGTAAGCTGGTAGCAGCCGGGGAAAGGTCGCTGCGTGGGCGACCAGGGCGGCTGCCGCCTGGCGCTCGGTCAGCTAGCAATGCAGGGGCCCGACGCGTCGGCCGCCTCCCGATGATGAATGGGCGAGTGGAAGCGCAACGTGCTGCAGAGGGAATGGAGGGTTGTGCCACAGTGCATGACATGCGCAAGCCAACGGCAGCGGTCGGTCCGTGTTTGCACACCCGAGAAGCACGTGTCTAGGGCAGCCGAGTCTCGCGAAGCCAGCGCTTGAGAGAGGGGACCGTGCGATGAAGCCATCCTTGGGAGGCACTGATGATCCCTTCACTCAAGCGGCACCAGCGGAACCAGTGGGGAATCCCGAGCGAGTAAGCGAAGAGAATACGCGGGACGCGCGATTTGTACCTCGGCCGTACTGGGAGAACTCGGGATTCTTCCGCCCCGGCTCCCGTGTAAAACGAGGGGGAACATAGGTGCAGGTCAGCCTGGATCGATCAGCCGCCGCCTCTTGGCCGCCGCTGCCCGCCTCCCCACCACCCGCGCCGCTGCCGCCGCCGCCGCCGTGGCTGCCCCCTGCCCCGCCGCCCCCCCTCCCCACCCCACCCTCGTCGCCGCGTCCGCCGCTGCCGCGCCCCCGCGGCGCTTCGCCTTCCTGGGTACATCTTGTGGTGCCTGTCGCTTGCCGCGGCGAGTCGGTGGGCGATCCGCTCGCGTCATCGTTCTGCCTGCGCCGAGTGCGTCTGTCTGCTGCGTGTGCTGGTCCGTCTTGCCGCCGCCTCCTCCCGGGGAGCTTCATCGTCCGTGAAGGCGCGCTGGGGCCAGCCTGCGGGGATCCGCCCCTGCGGTGGAAATAGTGCAGGGTGTGGCCGAGTGCTGCATCGTAGTGCGGTTGCTCTGCACTGGTACTGCCGGACGCCCGCGCGGGCTGCTGAGCTGCGCTTCTGCACTGTTAGCGAGAACATTACCGCCATTGAACGGCCGCCAGAGCTGGACGGAGGGGTGCCTCCGCGGCTCCTTTGGCCACCGCTCGTGGTCGCCGCTGAGACTGCTCAATGGTGCGGGCAGCGGCGCGCGCTCACCTGAGTGCTGAGTGACCGGAACGTACTGCAGCCATCCGGCCTCCCTTCCTATGCGCCTAGTTTAGGACCAGCAGCAGCGGCGGCTGCAGATGCAGCAGCAGCAGCACCGACAGCCGTCCCACCTATGCGGTGCGGTTGTGCAGCGAGCAGCCGCACCAGCCGGCAGCAGCAGCGGGGACAGCACCTCTCCTGTGGGCTTCGTGGACGCCTGTGCACCTGAGTGTCCCGCTACTGGCGCAGCCCTGCCGCAAACTGCCACGCCTGCCCCAATGCGGACAGCAAGAGGCACCCCAGGGGGGGTGGCTGGAGAAGGGCAAAGCACCGCATTGCCCAGGCGGCCTCTGGTGACGGCATTCTGAAAAGAAGGCAGATGGCTGAACTCGATCGTTGAGCCGGCTCCCGTCTCCTTTGTGTTGGCCGCTCCATCGCGCCTGTCGCAGCATGATTCCTTCCACAGGACCCGCACCTTTGTTTCCGCCTTGCATGTGATGGATGCTCATTACATGAGTGTGAACGCTGCCAATCTGTTGAAGGTCACCGCTCCCTCATTGTGAAACAGGGGACGCCCTTCATTTGACATGTACGGTGCACATCTCCCCCGCGAGGGCAGAATGGCCTGGCAGTGCGATCCATCCATACTGACAATGCTGAACAGCTCCTGCCCCGAATGCCGTTCCGACAGCTTCAGCTCGTCTGCTACTGCCGCCGGCTGCTGAAACTACTGCCAAGCTGCATGTAGGTGCTGTCGTCCCGCTGCCCAGCCGCTTGACCCCGCCGCCCCCTCCCACGTCCAAACACACCGCCAGCAAAGCCTGCATTGCAGGTTCACATAAATGCAACAGCAGCCGGCATGAGTGAGAGCTGACGCAACGGCAGCATGCTGACTGGTGCGGCACTACATTCAATTCCTACCGAACCGGTTCCTAAGGAATGGATAGCAAGAACATTTCAAGTTGCAAGCATATATCTCGGGCCGCTCACCTGACTCTGGCATGAAACCACTGCCACGCTCACGGTCGCCATACCGGCCACCGCGGCCACCCCTGCAGAGCCAAACGATGGTGCGGGGTTGCAAGGCCGCGGGGGCATTAAAGTGTGGACAACTGCCAGCAGGTTCCAGCGCAGATGACCTGCACCACAGATAACTTGGGCAGTAAACCATCGCTCACCTGCCGCCGCGGCCAAAGCCGCCTCCCGAACCCATCCGGCCGCCCACACGAGTGCGTCTGCCACCCTGCACCATTGTTTGGGCACTGAACACGTGAAGAGGCAATAAAAGGAATATCGAAGCACCCCCAACAGTTAGTTATTCAAACAAGAAAGGCAGTACAAATGACAGGTTTCCAACTGGGTTACCTGGCCGCCGTCGTGGCCACGCCGCCCCTCGCCATCATCGTCATCTGTGTGGAGAGCACCTGCAGGGCCGGTAGAAGCAGTGCCTGGCATTAGGCAGCCATAAACTCTCCAACTAGCAGAACCCCCAAACAAAAAAAAGAAAGGGAAGCCCACCAGTGCGCATAGCCAGTGCACGCTCATTCAAGTCCACAAGCAGCGAGGCCTTGTCGCTGAAGGTGCCCGCCAGCGTCTGCAATGCAGGAGATGCGCGGGCAAAGGGGCGCAGTGAGGAACTGGCACCAAGTACAATCTCAATCTGAATGGATGGAAAGGGCATCCGAATTGTGAACAGTAGTCACCTGCAGGCGCGTTGGCTCCACATGATGCACCACAATAGTGCCGGTGGGTTGGTCGTGGCTGGCAGGCAGACCATCGTCAGCAATCAGCCGGCTCACAATGGCATGCACCTGTAGAGGAACAAGGGCTACATTAAGTGGGTGCAGAGGCAACTACAGCATCAAACCCTTTGTCAAACTAGGGTTGCTGTGTTGATTTGAAGCGGAGCAGGTCTGCAGTCCACAGGGCAGGCTTTGCAGAATGTGCCTGGCTGATACATTGTGCAAGGTCACCTTGTTTTCTGGCAGCTCAAACATGTCGCACAGCTGTGAAATGCTGAGCGAAGAGTAGAAGCGGCCATAGGCCACGAGGTACGTGCGCAGGCCCTCCTCCTGCAGCTTATGGCGCAGCATGGCCAGCACTGCCTCCTTCTGCAGTTGCAGACAGGGAAGGGGAGAACTCAACTGCTGCGAAGAGGAAAACCTGATTGTGAACTTTGCGGGAAGGTGCAGCTCGTGCAACTGTGCTTAAGGAACAGCCTGCAGGAAAATGCCTGAAGCCCCTCGTCTCTTACCTGGGGAAGCAGATTCCAGCAGGTTAGCGCTGTCACAAACTGGTACGACCGCCGCCAGTCACCTGCAATGGAGGGCAGGCAATAACGTGAAGAAACAAATGTACCCGCAATGTGGCCTCATGCCAAAAGGCATGCTTGTATACAGTACAGCACTGCAGTGGGGGCACTAACCAGTTGCCAGTGCCCGGACAGCAGCCATGACATGGTCGCGGACATTCTCCGGTGGGCCGGTGAAGCTCTGACGCTCGTAGTTGTCCATGAGTCTGAGTCACAGTGTGTCAGGGCAGTCAAGCAGCACATGGTCAACAGTCTCCGCTGCTATGGCTGGCTTCATGCCCGCCAGGTGCCAACACCATTGCACCACCGTGAAACAAGCCTGCTCACCTGCGCAGCGGTTTGCTGATCACGCGTTTGCGCAAATCGGTGGACTGCGAAGTGGCCATTGCTGGCACCTGCACGGCGTAGTGGCACACTCGAATGTAATGTTCATAAGGCAGCTGTGCACGCGGGGAGCGTTTATGTGCGACTGTGGTAAGGGGGCAGTGCGGGGTGGACGCACGCATGGGCACATGCAGGGCTGTCAATTCATTTCTCCCTTGCCTCCAGCAGCATGGCTGAAATCAGGTAGGTGCTCTCCAGCAGCTCCAGGTTGATGTGCATGTGGAAGGGCACCTGAGACAGAAGAAACTATTCGAGGTAAAGAGTGGCACGCACAGCAATAGACAGCTGCCCAGACTCGATGAAAAGCACACACAGCGATTGGCAAATTGTAAAGCCACACACTGATTCACCTGCCGCCGCCGTTCAGCTGCCTCTTGCTCTGGGGTCTTTTCTTGGAATCGGTGCTGCTGGATGCCCTGCAGCATGGAAGTTTGGCCAAGAAAACCAGCTTTGATCAACTGCTGATGGTCCCCACTGCAAAGTGTCAAACAACTCGAGTGAGCACGTAGATGGCCTTCTCGTCCACAGCTGTGCGCAATCATGCCACGCCACAGATGAACTACGGCTTGCCTGTGCGAGCAGCTCTTTGACACGGCCTGTGCCGTACAGGTCCATCAAGCACTGGTGGCACTCATTGATCAGGCCCGCACGGAAGGCCGACAGGCCCAGCTGCGCAATCGTGCGGTTGTACAGCACCTGCATGCGAAAAGGCATTTTGGTGGAACAGTGTGCTGGGCCTATAGCGAGGCCAAACTGCCATTCATAGCATGCCCCACCTGCATTTTGGCATCCAGCTGCCCCGTCTGCTCTTGTATGCGACTCATCAGCAGGGCATCGCGTCCGCCGTAGAAGTCATCACGAATGCATCTGCAGGGGGCGTGAGGTTGACAATCAAGCCACCAGCACCAAGTGCGGCGGGCGTGCAGGATGCAAAGACCGCCAGGCATGCAACCCCAACGACATGTGGTCACCTGAAGTAGACGGTGCACAGCATGGCCTGGCCCTTCTGGTTGTCGTTGCCATGAGCATACACAACGCGAGCAAGCTGCAAACACACCATGCGCAGGCAGATTTGCACCACACAGGCAAGCGCAGTGGAATCAATCAGGAGCCACCACCGTTGACAACCCAGGAACAACCATCGTGCTTGCCTGATCCACCAGATGTGCGCAGCTCTCCGGGATGGAGAAATCAGAAGGGATCTTGACGACAATCAGCCCTACATGAATCATTGCACACTGGTAGTGACGAAGCACCCGATTCGGGGGAAGAAAAGCACTGCTTCAACGCCAGAAATCAACGACACTGGTCTGCGCGTCCCCCGCTTACCTGTGGCACCCTCGGCTTCATCACCATCAACAATCTCCGCATCCAAAGCAGGAGACGCTGCTGCCGCTGCTGCTGCCGCATCTGCCGAGTCTTGCTGCTGCTGCAGAGCTAGCTTGCGCATGGCGCCGTACACCACATCTGTCTTGTAGTAGAAGTGCTGGATGCGCTTCAGCGCCACACCGGCAAGCTTGTCCAGCTCGTTCTGGGCCTCTAGATACTCTGACACCTGCGACGCACGCGAACGCAGTAGGAGCTGGCCTGAAGCCGTCTGCTGGGGCAGAGTCTGCCCGCTGGAAACCAACGTGGATGTTCAATCACAACTGCCCCACGAGCACAGATCGGGGCTTTGCCCACACACCGGGGATCACGCCGGCCTCGAGCCCACCTTCTGTGCCAGCGCCAACAGCACTGCCTCGTCCTTCAGACGCTCCATGTATTCATTCGCATGTGGGTCCAGCGCCTGGCACAAACAAAATGCGGGCGGATGTATCTTGTTGGACAGCAGCCAAGCACACCCTCCTCCAAGCATCAATACCATAAGAAACCAGGAGGGAGCAACTCGCAGTACCACAGCCAGCTCACCTTGAGGCTGCCATTCCACTCATCATCAAGACGCTCCAGGAAAGCACCAAGGTTGCCCCACACCTGCAGGCAACGAAACAGGGCAGGCAACACGTGTATAGTGGCATTGATACCCCTTACTTGACTAAGCAGCATACCTCCACCCCATTCTCGGCAACATGACAGCAGAAAACAAGGGGTGCAAAAAGGAATGCCTGCCTGGGTGGGTGTGCCAGGCTCGGGCTCCTCCTCCCGCTCCTCCTCAGGCGGCGTATCGGTCAGGCTGATGTGGCGGTTCTCATCCAGAAGTGACTGCATTGAGAGCAGATGGATTTCTTTCTGGGGACTTGCTCGTGTTGATTTACAGGCATGCAACCTCATGATGAGCCTCACCATTATGTCGAACATGGTCTGGCCGCAACGGTTCCAGTTAGGAACGGTCATGGCATTCTGCATGGATGTTGGGGGTTGACAGGAAGCGGCCAACAGGCCTAACGCATGGCGCAGTGCAAGTAGCGACCAACAGACAAGTGGGTAGAGCGCGTTGGTGGGTTCCGGGCAAGCATGTTCTTGACTTGCCTGGGTGGGCTGATTCATGTCAAACGTGACGGTGATGATGTTGATCAGGATCTCCACCTTCTGGACCGGGCCCTGTGTGACTCCTGACAGGTAGGTCAGCATCTCAATCTGCAGAAACAAGTAGGTTTGAAGGGAAAAAAAGTGACTTACGCGCAAGCGGGCTCCCCTGCCCGCCAACGGTGCAGTTCACAGCTGCCATGCCACCAACCTGCTCCTGCCGGTCAATGCGGGTAGTCTTGCCGCGTGCCATGGCAATCTCCTGCAGCTTCTTCTGCACCATGTCGTACGTGATCTCCTTAGGATCCATGGACAAGATCTTGTCCTTGGGCCGCTGGACCACTCCAGTGCGCACTGCAACGAACAGCATGGACGCATGAATGAGCCCAGGCAGCAAAGACGTGTCGATCAGCTTGCACAGCCGTCAGGGTGGACCCCGCAAGAACCCCACCAGTCTTGAACTTGGCCTCCTCCTCCTCCTCGGTGTTCAGCTCACGCTCGCTGCCGCTCTCATCTGCAGCATAGCCGGACCAGGACAGGTCATGAAGGACGTTGCTTGTCCGAGACAGTGAAGGAAGTTGACAGATGCTTACCTCTTGATTCACTCTCACTGGGGCTCTCCCCTTCTTCCTCCGTCTCACTGACAGGGTTTTCCCTGCAGTGTTAAACCACGATCAGGCAATCTCTTGATGGCCGTGGTGCTCGCCGCTGCCTTCAAATGTTTTCTTGCACATATTCGCAACGTCCAGGAAGCGCATAGATGCGACACACCCACCTGAACAACCGCATTTGCTCCGCAAAGGCGGTGTTGTGCTTGCGAAGCGTCTGTTTCATGCGGGTGAGCGCGCGCGTGTTTGTGGGGCTCAGCTTGGGCTTATCTGCTCGGGCAACAATGTGTGGCGTTAGCAACCATAAGCATGAGGCACCAGGCGGACATCATGCAGACACACTTGCATGCTGCGACTGCGAGTTAATGTTGATGCACTCGTGCTCCCTGGCAGGCTGCAGCATGAGGCGGCAGCTGGCGCAGAGGCCAGCAGCAGCCGAAGCTGCCACTGCACATCCTTCGTTACCTGCAAGGGTCTTGCTGAGGAAGTCCTCCAGTTCACACAGCATGCGGATGTAAGCACGCGGCACGCCCAAGCTCTGGGTCACCTGCGTCAGGATCATGTGAAGAATGCGCACAACAAGCTCGGCGCAAGCATGATGCATGCTGCATACCACCTGCCACTGGGCTGGTGAGTAGACACGCTGCTGCTTCAACGCACCTTCTGCGTGCGCTCCAGCTGCTTGTTCAGCTTGTCAAACAGGGTCTGGATGGCTGCCCAATCGTTGATGTGCATCTTGTTCTGCATCGATGGGTGCCCGCAAACCAGTTTTAGGCTCCAGCACCTGCTGTATGCGTCGCCTCGTGCCCATCTGCTGTCACATCCAGTGACCAGCCACACCACCATCACAGAAAAGCAGGGGAAGACCATACGCTGCTGGGCCGCGCCGCTTTGTGTGATGCCCCCCCGCCCCACAAGCAGTTGTGCAGACCTTGATGTCGTTGCACGTCGCCCGAAGCTCCTCATGTGCCTTGTCCTTGGCGCTGCGCACCACGCGTCGCTCGTCTTCGCTCTCACTGTCCGACGAGCCCATCAGAAACCGGCTGGCGCCCTTCTTGCGGCTAGAGCCACTGCTGGAGCTGCTGCTGCTGCTAGAGGAGCCCGAGTCAGACGAGGTTCCATCATCTGCGGCGACCAGCCGGGCAAGAGGGGCGATGTGTGCGTTGGCCACAGCCTTGCTGTGCCGAACGGCGGGAAGGGGACCAGTCACGTCCTGCACACCTGATGACGTCTCCCCCTCGGACGAGGTCACCGCCTCGTCCTCGCTCTCCTCGTCACTGGAGCTCGCGGCCCAAAACTTGGAAGCCTGCAGCAGTCGCGACACGGGCATGTGGACGATGGTACAGATGAAGGCCAGTAGCAAGCTGGATGTTGGAAGCTGTGCCAGGATCGCTGGAATACTGCTGGACTCCCAACGGGTCACAACCCGTGGAGGGAGCGACGTGATGAGCATGGCATGATGGCGGCCGCAGCGCATGGCAAGCTCCGGCTCGACGCACGCTAGGCCACATTCAATCCGGATCGCAGAATGTGCAACGGAGCAGTGTACACGCACGCACCCACGCAGTGTGGCGCTGTCACACACACGCGCGCACACACACACATGCACACACACACATACACACAGGTGCACACACGCACACACACACGCGCGCGTACACACACACAAATGGCCCAGGCCACGCACCATCGCCTCGCAGCCGTGCTTCCGTGGCTCTGGGGACAGTGCTATATGTGCCAGGGCAACCCTGCTGCTGTGCAGAGAAGAAGCGCGCACCGGTGATGATTGCACAAGTACATACCGTACGCTTGCGCCGCTGCGTGCTGTAATGTCGGGACCTCGCGGTGCATCTCACGTTCCGGTGCACCTCACGTGCTAAGCAACACCCACCACAGTTGTTGCCATCCCCAGCTTTGCCATGCCTTTCGCGGCGCTCCCGTTGGCTAACGAGGTGCTAAAGGTGCTGGAGAAGCAGGGCTTTACAGAGCCTACCCCCGTTCAGGTGACCGCGACCCCGCCGCCGCTCGCCGCCTTTTCCTTGCGTCCTCCGTCCCTAACCCATTTCAACCGGCGCCGGTCGTGCAGGAGGCCACCATCCCCTTGTTCTGCGGCAACAAGGATGTTGCTGTGGACGCCTGCACTGGCAGCGGCAAAACCCTGGCGTTTGTGCTGCCTGTTGTGGAGCGGCTGCGTCGCCTGGAGCAGCCGCTGCGGCGCAACCAGGTGGGCATGCAGCTTTCCCCAGCAAGCATCGGCGGTGGCTCCCGCTGGTCCCCCTGCATCCCTCCATGCCATCTTTGTGTCCGTAACAGCACGACCACGGCTGCCAGCAGGTGGGAGCCATCATTGTGAGCCCTACCAGAGAGCTGGCCCGCCAAATCTTCGACGTGGCGCAGCCCTTCGTAGCGACTGTGGCCTGGCTGCAGGCCTTGTTGCTTGTTGGCGGCACGTGAGTACCTGTCCAGCCCCTGTTGTGGTTACTGCCAATGCCATCGACCTGGCGCTTTTCGCAATTGCGCACCGCAGCCGATTGTATCTGGCTTGGGCCACCTGACAGGATCGGGGTGGCGCACGCGATGCTGGCTGCAGGGACCCTGCTGTGGATGTGGCAGCATTCAAGGAAGTTGGAGGCCATGTGCTTGTCGGAACGCCGGGCCGCCTAGACGACATCATGCAGCGCTGCACAACAATGGACCTGCGCACCGGTGTGCCAGCGCTGCTGACTCATCCCGCAATGGCGGCAGCAGGTCGCTGCGGCCCTTTCGCGGCCGCGCATATCGCAGCTTCACCCGAGTTGCGTTGCGCCCCGCATGCAGTTGAGGTGCTGGTGCTGGACGAGGCAGACCGCCTGCTGGACATGGGGTTTAAAGCCCAGCTGGATGCCATAATGCAGCGCCTGCCACGACAGCGAAGAACAGGCGAGGCCGCATGGCAAATGCACCGAGGAGCTGCGTGTCCGCCACAGCGTCAGCCTCATCGAGTGGGACAGGGATGTAACTCGCAGTCATCGCCTCCATGCGCGCTGCAGGACTGTTCAGTGCAACGCAGACAGAAGCAGTGGAGGCCCTGGCGCGGGCCGGCATGCGTAATCCAGGTAAGAATGCGAGTTGCACAGATGATCAGGCGGGCTCTGGCATGACCGCAGGGAGCAACTTGCAAACTGATCACTACTTCGCCCAAAGCACGCTGCACATGCAGTGCGAGTGAATGTGGCAGTTACATTTGCGCAACCCAAGGGCACAAACCGCAAGGCTCCACAGCCTGGGCCTGTGGTGCAGTCTGTGGGGCGACGCACTCCCAGCACGCTTCAGATCCAGGTACCACATCGTTGACTGCATGTCCTGCCTTTCCTCCTTGTTGGCATCTGTGTTTGGCAACATGGGTGTCTGGTTTGCTTAAATTGTGCAGTATGTCGTGTGCGAGGCTAGCCAGAAGATGCCCCAATTAGTTGCCTTCCTCCAGGCGAGCAAAGTTGCTGAGCGGCATCAGTACAAGTGTCCTGCGTGCAGGCGCAGGCTGTGATGTGCCGCTGCTGCCTTGTTATCGCCTGACTGATGCAGGAGCACAAGACCCAGAAGGTCATTGTGTATTTCCTTACTTGCGCATGCGTGGACTTTGCATCAGGTCAGTCTCTCGGGGACATCCCACCTCTTCAGCCTGGCCAGGCGCAGTAAGTACTGGCAAGCAGCCACTGACCTCGATTCCGTGCATTTCTTGTCCCGCGGCACTACAGTTGTTCTGCCCCGTCTTCCTCAGTGCAAGGCGCTGTGCATCAGTGCGCTGCACGGCAAGATGAAGCAGGCAGTGCGCGCCACAACCCTGGCCGCGTTTGCCGCGGCACCCGCGGGTGAGTGGGTTGTCGCGCCATGTTGGGGCAGGCCCCCTCGGAGCTGCCTGTGGCGTGGTTGCTGGCTGTTGTAGAGCTGCAGCGGTGCCCTGGGCACGATGGGGAGGGAGGAGCGGGGCCTGTTTGCATGCTGTGCCCCTTCGTATGTTGGTGCTGGGGGACAGGTGGTGACACCGCTGCTGGTGCTGGGCCACGGGGTCCCCAGACGGTGGGGCGAGGATGCAGTGGCAGGGGCGGCGGTGTGGGCACGCGGGAGTGGGGGGCCAGGAGGTGGCTGGGGTGGGCGGGTGGGGCGAGGGCTGGGCCTCCTCCTCTGGGAGTCACGGGGCGCCGTCCGTCAGGGGGCTGCACCCGGCGCGTTCCAGCCGTGGAGGGAGGGTGTCGGGACGATCTTCCGATGGGGCCGCTTTAGTCGCGGAAAATGCTCGTGTGCTGCGGCGGAGCGCAGCATGTGCTGACCCAAGGGTCAGCGCCGGCTTACTCCAGGGGCTGCAAGAGGTGTCCCCGGGGCGGGCGAGGCGGCTCCCAGGAGGTGGGAGGCGGCCTTGCAGGAGCTCCGCCGCCGCTCTGGGGCGGGTTGGTTGAGGCGCGCCCGCTGCCGCCCATGCATGGCGCCGCCAGCCCGCCAACACCGCGCCACCCGCCCACCCCTGGCCCACCACCCCTGGAGGTACCCGGGGGTGCCACCCAGGAGCCACCACCCACCCGGGAGCCACCCCAGCCACCCCCACCCCAGCCACCCTGCCACCCCGACTCGAAAGACGCGCCCGACACCCGCTGGGTGTGGGAGGCGCGGGTGGGGGTGGGACGGGTGGGTGGGGGGCGGGTGGGTGGGCGGGCGGCAGGGGCGGGCTGGGCGGGGGTGGCAGGCGGGCGTGCAGCCGGCGGGCGCGCAGCCGGCTTTTTGGGGTTTCACCCTGAAAAAAACCCTAACCTTAACCCTAAAAAACCTTTACCATGCAGGAGTTCTGCTTTGCACAGACGTGGCAGCTCGCGGATTGGACATCCCAGATGTGCAGTGGATTGTACAGTTTGACCCCCCGCAGGTGCTTGGCCCCCCCCCCTCATGCTGAGCCAGCTGGCTTTCGTGGGGTGACGGTTGGGGTGCTGTCAGCCTCCTGCCTCTATATTCCTGTGCACCCCCACCCCACCGCACCCCCCGGCGCTGCAGGATCCCAGTGCCTTTGTGCATAGGGTTGGGCGCACTGCTCGCATGGGTCGTAGCGGCAATGCAGGTGAGATGGACTCGCTGGACCCCGCTGGCCCCGACTTCCCTCCAACCAGCTGGCCCCTGGTCCTCTTGTTGCAGTGGTGTACCTTTTCCCTCATGAGACCAGCTATGTGGAGTTTTTGAAGGTTCGGAACATTCCTCTGCAGCAAGCGGCTCTGGCGCGCGCACTGCCGGATGTGCAACCCATTGTGCAGCGGCAGGCAGAGACAGACAGGTGTGTTCCCCAGCCTGCCTCCTGCTGGCGTGCCTGGTTGGTCTTGCTATCAATGATACATGGGCGTCAGACGTGAACCGTGGCCTGCATTTCAGGCTGGTGATGGAGGCGGGCACAAAGGCATTCCTCAGCTATATGCGGGCGTACAAGGAGCACCACTGCAGGTTCATCTTTAGACTCCAGGTTGGCTGGCAAGGCTGCCAGTGCGCCATCACATTGCCGGTCAGGCCTGGCCGTGAGGGTTAGTCCCATCCCTTCTGCTGCTGTAAATGTGCAGGACCTCGCGTTGGGACAGCTGGCCACGGCATTTGCATTGCTGAGGCTTCCGCGCATGCCAGAACTCAAGCAGGCGCGTGGTGCTCTTGATGGCTTTAAGCCATCCTTGATCGACCCAGAAACAGGTGCCAACGGCCTCAGGCCTGCGATAGCGCTGGCCTGAGCACGCGGCCTTGATCTGCAAATTGCAGCATGCAGTCCAGATTTACACTGAGAACATCAGTCGTGGTTGTCCGCAGTTCGGTTCAAGGACAAGGCGCGAGAGAAGCAGCGGCAAGCAGCCTTGAAGCAGCGGCTTAGGCAGCGACGGGAGGCTGCAGCGCAGCCCGAGCAGCAGCACAAGGCCCCTCTGGTGCGGCAGCAAGTCCTTGTTGCACTGTGGTGTGAACCCTCTCCCCTCTCACGCGCCCCCTGCGGTTTTGCTTCCTTGCTACAGAAGCCTGAGGTGCACCTGCCAGCAGCTAAACGGCGCAAGCTGCAGGACAAGGAAGACCTAGACGAGCTGCAGCGAGACTATTCACTGATGCGAAGGCTGAAGAAGGGGAAGATTAGCGTGGCAGAGTTTGAGTTGGAGACTGACCCGCAGGAGGGGCTGTAGACAGTACGGAAAAAATCAGCCGCCGTACTCGCCTGCATCCACTTTCATAGCTTGGCAAATCACAAAAAAACCTGTGTGCTGGGCGCCACTGCTTGGACAGTAGCCGCCAGGCCAGCGTCTGCCACTGCCTTCAGCACCTGCGCCGCCTGTGAGCCATTCTGCCATGCCATGCACCGCCCCAACGCTGCCACCAGCGCCGAGCGGACATGTAGCTTGGCAGGGGACCACCCCTGTGACTCCTGCAAAACCACACGCAGTCCAATATGGTTTGGGCGCCTCAACACAGAAAGCCGGATACACACCAACTCACAATTGGGCCTACCTGAAACATGTCTGCATAGCGCTGCAGCTTGGGCATGACCAAATGCAGCAGGACAGGCACGCCAAAGGCCATCAGGCCTACCAGCGAGCCTGCAGTGGTCCATGCACAACTTTGCGTCATGGTAGGGGGAGGAATGGTCCATGCCAGCATCCTTTCCAAGCAATCGCCACCGTGCCTACCATACTGCGTTTCTGGCGGTGTGTCAAACAGCGCCGCCGCCAACGTGTTCTGGACACGTGCCAGTGCTGGTGCCAGCTCATCGTGTCGTTGCTGCGACTGCTGCGATATCTGCCCCAACAGCGATGCTGCCTGCATGCGCATGCACACAATCCTGTTGCGGGCTTGGCAAGTCCTAGTCTCCACGGCCAGTTCCCGCTGCCAAGCACAGAAGCCTCCACATCACGCAGCAGCCGGTGGCTCTTGCCTCATCTCGAATGGCCCAGTGGTCATCGCCTCCACCAATGCCTCGCGCCACCAGGCACGTGATGATTGCTGCAGGTCAGCAGCATTGGCGCACCGTGCTCAGCATGTGAGTCTGGCAGGGCTGTCCACTGGTTCTCAGCATGCGTGGAAGATGGTTTCGACTCGGAGAGCTGCATGATCAGACAGATACTGCACCTGGCAGCAAATGATGGATATAGGGCACGATCTGGAGGTGCACGTTGGTCAGTAGTGCACGCATGGCACTACGGTTGGGGCACAATATTTGCTGGGTTGGTGCGGGTCCTCTTGGGCTCCACGGCCATGGGGGGCTCCAATCCCCACAGGTCAGTCTGCACCACCAGCTGGTAGATTGAACAACTGCTGTACGTTGGACAACTCACCTCAGGACGACTCGCAGCTGCTGGACATCCTTAAGGTTCCTGCCCACCTCATCGGCCAGCAGTGGCACCAGGTACGGTAGCACAGGCTGCAAGCCTGCAACAAGGAAGGCTAAGCACAGTCGTCGCGGTGTGCTTGCGGATGAGAATACATAAATTCTGTAGTTTTACGTGTGCTTTCTGCGAACAGGGACTTGTGAGCCTCGCCCCAAGAAGTTACCGCAGTTTTCCCTGTGAAATCCAACTTATGGTTGGTGCTGCCCCAGCTCCCGCCACGCATGCAGGTAGGCTCAAGGAAAGGGCGGCAGCACTGCGCACCTGGGTCGGTCGCCAGGCTGGCTGTCACCGCTCGCACTGTCAGCGGCCCTTCTCCAGCTCCACCCGCCTTGTGTTGCAACGCCCGCCGCACCATGCTGTAGTACAGCTGAAGCTCATCAGGCAAGGAGTGCTTCAACGGCAGCCCGGCCGCAATGCCGCCTGGAGACTCCAATGCCTGTGCTGTGCCACCAGCCACCGCACCGCCACCAGTGCTCGGCATCGCCGCAAGAATTGTCCCTCCGCGCGAAACTGGACCATGTGGGCCGCGGCCGGCAGAAGCAGCAGCGGCGCGCCGCGGCTGTGCATTCTCAGCTGTGGCGGGCTGCACGCCGTCCACTGCCAACCAATGCTGAGCAACGCCCACCTCGAGTGGTGCAGCGGGCAGCTGTTGGGCACGTACCGTCTGCAGGGAGCATGCGAGGTGGGCAACAGGTGTGTGTGCGGGGGGCGGGGGGGCGGGGGGGCGGGGGGAGGGGCAGCAAGGCAAAGGGGTGCGCGCAAGGGAACCAGGGCGCCAAAAGAGCAGCCGGGGCGTCGGCACACCTCGGAGGCGCTCAGATCGGCCTCGAACCGGTACAGCAGGTCGGCGTCAGGCACGTGCAGCAGCTGTGGGAGCGCTGCACCGCCATACCCCTGCTCCCCGCTGGCTGCCACCACATCCATGGGGGTCAAGTGCTGGCGTTTGGAATGGAAGGCCAGCTTTCCGGCGCGGTCAATCACGTGGGCTGTCTGCTGTATCGCCAGGGTGTCCGCCATCGCGCACCAGCTGCCGGTCAAATGGGAAGGAGTAGTGGGCCAGTGGGACGGACGGCACTACGTACAGTGGCCCCAGGCCAGGCCGGCTGGGTGCGCCACTGCCGCCTCCTCACAACGGCGGCGGCGGCGGACGGGCAGCCTGCTGGTAGAATTTGGGTACACACCTGCGCCTTGGGCCCCTGCTCACCGGCCCTGCTCCTGTGCTCCTGGCCAGGAGTGCGCGGCTGGAAGTGTGGGCGCGACTGGCCAAACAGCGATTATGTCTTTTGCGCCGACTTCAGGAAACAACCTCGACAGCATCGAGCCATCGATGCAGATGCACCGACCGCGCAGCTCGGGGCGGTACAGTCTTCGTACAGCTCAGATAAGCTCGGGGAATCGCCTTGCGAACTGCGCAGCCTACCCGCTGTTTTGTTTAAACCTTTACGTTGTTTCTGGCTGCAGTATGGCTTGCCACCTCACACCTTCAACCTGCAGTATAATACCCGGCAGAGCCCGCATGGCTCCATCGGGCCCGCCCATTTCGCAGGGCATGAGGATCCGGGGGCGCGTCAGCCAAGCCAGGCGGGTTGTCGGGGCCACCCCTGCAGCAGACAACAACGCTTGGGACACCCTGTCGATTGACGAGCTGCAGCAGTGGGAAGTGCGTGCGCAGGGAGGGTGGAGAATTGGCCCGCCCCGCGGCGTGGGGCACGCCCCTCGCCGCCGCCACCCGCTCGCGCAGCGCGCATGGCCCGCCCATGCTGGAGCGGCAGCAGCGGCAGCAGTGGGTTCAACACCTGGCGGGGGATTCAGTTGGCCGGATGCCCAGCAAAGCCTCCGGCCTTGCCAGATGCTCAACGCCCCAAACCTTCGCCCCGCCCCTGCTGAACAGGAGACCGGGCCGCCCACGCCGCTGCTGGACACCATCAATTACCCTGTCCACCTCAAGAACCTGGGCCTGAACGACCTCAAGAAGCTCTGCAAGGAGCTTCGTGCGGGTGCGGCGGCTGCTCCACGTTGGGGTTTTGAATTGTCGTTGCTCCCCTGACAGCAACGCCGTCACGCGTTCACTACGCACGGGCGCGGCCCCCCGCCCCCCTGCCCCACTACTGTTCCACACCCACTACTGCCTTCGTCATCGCGTGCAGACCTCATCCACTCCGTTGCCAAGACGGGTGGGCACCTGGGGTCCAGCCTGGGGGTGGTGGAGCTGACGCTGGCGCTGCATTATGTGTTCAACACACCCGAGGACAAGATCATCTACGATGTGGGCCACCAGGCGTACATCCACAAGATGTTGACTGGGCGGCGCAGCAAGATGCACACCATCCGCCAGCAGGGCGGTCTGTCAGGTGCGCTGTCAGCCTGAACAGCGGCCAGCCCAGCAACAGCAGTATGCCCAGCATCTGTCCTGCAGCCAGCATGGAGCCTGGCAGCCGCACAGGTGCGGACAGCCTTGCAAGCTGGGCACTGCTCAGCCTTTCTCTCACCACCACCCAGCGCCACGCTTACCACTGGAGCTCACGCCAACCGCCCACTTCCATGCGCCGTCACCCTGTCGCAGGGTTCACCAAGCGCAGCGAGTCGCCCTATGATCCCTTTGGCGCCGGCCACAGCTCCACCTCCATCTCAGCCGCGTTGGGCATGGCCGTGGGCCGCGATGTCAAGGGCAGGAAGAACAATGTTGTGGCGGTGAGCGCTGGCGGCGGGCCGTGCAGCCACGCCCCCAGCCCGCTGGCTCCTGCCCGCCTTCTTCTGGTCGGCTGGCTGTGACAACCTGAGGAGCCCTGCAGCACAGAGCCCCTGGGGGTGGTGGGCTGCCTCACTGGGGCTCCTCTCCCGGGAACACTTGCAGGTTATTGGCGACGGTGCCATCACTGGCGGCATGGCTTACGAGGCCATGAACCACGCCGGCTTCCTGGACACCAATATGATTGTCATCCTAAATGACAACCAGCAGGTGGGGTGCCACGGCTGGCGTGCTCATCGGCTGCGCACGGTGTTGCACGTTGTCAATGCTGCTCAGTTGCCTGCTTGCGGTTGCAGGTGTCCCTGCCCACCCAGTACAACGGCAAGAACCAGGAGCCGGTGGGCGCGCTGTCTTCGACGCTCGCGCGGCTTCAGGTGTGGCCTCGTGCTTGCCTTTGCATTTAAAGGGGCGCAGCTGGCATGCGTGCGCTTTGCAGCTTGAAGGTCTGGAACATGAACGGTAGCCCCCGCATCTATGCTGGTGCAGGCCAACCGCCAGCTGCGCGAGCTGCGCGAGATTGCCAAGGGCGTGACCAAGCAGCTGCCGGGCGTCATCCAGAACGCCACCGCCAAGATTGACGAGTATGCACGCGGCATGATCAGCGGCACGGGGAGCACGCTGTTCGAGGAGCTGGGCTTCTATTACATCGGCCCTGTGGATGGCCACAACTTGCAGGACCTCATCGACGTGCTGTCAGGCAAGTTCGCAACGGCAGCCAGCCTGCGAGCACTTGATGGCTGGTATGGAGAGTAAGCAACCCTCCCTGCCCATCATGCCCCGCCCAGGATGCAGTGCGCCAGCACCAGCGCGCCATGCATGCGCCAGCTGACGTTGCTGCACTGCGTCGCGTGCAGAGATCAAGACCACCGAGACTGTGGGCCCGGTTCTGCTGCACGTTGTGACCGAGAAGGGCCGGGGCTACCTGCCGGCTGAGAGTGCTTCGGATAAGATGCATGGTGTGGTCCAGTATGACACCGTCACTGGCAAGCAAGTGAAGGCCAAGAGCCAGGTGTGGGCCTTGCATGGGCCGATGGACTGGTTGAAGAAAACAGGGCCCCTGGAATTGCATGGATATCGCGCGTGCCTGGCCGATTGCCCGGGGAAACTCACTCAGATGTGCGCCCATGGCTGCAGGCCCAGTCTTTCACCAACTACTTTGCCGACGCGCTTGTTGCTGAGGCCAAGAAGGATTCGCGCATTGTGGGCATCCACGCAGCAATGGGCGGTGGCACCGGCATGAACCGCTTTGAGAAGGTGCTCGGTTGCCACCTGCGGTGCCAATCATGCTGCTGCACTATCCCGCCGGCCTCTGCCGCGGCTGTGCCTCATCTGGTTCTGGCTGCCACTGCGCGCAGGTCTTTCCGGAGCGCGTGTACGATGTAGGCATCGCCGAGCAGCACGCAGTCACCTTTGCTGCTGGGTTGGCCTGCGAGGGGCTGGCGCCGTTTGTGGCCATCTATTCGTCTTTCCTGCAGCGCGGCTATGATCAGGTTGTACACGACGTCTCGCTGCAGAACCTGCCGGGTACGCTGCCAGTGCGGGAGTCGGCCAACATCGGAGAGAACAGAGGACAGCCAAAATGCGACCACTATGTTGTTGTTGACATCCCTCCCAGCGCACCACATGCATGCCAAAGCCAAGCTGACGTGCTGTCACCACATTTGTGTCCAGTGCGCTTCGCCATGGACCGCGCTGGACTGGTTGGTGCGGATGGCGCAACTCACTGTGGTGCTTTCGACGTGGCATACATGGCCTGCTTGCCGAACATGGTGGTCATGGCGCCCTCAAATGAAGCGGAGCTGATCAATATGGTGGCCACCTGCGCGGCCATTGATGACCGGTAAGAGCAGAGAGGAGTGGTAACTTTGAGCACTTCCTAGTTGTTCTGCTTCGAGCGTAGGGAGCATCCGCCCAGCCCCAGCAGGCTTCACCCAGTCCTTGTCTTCTGTGCAGTCCATCTTGCTTCCGGTTCCCGCGTGGCAGCGGAGTCGGAATTGATCTGGCCAGCGAGGGTATTACGCCAGATCTCAAGGGCACCCCAATGCCAGTAAGTACTAGTGGTTAGCGCAACTGATGAGGGCACCAGTTTAAAGCACTCTGCCACTCATGCCGGTGCAGATTGGCAAGATGCGGCTGCGGCGCAGCGGCGCTGACATTGCGCTGGTCGGCTATGGCAATCCAGTCAACGATTGCCTTGCAGCTGCAGAGCTGCTGCAGCAGGTGTGTGGGGCTACTGTTCACCTTTATGCTGTAATGTTTTCATGGGCGGCCTGGAGAGGCCTCTTCCCGCCAGATGCATGTGCGTATCATGATGCATACCGTCCATTGCAGGCGGGAGTCTCTGCCACGGTCGTGGATGCCCGCTTCTGCAAGCCGCTGGACACTGACATGCTGCGGAAGCTGGCAAAGGAGCACCCGTTGATGGTCACCGTGGAGGAGGGATCCATCGGCGGCTTTGCAGCGCATGTGATGCAGGTGTGACTTTGGCCAGCGAGAGTTTTCATGCGGAGGCCAGGGCAATCTCAAAATCTTTGCAGCACCATCTTGTATAAAGTAGCAGGCGTGCACTTCGAACGTGCATTCACTTTTTATTGCAGTTCCTGTGCCTGGAGGGCTTGATGGACGGCAACTTCAAGTTCCGACCCATGACCCTGCCGGACCGCTACATTGAGCATGGCACCCAGGTGGGTGCCCAGCATGATTGGTTTTTTTGAATTTCTCTTTGCAGCCAGTGTACTAGGACACGACTTCTGGCTCTGTTGTGCAGGCTGAGCAGCTGGCGGAGGCTGGTCTGAGCGCCTCTCACATTGCAGCAACGGCACTGGCAGTACTTGGATTGAAGAAGAATTTGGTTGCGTAAGGCAGTCTGTTATTGTGTTTGAGGTGTCGGCTTGAATGTCCCTGCGCTGACAGTGTAACCCACTGCGAAGACTCCGGCGTTGCTGGCCGCCATCGGCAGAAGAGCTGAAGACGCGCCTGCCGCCAGCTTCGTACATGCAGCTGCGACATGTGGATGGTAGTGGTGTGTCAGCAGGCTCAACTCCCAAAATGGCGCCATCAGGGCGCCTGCCTGCACAGGCGCACAGCCAGGCACAGGGAAAGTGAGCAGTCTGTATACCCCGCCCAGACATTTTGGGGTACCCTGGCATGCGCCCTGCAAGCACCTCGGCAGGGTCTTTTGCCTCTGGGCGGTACCCATGCGTAGAGGGCCCTCCCGCCTCATGCTCCAGCATGCCTTGCAGTCGCCGCGAGTGCCTGCAGGAATGTCCCAATGAAACTCAGAACAATGCACAGCAGCAAATAAACATCGTCCAGAAGAGCAATGCCCCCTCATAGGACGCCTGCCTGCACCTGAACATGCGTTGGAGAAGGCATAGCAGGCCCATTGCTAAGCCGGTGTCCCCGGCGGACATCACGCCAGCCAGCATACGTTTGGAGAATGCAGCCTGCAAGTCGACAAGCAAGGCATCTGAGCGCGCGTGCCAGGATATGCGGTGTTGAGAGAGCAGCAGCAACCAAACCTGGCGGGACACATCCACTCCTCGTGCCTCCAACATCAGGAGTTCCAGCACCCGAGGAGCCAGAAAGCAAACCTTCAGGCAGGGCAAGCGCCACGACACAGGAATCAAATAATGGTTGAATTGATGCCGATGATGATCATTTCGCCAAAGATAACCATGCGCACCTGCTCGCCAGCTTTGGCAGTGCCCGCTGCCAGCACCTCGCTGAAGAGTGCATCATCTCCATCCTCCCTATCCCCGCCAGCCGGGCCACTGCCATTGCTGTGCTGCCTCCAGTGGTACTCCATAAGTGGCATTAGCACAGCATGCTCAATGGCACCATATACTTCGTAGTGGAAGCCGGCACCGTCTACTGCGCTTGCATCACCCTGTCCAAACAACACACGAAGGCACCACATTGAGTCCACCATCATAGGCCCCAAAGTTGGAAAGGTCATAACTCTATGAATGGGCACATCAGGCAACTTGCCTGGCCATGCGCCACCTCGGCTGCAGTCAACAACACACGGAGGCGGTCCTCGGGCGGTAATGCACCGCTGCGCAGCAGCAAGCGCAGCTCTGCAACAATGTCTTGCAAATAATCCACACTGCAATTTGCAAAGGGTAGGTTTGCTGCTTTGGCCCCGTCCATCTTAATATACCCGAAAACCCTCGACCTGGCGGAGCAGCTGGGTGCTATTTGACAGTCTCTAGGCATGAACTGTCAGCAGTCCATTTGGCAAGCAGAAAAGACAGGCCAACTGTTGGCTAGCCTTGCCTGATTAAGTGGACATGCTTGCCCAAAAGCCGTAGTGCAGGAAACAGCAAGGGGAACTTTTTCGAGAAATGCATCCTAGACACTGGAGTCACTGCAGTTGGGGCATTCAATGAGAGCCGAGGTGACTGGTTTGACAGCTGGCAAAGAAAGGGGAGAGCAACAGTCAAATCAGGTGCAAATGCAAGAACGACTCACCATCTTGCAGCCGAATTAGCCCGGATGCAGTACAGTGCTTGAGCAGCCTACAACACAGGGAAATTTGCATGCGGAAACCATCACGTTGAATAGACTTGCCACTGCTTGATGTCAGCTGTGCAAACCTGAACAAAAGTTCAAACAGAGCCTCCAATGTTGCGGTCTGGTTTGTTTGACGGGATGTCAGGTCAGCGGCAGCCTGCGGCACGCAAGATGCAATCAGCGGCCAAGATGCGCCAGCCTGACTCCATATTGCCAGACGGAAACACAGGATACGGAAACACAGGATGCCAGACGGAATCTCAACAGTTGTCTCAAGAATTCATTCAACTGAACCGCACTTGTGCCTCCAAAAAGCTCCTATCCACATCATCCCGATGTTTCTTGCTTTTCTTCCGCAGCTTGCCGCGACCTGCGCAGACAAAGTGCACAAAAAAACGTAACAAGCCATTTAAGAACAATCACTAGGTCCATCTGAGGCCACTAGTAATCATTAAGAATCAGAAGGGGTACGATGCTCTACAAGCCAAAAAGCAGCTGCAACCTGATGGTGCTGGTGGCGACACGATGTCAGGAAAGCGCAGTGCCATTAAGCAGTCTAATGTGGTGGAAGGTGCAATGCAGTTGAGTCGTCGCACAAGGTCGGCTATCAACTGCAAGCATAAGACGCGCCCGTGGACCAGGAGAAGCAGCTGAGGAGCTGAGCAGCTGAGAAGCACCACATTGGTGCGTGGGTGTGGGCGGAGGCCGCAAAGCTGCACATCTAAACCTCTTTGAGACATTCTGGCGGCACGACAATCAGCAGCAGGGCTGCACAGTGTTGACTTACCTGCACTGTCTCTGTTGCCACTTCTCCCTCTCCCTGGCTGCCAGACAGCACTCGTGTAAGGCCGCTCAAAGCGGTTTCTCTGCAAAGCAGGACGCCCACCCATCAAATCTTCAGAGGCAAAGCGCCAGACCAGGCGAAGCTGAGCATTACAGCCTAACCTGAGCTGCTGATCGCTGTGCGTCAGACAGGAGACCAATGCTTGAAGCAGGTCTGCAGATTCGCAACATGGAAATCGAGGCACGCTGCCATCAGTAACACATCACATTGTGACAGCATAAAAAAATGTGACAGGTTGAAAAAACATTTACCGACCTGATCTGTAATTAAAGTGCGGCGCAGCCTCCAGCAGGCCTGCCATGCACTTCACAGCTATGCGACCTTGCTGCAGAGGTGCGTGCCCTGCGTTGCTTCCCTTGTAGGCCTGCAGCCCATAATTTGTTCAAAAGGTGGCATCCCGGCAGCCTGAATAATTCAAGCTTGGCGACCATGAAAGAGAGGATAATACGAGTGGAGCATGCCTTAGTTTGCAAACAACTTGCCTGCAGCAGTTTCTTGAGATAGGTGTGGTATCCGCCCAAGAGGGTGGCTTCATATGTCCGCATCGCCCGCACTTCTTTGGAGAACTGCACAGGCCGTATGGAGTGCCACCGTGAGTGCCAAGTTATCACAGTCGCCGTGGATTGCGCCCCGCAGCGCCACATGCTGTGCCTTGCGCCGAGCTTGCAGCATCACCATGCCAATTAGAATAACATGTCGGCACCCTTCAATGCTTGCCTTCTCCATGGGCTCCTCCTCCGCTGAGGTTGGACGGATACGGTAGGCTGGAACCAGGTCCTTGAACACCGCCAGCAGCGTAAGCATGGCCAGCCGGCAGACCTGTGGCAGCCAGCAATGGCATGAGTCGACGACACCCTGCCAACACGCACGCACTGCTATCGCACCATACAAGCATACAGATGCGGGCGAGCGGAGTAGGGCAATGCATGCCGAACACGCACACGCAAGCCGAGGGCTCACCTGCGCATCTTCATCCTGCAGCAGCTCTAAAAGATTCCGAAGCTGTGCCACTTGCTTGTTGGGATCTTGCAACAGCTGGTGTGCGGCCATTGCCAGGTGCTGCTTGGCTGCCTCGCGCCGCAGCTGCCAGGACTTGATGCCCGCAAGGGCGTCCGTGCCCGCTGCCGCCGTGTGTGCAGCAACTGCAATGCAGCGAAGCAGTGGCACCAGGCTGGGCAGGAAGCTGGGCAGGATTGTTGTTGGCATGCACAAGTGAGCCAGCATCGGCACGCGGTTCAGCAAAACACGCACCACGCCGTGGCCTCTTTGTAGGCCGCTGGGACTCATCTCGTTCCCGTTGGCGCTCTTTGCGCTCATCATCATTGGCAATGCTGTCAACAGTGAGGCTGTTGTTGTTGACAAGGTCATCCACTACGCAAACGCCTGGAACGTGCCGTGGCGGCGCCGCTGCGAGCGGGGTAGCATCTTCTGCCACCCAAGCTCCAACGGACCTCACGGGCAGCCGGACACTTCGCTGTGCCTGGCGAGGCAGGGATAGCACCGCGTTTGCGTGTTTTTATTCATTGGCGGCGGCGGCAGCCATGGGCCGGCGCGCTCCTTTTTCACAACTCTCGCCCCCAAAGCAGCAGCGAGGAGGTGCTTTCATCACCTTTGTGTCTTGCGACCAGTTCCGCACATGCATCCTTTTCACTTCCGTGTACAGCCAGCTAGGTCCCTCAACCTGGATGACCTTTGGAAGATGCGCGAAGAAGAAGAAGAATATGACCAAACGCGGGTGACTCAGGGGGAGAAACGGTGGCAGCGACTTTCCAGAGGAAGCCCGCCGCCACTCCCTCCCCACAGCAGGCTGTCAGGCTGGATCTGGAGGGTTCTGAGCTGTCGGCGGCGCCTGTGCATACAGTGATCGTCGTGATGTGCGAATCTGCACGTTGTAAGCAAGGGCACTGCGCACAAGGCGATGCACCGCCGTCGCTGCCTGGCGGGGCGCAACGCCGCACCGCTCAAGAGGAGCGCGCGCTGTGGAAGTGAGCAGGCCCGAGTGGGACACGGCAACAGGGAAAGCAGCTGACCTGCCACTCCTGTTGAAGCAGCTAATGGATGCAAGAGCTGTGTTGCTCTAGCTTGTCAGCAACTGCCGGCGAAAGGCGGGTGTCGGCGGCATGCGTGACTTCCAACTTGTAGAGGTGACGATGAAAGGTACGTTGCCCTGTTTTCTGAGCCACGTGGACGCTCGACACTACCCCGCTCCTATTTATTTATTACTGTATGACTAGTATTCAGTGGATGTGGCATGTGGATGCACAAGTTCAAGAGAGATTCATTCACCGAAAATCCAGGTGATTCACCATCCTGTGTCTGTGGGCCTCTTGCCAACATTTTTGCATTTCGAAGCATTGCCTGAGTTACCTACCTCACGTGCACCCCTTCGCCGTTGTGCATTGACGATGGCGGCAACGCAACGCTGCCCGGGATTGCCTTTCATTGCCACCACCTTGGGTGCGCTGACTGCTGCTGCCGTTGGCGCCACGTCTTCGTCGCTGCAGCCCATACTGCTGCGCACCGTGGCTCCTGCTGCTGCTGGCACCTCTGGATCTGCAGCGCAGCCCTCGCCAGGCTCGGAATGCTGCCCCTCAAGGCTCCTGTCACTGCTGCCCGCTGCATCATGGCTGTGGCCATCGCTGCTGGCTTCCTCCTCGCCTTCCGAGTTGCTGCTGCTGTCGTCATCGCCGCCACTCCCCTCCTTCTTGCTAGTGATAAACCTGCGCTCCGCTCAATCAAATTGTATTGAGTGGGGACCGGCTTGGTTACGCGTACATCAGGTCCAGGCCCAGAACGAGGTAGGTGCATCCCACCCACCCGTGCACCACACCTGTCCAGCAGGTCTTGGTGCTCCCGCTTGAACCCCGATGCTCGCAGCTGCTGGTCAACGCTGCCCAAGACGGCAGCCACCGCACCCTGCAAAACGGGTGGGAGATCCAGCCAGCAAACTCATCCTTCTGTTGCGAGGCATGTGCAGCTGGGAAATGCAATACCTCAAAGGTGGGCCGGATGACTTCCAGTTCCTCATCCTGCTCTGGCACATAGCCCAGCTTCTTACTGCAGCCAGGAGGCTTGAAGGCAGTGTGCGCAGTTGCCGGGGACGTATGCAGGCGGCAATCGTTGCGCAACGGAATCACAAGTGCAACCAACCTGAAGAAGCGAACAATGCATTCCACATCCCGCTCGAACAGCTCCTGCGACGAAAGCGGCAGCCAAGGCAACGATGACTGCCACCAGTAAAGGGATAAATCAATCACGTGCTTTGCACCTGCTCAAGATGGTCATTTGATCATCACCTGTGCATTTGGATGGCTGACCGATACCATTTGTGGGAAGTCGATCAGAGTGAGCTCTTCTTTGTCGTTTACCTGACAGTTGCGGGGCAAGCACAGTGAAGACAACTGCCACACGTAGGGCCATCATGAATGGAGGGGCTGCTGGGCAACCGCTATGGATAATCAACGCCATGCCAATACCCTGACAAGCGCCTCACCAGCAGGTTGAACTCATTGTAGTCACAATGCACGAGACCAAGGCCTGCCAGCTTGCTCAGCATGTCCATGAGATGCGCGTACACTTTGCGCGGGTTGCTGAGTTGGCGCACCTGCACAGCGTGGCAGCAGTGCTCCTCTTGTCGAGGCTGCCCCTCCTTGCTCAACAATCTTTCACGAGTTTTTTCAAAGGAAGTGAAGGGGACGGCAGGTTCCCACACCTGAACGAGCGGGTAGGCGTCCAGAAGCGACATCAGCACCGCGTGCCGGTTGTTGTCAATTGCCTGCAGCACTTGCGTACAACATGCTTGCATGGGCGTGACAGCATTCATGCGTAACAGACATTAAGCGCAAGTTGGCGGGATTGACCTGCAATGCACCTTTGGCACGGGAAGACCATGCTCTCCCAGCGCTTTCATGAATGCAAACTCTTTGAGTGCCGCCAAGCGGGAAAGATAGAGCCAGCTGAAGTGGTTGCCCTTCCCCAGGTAGTCACGCTTGTTCTTCACCGCCCTGCTAGGGCAAACAAACATCAGCAGCTGCCTCACCAAACTCCAATTGATCATGCAGCATGGGATCAGAGCTGACGCATCTGCACCTGAAACTTGTGCGTCCCAGGCGATGCAGCTTCAGTGCCATCACCTGCACCAGCGGCAGATGCAGCGTCATGAGGCACGCCTCCAACCCCCTCTGCATGATGATGGGCGGAGCCAGCCTGATGCATAGACTCTCAGCCAGGGCTGGCACTCGCCTGTCCCTCCTCATCCATCACTTCAAAGATGTCAGACTCCTTGCCCACACCAATCTGTGGCACAAGAGGGACAGCGGCATGCCGAATGCAGGCATGGGCGTGTGAAGATCGACACCCGTTTCTCAGCTATGCGAACAGTAGCAAGCAGCTGCAGGATGCAAACGGCCATGCTCACCTGGCGACCCACCCCTGCAATGGCACCGCGGTTCACCAGAGCCTTGATGGCAAGGTAGTCGTAGCCCAGATACGTCAGCCGATAGCCGTCGTACCTACAAGATGAAAGATCACTGGGGGATGGAGACAACGCAGGATCCAGATCCCCCAATTCACATCAAAAGTCAGCCAGCCGGTGAGTACCCTGCCAGTTTCAAGTCCAGGCGATGTCAAGTAGGCTGCCCACATGAATCAGGCAGGATCAAGTGCAGCTGCTGTTCGCACTTGCTATTGTCGTGATGTACTAGCTTGTTGCGCAGCAGGTGCTTCAGGCACTTGAAAGTGCCGCCATGCCTGCGTTTGGGCAGGGTGGAGGCAAGCAGGCACCGCATGGAAAGCTGCAGGTGCGAGCACAGTAGCCAGGGGCCTCGACAGCCCATGTGCATTGAGCCCACTTGAGGCCAGCGATGCTATCGATGAGGGAGCAAGGCACAATCTCGTGCTGCACATGGAAACAAGACGGGGCTTCAGTGCTTGCTCTGGTCCTGCCCCCCCCCAACAGGTTGCCCCAAGATCACGGAGGCTGGAACGCTCACATTCTTTTGCCCCATCTCCACTGCCGTGAGAACCCTGAAGTCCTCCTTGGTCAAATAGCGCAGCACATTTACGTCAAGTTTCTGCGATTGCCAGGCGCGGGGGGGGGGGAGGGGAGGGGGCAAATGGGAGGCGGGCTGCTGCCTGCACAATGCAGCTTGCGGCCAGCGCAGAACCCATTGCAGTGCGCTCTGGACAGGCCTATCAGCCTGCAGTCACGAGCCAGGTTCGTCAGGGGCAGCACCTCGAACCATGACTGCGCACCATTGCAGCTGCCCTTCTTTTCAGTGGAGCTCAACACGTTGCCAACAACTGCTAGCCCGCCAGGCCCCCCCACGGCCGTCGCCCGATAAACGTTGGCAACTGCGTAGGCGTTCGCGCAGCAGAACGTGCTGCTAGGCATGTATGTTCGGCGGTTCACTTGCGTATTGACGAAAGGAAATCAAGATCGCCGCATGCATGCATAAAGCGTATGATGCCACGAGTTTCCTGCTCACCCACGCCCTCTTTCTGAGGGTTGGATCGTGCTTGGCTGTCCGCATCTCTGGCAACCAGCCCCGCCTCGAATGACTGACCAGCGGGCGGCAAAGCACCCACGGCTGGACCAACCGGCTGCTCCGCCGAATGCTTGCTTCCAAGCGCAAGCCACGAATGTGATCATCCAATTTCAGTCCCCGGAAGGCGATGCCACAGGCGAGATGCTGCACTAGGCCCCCTGCCGCCGCTCCGCCGCCGCCGCCATTCCTGCTCGTAAGCACGCAGCCCGAGGGCGGGGCACTTTGATTTGCCGATCTGTCCGCCTTACACGTATCGTGTTTGCAGGACCTCAGCTGGATGTGCCGCACGATGTCACCCCCTCGCAGCTGGAGACGCTGCTGAATGGGCTGCGACAGACCGAGGAGCGCCTGCCCTACTCCTTCTTCATCCAGGAGCAGGAGCTGGCAGCAGAACTGGGCGCACACTTGCTGAAGCACAAGGCGGGTCCTGCCAGTTGTGAACCCCCCTGTTTTGGTGCTGGCTGGCCGGGGTCTATCAATTGTTTGTGCCGCTGTTTCAGCTTAAGCATCCATGTGCACACTCTGCAGGTTTCTGTGGAGTCTGTGCTGCGCGTGGTGTATCACCCTCAGGCAGTGTTCAAGGTCCGAGCAGTGACACGGTGCACAGCCAGCATTGCAGGGCATGCAGGTGCAGCCAGCTGCCGCTGCTGTGCCTCTTCTCTTTTTCTCGCTTGCGCTGCACCGGCACGCCGCAGCTGGTCTCGTCCGTCACAGCTGGTCTGCTCGTACAGCACTACTACCCGCAATAGTGCTGTTCCCAGCATGTGCCAAGGAGGAGCACGCGGTTCATTGGTGTGCATGCCGGATCGCATGCATTACCTGTTGAGATTGTGCTGCCGATGCAGAGGCGGTGCTATCTGTTAACTTCAGTCCTGATGGCCAGCGCCTTGCAAGCGGCAGCGGTGACACAACTGTGCGGTTCTGGGATTTGAATACGCAGGTGGTGCCCTTGCTGGTGTTTGATGCTGCTGTGGGCAATCTGTTGCATGCTGCGAGTGCTCACACAGGGTGGCAGTGGTGTGGAGCTGTTATCACATTGTGCAGCTGGCTGATCTGATCAAATCTCTTGTGCCTTTTTGTATGCAGACGCCACAGTATTCATGCAAGGGGCATGCCAGCTGGGTACTTGTTGTGGCCTGGAGCCCTGACGCCGCCCTTGTTGCTTCTGGAAAGTGTTTTTGCTCGTCAAGCCCTCTGCTCACAGCTGGTTCACAGCGCTCCACATTGTGAACCAGAAGTCGTCAATTTGTTCTCATTGCTGCAGGCGACCATGATGGTGGTGTCTGGCTGTGGGACCCAGCTACGGGAAAAGCTTTGGGGCAATGCAAGGCATGCTTCCTGGATGTCACTCTCTTGCATGCCTGGTCGATGCTGCTCAGCAGCCTGCGGTGGTCAACCGAATTTTGCGCCTCAAACTAATTTGCAGGGCCACCGCAAATTCATTACCAGCATTGCATGGGAGCCGGCACATATCGAGCTCCCATGCCGCCGCTTCTGCAGTGGCAGTAAGGATGCCACGATCAAGGTGTGGGAGGCCAGCACACGGTGAGTAGGTTGGTTGGCGACCGGGCCTTCTCGTCTTTCCACGACTTTGCTAGGCATCCATCCATCGTGGTCGTCATGTAACTTTGGCTCATTGCGTTGCAGGCGCTGTCTCATCACAATGAGCAATCATACGCAGGCTGTCACTCAAGTGAAATGGGGCGGCGATGGTCTGATTTACAGTGCTGCCCGAGACTGCAGCATCAATGTGTGGGCGGCCGCAGACGGAAGGCTGGTTAGAAGGTGGGCCTAAGAGCAGGCTGACCTGCGTCATCGAGGTATCTCAACATCACCGGTGCATTTACATCACTGCCTGAGAAGACGGCACTGGTGCAAGCCTTTCCTTCCCTTGGCTTGCAGTTTGAAGGGCCATGGCCACTGGGTGAACACCATGAGCCTCAGCACAGGTGGGCGCTGACGCTGGTTAATACCATCAAACCATGTGTCATCCCTTGCCCGCGCTCAGATGCCTGCCCACGATGGTGTGGCTGTCCTGCAGACTATGCCCTTCGCACTGGAGCTTTTGATCACATGGGCCTTGCCCCTGGAGACATAGGTGGAAATGCTTGTGCTTGTACACTTGTCTTGACCAGGGCTGTGGCACCAGCCAATGCTTTGTTGATGGCTTGCAGATGCAAGAAAGGCAGCCGCGCAGCAGCGTTATGATGCAGCATGCAGTGCAAGGCCAGAGCGGTTGGTAACAGGTGTGCACTACAGAAATTGCGACCTGCTGCTGCCGCCGCGGCTGCCACATTTGTGTGTGATGGGTGGGTGGGTGCTATTTACTTTTCGCTTGCTTGCTCGTTTAAATTTAGGCTGAGAGAACAATGCTGAGCACCACAGGAAACATCAGTCCGTTGCTGTCTACACCCTGCTCAGCTGCTTGCCAACCCTGCTGGCCATGTCATGCATGCAGGCAGCGATGACTTTACCCTCTTCCTGTGGGAACCCTCCACTCAGAAGCAGCCCAAGGCACGCATGACAGGCCACATGCAGCTCATCAATCAGGCAAGTGCCACCCGCAGACGGTATTGCCGCAGCGGGTTAAGCAGCCCATGCCTTGGCCTTACCGTCTGCCCGGAAAAGTTACGAAATGCAGGTCACTTTCTCCCCTGATGGTCGCTGGATCGCCAGCGCGTCATTTGACAAGTCCGGTGTGCCTGAACACAGCAATGAGTGGCCTGGCTTGCGCTTTGTGGACAGCACATCGCTGGTTGCTGCCATAGCGTCCCTCTTCCCATGCGCTGTCCTGCGTTTGCCAAAAAAGTTTGCCCTTTTACCATGTGCCTGCCATTGTGCAGTGAAGCTTTGGGATGGCGTCAGCGGCACATTCATCGCCACCTTCCGGGGACACGTGGGGCCTGTGTACCAGGCAAGCCGTGCCCGCCAGTCTGTGTTATTGGCCACCAAGACAACCTGGCTGTGGCGGTGGAGATCAGCTAGGGTCGATGCCTCTCGTCGCCGGCTTCCTACGTGGGCTTGCCCTCTCCTGGTGCACACACCGCAGGTTGCTTGGTCCGCCGACAGCCGCCTGCTTGTAAGCGGCAGCAAAGACAGCACGCTTAAGCTGTGGGATGTGCGCAGCAAGAAGCTTTTCATGGACCTTCCAGGTCATGCTGATGAGGTGTTCAGGTCAGGTGGCAGTTGATAGTGGGCGTGCAAGCTTTGCGCACTTCTGGTGTGTGTTTGGGAGACGGGCAATCTTGCGCAGCGAGCGGCAGGCCCGCCTGCTGTGCCAACTGGGGCATGTTCGCTGTTGGCTGCAGCGTCGATTGGAGCCCAAATGGTCACAGTGTTGTGAGTGGAGGCAAGGATAAGCTGCTAAAGCTGTGGAGGCAGTGACATCATTGGGCATCAGTGAACTGGCGGTTAACCATTAGCAGTGCGACAGTGGCAGAGACTGTTTCGGTACATGCTCATCGCATTTACCCTTGTAATGCACCTGATGCTTCTAATGTATTCACTTGCAGCTGATAGACTATACAACGGGGTGGTGGGGGAGGGAGGCAAGGGAAGCGGGGCACAGTAGCGCAGGCGGGGTGCAGCGGCAGCGCACGTAGCAGGCGGCTCCTCTTCCCCGGCGTGCATTCGTCCATGCATTCGCCGGCTCTACAGCAGCAGAGCCGGGCAGACGTCGAGGCTCTGGAGTGCTGCTCTGGCACACACTCTCACTCATCCCTTCATGCTCGCTCCGTGGCTTGAAGCAGTGGTGCCTTTGGCGCTGATCACCACCTTCATTGTGATGCAAGGAGGCCTCCAGGTGAGGGCCTCGTTGTTAGCGTGGGGCACTGGACCTTCCGGAGGCGTGCCATGCAAATCGCACATTCTGGCTGCCTCTTGCCTCGGGCGGGACAGTGGGGCGTAGAGCTATGCAAACCAGAAGAGGCAGCGGAAGCCGCCGCCGCACTGCTAGTGGCACCACTGCCGCCGTCGCCCGCGACCCGCCGCCGCCTCTGAACGCTGGCCACTGTCCGTCCTTTGCCTGTAATGCAGGGCGCCGTTCAGCAAGCATTCTACGGCAAACCCAAGGCAACGGACGTGGATGAGTGGGACCGCTTGGTGAAGGCCCGTGACGAGCGACTGGTGGAGGAGTGGAAGCGCCATGGTTGAGCGGCAGTGAACCTGAATTGGTTCATGTGTGAGTCAGACTGGAATTTGGCCAGCTGCTGGCTTGGGGCACAGGCCCGAGACGCTGCTTGCAGTGTGCATCTGTCTCCCCCTCCACGCATGCATCTGACTCCCCCTCCCTCTCATCTCTCCCTCAATGATGTCCCTGTTGACTTTGCATCTGCCGTGTTGTAATGGCAAAATTGAAAGCTTGAAAGCGAGGACGGGGTGGGGCAGGTGCAGGTACAAACGCCCAGTGGAACTCCAAACTCGGAAAAGGCAGCGGGTTCATGGGTAGGCAGCTTGCCACAGCTGGCTGTGCATCAAACGAAGGTGAGGGGCGGCAACAGACGGGGGGGGGGGGGGGATAAATAGTCTTTCAAAAGGCGGCAGATCTGAACACATGGAGCCCCTGGGTCAGGCTCAAATAGCTGAAGGGGTGTAGAACCACGAACAAGCAAGCAGATAGGTGAAAAAGTGGACGGGAGGCTGTCGTTTGACAGCATCGGGAGCGTCGAGCGAATGGAAGGTTCAGGGGTGGGCAGGTCAGAAGGAAAGAGCGGGCTGAGGGCAGGAGCGAGGCACAAGCCAAGAGCTAACCAGGAGAACGAAGAAGACGGAGATGGAGTGCAGAGGGTGCGAGTGCAGAGGGTGCTGCCACAGCGGCTCGGACTGGGAAACAATTCGAAGCAACATAGCAACAGCCGGCTGGATCTTTCTCAGCCCATGAAGCTGGCAAACAGCTGGCTGCCTAGCAGTGCAGGATTCGGCTTGCCCGGAAAGCTGCCTGCAAGGGAAATGGCAATCAGGAGTATGGAAGTCGCTGGCGGCAGCGCCAGCAATAGACCAGGAACCAAGAGCAGCTCAGCATGCACAGCTGTCTGTAGCTGGTCCATACCCTTTCCCCAGTTGTGGGGACACAACAAGTGGCCACACAATCACATTGCAGCACGCCTGACCTGCAGCACCCTTTTCCATGGAATTCACAGTCGCAATGCCGTCTCCCTCGGTGGGCTGAGCTGGTGCCTGCTTGCCGTTCATCTGCGACCCACTGCCAGCGGGAGCACCTGCGGGTGCGTTGGTGCCGCTGTTGCCGGTGCTGCCACCCTGGGCAGGGCCTGGGCCGCCAGAAGGAGCAGGGCCACCCGGGCCCATGCCGTTTGGCCGCATCAGGGATGCGAGCGCTGCACCGTTAGCCTGCTGGTAGGCCTGAAACATGGCGGCATCCGGCTGAGGCTGCATGCCAAAGGCAGCTGCAGCATAGGGGTCGCCGCCAGGCATGCCCCCCAGCTGGTAGGCCCCCGCCATGGCGGCTGCGGCTGCTGGGTCAAAAGGGCCAGGCATTCCAAAAGGGGCACCTGCGTGGGCCAACAGATGCGGTAAGCCACAGCCGCGAAGCAGAGGCAAGCCTGCCTGGAAGGAGGAGCACAGCCTTGCGGCTGCTGTAAACAAATTCAATGCTACTACTGCCATGCGAAGCGCAAAACGAACGGCTTGGCTGTGTGCCAGCACCACGCACCATGCATGCCGCCAAAGTGCGGGCCGCCCATGCCGCCCTGCTGCTGCGCTTGGTTGGCCACCCGGGAAGAGGACCGCCCCCAGCTGATGCGCATGGCCGAGGCTCCCAGCACCTGACCATTCATGGCGCCCATGGCACGCTCTGCTGCAGTGCGCAGCACAAACTGCACAAAGCCGCAGCCCTTGCCCTGCAAGCATGGGGCCGCGCCAAAACACAGTCCAGTGGGTGACGCAGCCCCACCCGGGGGCTCGGCACACCCTATCGATGGGTCCCCCAACTTGCCGCTGGTATCTTGACATAGATGATGTCGCCAAAGCGGGAGAACGATGCACGCAGCTGGTCCTCGTTCACCCCACCGCTCAAACCACCGATGAAGAGCGTGGTGTTGGTGGGGTCAAAGTCTGTATGCGCAGCGGGGAGCCCTCCTGTTTGGTGAGGCGGCGGAGCTGCAGCTCATCGGCACCCCAAGTGCAGCAGGCACACTGACGAGCGCCCGCTGCCACAGCGAATCCAGATGGTCAGGCTCTCCTTGTACCTGAGGGGTGCGGTGCCTGCACAGCGCTGGCAGTGGTGGTGTTGGCGTTCTTCTTTGCAGTGGCAAGGCTGACACGGATAGGGCGGTTGGACAGAAAATGGCCGTTCATCTCGGTGAGAGCCTTGTCGCGCTCATTCTCCAGGCTGCGCCAGGGCATGACCAGCGGCAGAGTGGAACGAACCAGAGAGGCCCCCGGCTGGCAACAACAAACCACGTGCCGACAGCAGCTGGAGGACATCTATCCCACCCAGCAACAGAACCGGAAGGGCTGCGGCACCACAGGCCCCAGCATACACCTGAACCGCACAAAACCGTAGCCCTTGCTCCTCCCGGTGGCCGCATCGGTGATAACCTTCGCGCTGCGGACGCTAGGGTAGAACTGCCGGAAGTATTCCTGTAAGGCGACGGCGAAGAGCGAGTGAAACTTGGAACAGCAAGATGCTATGTGCCTGCAATGAGGGCACGGACGCTCTGCCACAACCCGCGGCAAGCAGCCGCACCTGCAGAATGATGTCGGTGACATCAGGCGCCAGATCGCCCACAAACAGCGATGCGCAGTCTGCAGACAGCAAGTGGACAGTGAGGCACGTCCAAAAGCGTGAGCAGGCCAGTGCCACAGCCAGCAGGCATCCACGCCGCACCTTCCCCGGCGGGCTGCGCCTTGCCCACACCATAGGCAGCCCAGTTGAGTCGGAACACTTGGTCTGTGCCAGGGATGGGCTGCCCATTGTAGCTCTTCAGAAGCATGTCGGCCGACTCGTGCGTGCGGAACTCAAGGAAGGCGTAGCCTGCGCCAGGGGGTGGGGGTGGGGGTGGGGGGGCATAGCCTGCGCCGTCGGCAGCCGTTCGCTGCGACTCACGCTGGCCACCACAGCTCCCACCGTGGGACCGGCGCACCTTCGCTGGCGCCGGTGGCGCGGTTGCGGATGAGCTTGACGCTGACGAGCTGGTTGGTGGAGACAAAAACTGCAGGTCAAGAGGGCGAGACAAGGGTGTCCCAACCCCAGCAATACGCCTCCCAAGGGTCGCCCGCATCAAGCACGCGAACACTCACTATTATAGAGGAAGGACTCATCAGCCCAAGGCGGCAAGTCCCCAACCTGCAGGCCACAGATAAGCTGGTCAGCAGCAAAAGGCGCGGCGGCACACACAGGCGGCAGGGGGCGCGGCGGCGCCAGCTGCCTGCCAACAGACTTGTTGCCGGCCCCCCGCAACACACACAGGTTCGACTCAGGCAACTCAACAAAGCAGCAGCTGCACAGGTAGGGCGGGCAGGGGGGCGACCGAAGGTGGCACTTGCCCAGAGGCTTTTGCTAGCTATTTCAGCTGAAGGGATCAACGCGTTTGGATCGGAGGTCATCCCTCTGGCTTCCCGCAGGGCCCTTGAAGCCAACGTGCCACGCCCTAGCCGGTGAGTAGTCTCCGCTTGTTGACACGGTTCACCTCCTGGCTGCTCGCTGGACTAAAGGGGAGCCGAAGGGAGAAGGGGAAGGAGAGGCGTTTCTCTGGCGACCCAGCACAGCACCCGCAGGTTGAAGCCTCAGCACCTCTCTTTGACTCTGGGGGCCGTGTCCGAGGAGAGCGGCCAACATGCGATCGGGAGGCCCGCAGTACATGAGCATGTCCTGCAGGAAGAGTGCTATTTCAATCCTCCCTTTTGAAACTCTCTATTTAAATAATAGTGAACTACTCTTTCATGAAACAAAGGCACATATTCACATCAAAAACATTCAATCACTTTTCAGCCGCACCTGCCACAATCCAGCTGCACAGCAAGGCAGGATATGTCGACATGAAACAGAGCTTGTCACGAGTGTGAAGGCTGACAATGGCGTCTGGGCAACAGGTGGGCGCATCACTAGGGCATGCAATGCGTGCCCACTCACCCCCATACCCCATCTTGATCATGGCCAGCTCCAGTGCCATGTGCACCATGGAGGTGAGGCGGATCTTGGACCCCGGGATTTCAGTCCAGTTCACCTGCACCTCTGCCATGGGAACCTGCACGGTGCGCACGAGGAGCAGTGTCACGCCAAGCGGACCAGTTACCTCTTCTTCCCGCTCGCCCTCTCCGACCACGTTCAAACCTCCTGCCCGCCCCAACCCACCTCTCCACCACATCAAGACGCCAGGCACCACACCCCGCACCTTGAGCCGCTGTGCCAGGTAGACCAGCTCCACGTCAAAACACCAGCGCTGCAGCCGCTGGTTGCTGTACAGCTGCTGCGCCGCGGACCTTGTGAACAGCTGACACAAACAGCGATGTGGCAGGATTGTGTTAAAAAGAGGCATTGTTCGTGAAGCATCCAGTGAGTCCTTGCCCACCTTGAAGCCGCACTGCGTGTCCCGGATCTGGTTGCCCACGACCATCATGACCAGGACATGAAATCCGTGCATCAAAAAATTGCGCAGCGCGCTGCGTTTTGCTGTCGCAGAATCCTGCATACAGAGCGTGAAGGTGACAGTGAGTCGTCGCTGCAAGCAGAGCACAGGCAGCACGTCACAGCCATAGCCACTTGTGCCCACCTGAATGTGTGCTCTGCTGCCGAGAACTAAGCCAAGGCCAGTGCAGCGGTATTTTGTGCCTGTTTTTCCGGCGCTGCCCGTGGGGTCGACGGGGTCCGCCTTGTGGCCTGCACCGCATAAGCAGCACCAGCTCCTTTGTGTGCCAGCAAACTAAACACATTGTCCCTCTGCATGCTGCCCAGCTTGCAGCATCACGCAGAAACAGCGCGCTCGCCCGCTCACTGCTGATCTCCGCCAGCTTGGCCTCCAGGCATTCCAGGTCGGACACCTTGGTTGCACCATCCGCGTCCATCATTAGCAATCGCTGCCCGCGCGAGCACAACATGCCCGACTTGACTGCAGGAATGGAGGTCGAGCAGCGACATGGCAAGCGAGGTCATCCTGCAGCCTCCCTTTGCCTGCAGCCCTCGGCTCCCAATAGCGCTGTAATGAGGCCAATCGATGCTGCGTGCGCGCAGGTAGCCATGCCAACCTGCGTAGCCCTTTCCGCGGTTCTGGGGCAGGCGCAGCACCCGCACAGCATCGAAGCCATGCTTGCGCGCAAAGTCGGCGGCCACTTGCACGGTGCCATCCCTGCTGCCGTCGTCCACGATGATGACTTCATATGTGAAGTAGGGGCCCTGCCTGTCACGCCGCCGCTGCAGGTAGCTGCAGCGGAGTGGGCGCATGCGCTGGCGGTGAGGGGCGCACTACCCAACGTGCACTGGATTGGCAGGAAGCACCCTACCTGAGCGTTTCTTGAAGCGTGGCAGGCAGCCTGTCCTCCTCGTTGTAGGCGGGGATGACCACCGTCAGGTCCTTGGTTGGCTCGCTGAAGATGCTCGGGCAGGGAACTGGCTTCCCATCCGGCGCTCGATGCTCCAACTCAAAGGGCTTGAGTTGGCTGTCGGCATCAAGCCGCGCAAATGCGGCCCAAGTGAACTTCGCCATCAAACCACCTGCCTGCGGACAGCAGGAAACAACGGCAGTGGGTGCGGTGGGGCGCGCGCCGGCGACGCCCGTGCGCCCACTGCAGCACAAAAAAAAGCCCAGCCCTTTCGCGGGTGCCCTTCTTGGTGTCACCCTCTCCCTTCCAGGCACAGGAGGCAACGTACCAAGGTCAAAATGGCGCTGCACAACATCATCATGAGCCCCTGCTTTTCTGCGCGCCGAGTACACCCGCGCGATGTGCTGTGGATGGCTATGAGATGGAACTGTGGATGCAATGCGAGCGTGCTGGCAGTACACGTTAAAGTTCTCTCATGGCCGGGATTTTAATTAGGCTCTAGGTCCCTCACTGACACCCCTCTTTGCATCCGACACAGCCCGCCCGCCTTAACTCTTGTGCCATGTCCAAAGTGCCAGTGATTGATAAACATGCGGCGGAGCAGATGAATCTGAACGTATTGAAAAGGATAGATAGCACGATCGAAGAGGTCGGGCATCGCAGCATTCCAGGCTTTTCGCTATTGCGCTCCAACCCCGACCCTGCTTGCCCTCTGGCCGCTGGCCGTCTGGTTGGGCCACGCTGAATTCCGTTTGTCTTTCTCCTGCTGCGCAGCTGTTGGCGACTGCCGGACATGTTGCTCTGTACGACTTTGACATCCCCACCAAGCGCTGGGTGCGTAAGCTACTCTGCTCTCCCCGGCCGGGTGCCCGCCACATTTGGCCACTGGCGTGGGGCGCGCCTCAGCATGCAGGCTTGGATGCTGACCCAGTGTGGGCTCTACAAGTCCCTGCTCCGCAAGACTCTTGAGCCCGCACTTCTCATCAACGTGTTGGCATTGCTGCGGTGGCCCTGCAGAGCCGCAAAGATGTGGAAGGCTCCCTGTTCCTTGTGAAACGCCGCTCTCAACCACGCTTCCAATTCATCATCCTCAACAAGAAGAGCGCAGGTGGGGTGGCAGGCGGGCACGCAGCATGTGCAGCACACAATGCCTTGTTGCGACTCACCCCGTCCCTGCTGCTGCTCAGTGGCCACCGACAACTTTGTGGAGGATGTACATGGAGGGTTCCAGTGCGAGGTGCAGAAGCCCTATGTGCTGTACCGAAACCGGGCCAACGAGGTACGCTGGCAACTGGGGCATTGCCAGAGGGCAGGCATAGGAGGCAGAGCAGAGGTGGGCTGATCACAACACATGCCGTTACAGCAATGTGGTGGGACTGCCAGCGCCTCACGCTGCTGCTTGGATTCCTTCCAACAGGTAGTGGGCATTTGGTTCTATGATGACGCCGACTGCGACCGCATCTCGGTGCTGCTGCAGCGCATCGCCAGCACCTTCGCTGCGCCGGCCGAGGCAGCGGCAGGCGCCACAGTAAGGGCGTGCTGCATCGGTTGCATTGCATGCACAAAAGGTTATTATGGCAGAGACGAATGTTTGTTGAGAGGCAGGTGCTGCCTCTACTGACACTGGGCATTTGCAGCAGAACTGCAACTTGCGCTGGGCTGCCTGCAGGCTGCATTTGGGGCGGCAGAGCATGGTGTGGCAGCGGCAGCAGTCGACGGCAATTCGGGCGACAGCAGTGCCGACATGGGCAGCAGCAGCGGGGAGGACGGCTTCTGGGACCGCCGAGTGGTTGCGCCGAGTGGTGCTGCGATTGGTGGCGGCTCACAGGACCATTATGCTGCCAGGACCCATGACCAACCAGCTGCCATGGTGGCCGCTGCCGCCGTCCAGCCCGGACACGTGATGCCAGCCCAGCCACCCCATCCTGCAGGCGTGCAGAAGCCAGCCTCAGACGCTGCGCCAGGTGGCAACAGCAACGATTTGGCGCGCCTGTTTGCGGGCATCAAGATGGGGCCAGCCCCTGCCGCCGCCGCGCCGCCGCCGCAGTCGCTGGCTGGGGCACCGGGACCTTTACCAGCAGCAGCAGCTGCACCTATGATGCTGCTCACTCCTCAGCTCTTGCAGCAGGAGGCAGCGGGGGCTGCGCCCGAAGTGGGTGCGAGTGCCGGTGCGGGCAGTGCCTTGCTGCAGAGCCTGCTGAGGGGATCCCAGCAGCAGCAGCAGCCACCACCAGCTGCGCCTGAGCCGGCTCCTCAACCAGTGGACATCACAGGCAAGCGCTGATTTCATTGCAACCGTATGCGGGCCACAGCTTGGCGGCGCACCAAGTGTGCTCTGCGCAGACTGTGTAATGTTGGTTGTGACACTGCAACACGTGTGCCACACTGCCTGCAGCGGCAGCCGACCGCGCGTTGCAGAGCAAGATTGCCGCCGTGCTCATGTCGCTGGCCGCCAATGACAACTTTTGCGGCATCCTTGCGAGCGAGCTGAAGAAAGCGGGGCTGGTGTAGAAATCAAATCGGCTTCCAGCTAACTCTACCCAGTGCCATGTAATGTATGGGTCATCGTCCAGTACACCCAGGCGATGGGAGTACATTCCATGTCGCTCCTCCTCAGGGTCGGATTTCAAAGTCATGCACTTGTGCAAGTCTCCTAATCTTCTAATCTCCTCGTCTCCTCATGGTGGATGCACGAAGTCGTCTGTTCAAGGTTTATTCACGACGACAGGATTGTAACACAAACAAAGCAACTTCTGTGAGACCCCCGCCCCCCCCGACTCCTGCCCCGCAGGAGCTCAAGGAAGCGAGCAGGAACCGGGAGGCCACAGGAATAGAGCTCATTCCCGACGAGCGGAACGTCTACCTGTGGACAGCGCTGATCAAGGTGGGGGGAGGTTCAGCGCATCCCCCCGCTGGGTGCAAGTGCGCTGAGCGAGAACGCCTTGTGTACTGCTGGCACTGCCGAGCCTCCTTCTCCGCCAAACAGGGCCCCAAGGACACCCCTTTCGAGGGGGGCACGTTTGAGCTGGCCATTACAGTCCCGGAGCAGTACCCCCTGGTGGCGCCAGCAGGTGTGCTGGTGCGACTCTGGAATGCATTGCTGCCACGCCCCATGTCACAGCAGTATGCCCAACTGTCCGGCCGAAGGAAGGAACCAGCCCGAGGGGTGCGGTTAGGGTGACAGCAGGCCAACCTTGTCTTGCCTCAACAATGAAGCACTGGTTGCCCCGGCTGCCCCACGTCCCATGTAGTGAAATACCGCACCAGAATCTTCCATCCAAATGTTCATTGGAAGGCAAGTCTACTCCGCGTGCATTTGTGCAGGTTAGGGCTTTAATCAGTATCCGCTGCTGCTGCAGACGGGGGAGATTTGCCTGGACATCCTTAAGAATGCATGGAGCCCTGCATGGACGCTGAGTTCTGTGTGCCAAGCAATAGTGGCGCTCATGTCAGGTAGGGCAGCATGCTAATCAAATGTGCCAGTGCTGAGCGGGATCACAATGTCGTCGTCTGAGAGGTTTTTATTTGCCTCCGCTCATGATGATGCTCCCCATTCTGGTGAACCCGTGCTGTGCGTATGGATAAAATCCCTCCCGCAGACCCAGCACCAGACAGCCCGCTCAACTGCGATGCCGGCAACCTGCTTCGCAGTGGCGACTACCGAGGGTACAACTCCATGGCACGAATGCTTACATGTGAGCATGCTTCACGATGAGGGTGCTTGACCAGCAGCGTGTGCCATTCTTGCAACCAGTGAATGGCTGCAGAACTGGACAGTTGCCATGGTCAAACTTTAAGCAATGTGCTGGAGTGGGAATGTGTCAAGCAAGATGTCTGATTCCATCAATTGCAGCGACAATGTCTTCGAAAACCATGTCCATAGATGCAGTGCCGTCAATCTGCAACAGCAGAGGCCATTTGTTGCACTCGCATCCACCCCAGCATGCACCAGCACCTGCAAGCGGGCATTAATGAGACACAAAAGCAGGCACGCACCTCCACCACCTCATTCTTGTAGTACCCCACAACGGCATCCACGTTGGCATGGTAGGTCCGCAGACGATTGCGAGCCTTCTCCTCCGTATCATCGCTGCGTTGCACCTGCATGCACCCCACCCAGCTTATGCACCCCACCCAGCTTGGGCGAGATGGTAGCTGGGACCCGCAGTAGGTCTGCTTCAGGATCAGGCCAGCTCACCAGCCGCGAGACAATCTCGGGTGGCGGTGGCTTGAAGGTCAGATGATAAATCTCGCCCGTCGCTGCAACAAGGATGGAACGGTACCGGGCGGATGCAGGCACACATCAATAGCTGCACAGCTAAAAGTAAGCGGTTCTCCACCAAAAGAAACACTTCTCTCCTGCCGCCTCACCTGGGTCACTGCGACGGCCAACCACACGATCAATCAACAGCTCATCCGGCACCTGAACATGGCATGAAAAAGGCACTTGGCACCCGAGGCCATGGTGGGGTAAACGGAGAGGGTGGAGACCAAACACAGGTAGGAAACGCACCCACGTTCAGGTGGTTTACCAAAACAATGGCCCAAAGCTCACATTGATGAGGAGAAAGATGTCTGGCCGGATGCCTTCCTTCTCAATCGCCTCGGCCTGCTCTCCGCTGCAGCAGGAGGGGGCACAGGTCGGTCATGCTGCGAACAAATGCTCGCACTCCCAGGATGCTTGTGCATTCAGTGTTGCAGCACAACGCGACATGCGTCCAGGACAACACCAGGGCCAACCTGCGGGGGTATCCATCCAGCAGCCATCCGTTCTGCTGCACTTCATCCTCACCAAGCTTGTTCTTCACCATCTCTACCACTACCTGCCAAAGGAGGTCAGCAAAGGACGGCAGCATGCGCATGGGAAGGGGGCAGTCCAGGAGCGACCTGCAAGCCCACAACAGTCACCAGCCGCCAGCGTCCAGGAAAAATGCAACTTTTCAGGCTTTCAGGTGGCATGAAAGCACAGAGATGCCCATCTTGCCTCGTTGGGCACCAGGTCTCCATTGTCCATGAAATTCTTGGCTTTGCGCCCGGCGGGGGTGCCCGCTGCCACCTCGGCTCGCAACAAGTCGCCCACTGAGATGTGCATCAGCCCATACTGCGAGGAGAAAGAACACCGCAAGTCGGGGTCCCCAGCAGAAGGCCATAATATACCGATGCAACTCAATGAGCTTGGGCGGCCACCTTGTCCACAATCTTTGCACACTGCGTGCCCTTGCCAGCAGCAGGCGCCCCCGCAATCATCACTCGCAGCGGCTGGCCGGGTTGTCCAGTCACGGCGACCGCCGCCAGTGCGCGACGGTCGCTGCGTGCCGGCCGCGTCCAGGCGCCAGTGCTGCAGGGCACCCGAATCAGCCGCTCTTGTGCGCCTGTACACGGTCAAAGAGTATGTAGGATAAGGGGCAGGATAGGCTTCCTGAGTCACTTCGGGCCGTGCAGGCTGACCCTCACCTTTGCACGGTCCCACGCCGGCGCCTACCCTGCGAATCTTTCCGGCTGCATTAACGGGTTGACAGGGCACCGTCTTGGTGGGGTGGCAAGCATTCTGACGCATGGTGCGCTTGAGCTTGCGCTCCCCGCCTTTAAAGCTACAACCGCAGAATCAACACGCGAAGAGGAGCGCAAGCTATCATCGTGCCGCGCCTCATCCCGGCTGGCACCTGCGTGGCAAGCCGCCGCCGTCGGCGCCCCCGCCGTAGCTATTATTATTAATTTTTTTTTTAGGGTTTAGGGTTTTTTAATGTAGAAAAAAAATGTATGCGCGTGGTCAGCCTTCATGCTGCAGTCGCCACCATCTCCTTCTCGCCCTACAGCAGTACATCTCACAGCAGCAGCTGCTTGTTGTGCACTCAGTGTGAGCAGCACCGCACCAAGCTGCCCGACACGGCCACGCGGGTTAACGGCAACAGGGGCCCAGGAATGAGAGCGACGGGGTGGCCAACGGCAGCAGGTGCCTCAAGCGGCGGCAGCTGCCCCTGCTGCCGTGTGGCAGGCCGCAGTGCCACCAGTGCCATCCTCCCACCGGTGCAGCACATTGGCCTCCACCAGCGCCATGCACAGTCGTCGGCCCTGCCCAGCTCGCCCACCCAGGCCTGGCACTCCGTGGGCTGGGCTCGGTGCGGGGGTTAAGAATTGCCCAGCGTGTTGGGCATGGTGGGGCTGCCAATCATAGTGGGGCTGCCAATCATCCAGGCTATCTCGATAGGGAAGGAAGGGCAGGAAGCGGATCACCACCAGGAAGAGGATCACCACCAGACCGGGGTGGCTCGCCACCAGCCCGGGGCGGCCAGGCGGCTGGCCGCTGCCGCCTCTGTGGTGCTTAAGACCAGGGAACATCTCTGCAGCAGAACGGGGGCGGGCCTGGAGGCGGGCCCTAAGAAGTTTGCGAGGCATCAAGCCCCCATTCGCAAGTCACGCATGGCCGAAACCTGCGCCCGAGCCTCTCTCCAGCCGCTAACATCTCAAACGAGTGCAGAGGGAGTGAAAAATGCAAGGCGCAGGCGGATAAGGGCTCCGCCTGCTGGCAGTGCGGTGCGGTATGCGCGCCTTCCCGCCCGCGCAGCTGGCGCAGCGCCCACCCTCCTCCCCTCCCTTTCCTTCCCTTTTTCTCTTTTCTTTTTCCCTCCTCTTCTCTCTCTCCTCCCCTTCTCCCTCCTCCCTTTTCCCCTCCCTCCCCTCTCCTTTCCCCTCCCTTCCCCTCTCTCTCCCTTCTCCCTCTCCTTCTCTCCTCTCTTTCTCTTCTCTCCCTCCACTCCCTCTCTCTCCCTCCCCTCCTCCTCCCCCCTCTTCTCACGAAAAATGATAGGGAAATTGGCAATTACAAGAGTTGGGGTTACAGGGGGAGTCCACTCCACTTACGGCGTGGGCACGAACTGCGGCAGGCGACGGGAGCAACGGGTGAGCGATGAGATGTGTGGGAAACCTGCACAGCAGCCACAGAGCATGCTCCCTCCTTGCCCACCTTGGTGGCCACAGCGAAGCCATTGGCTGTAGACGGGTCGGCCAGGTGGTCGGCCAGGTTCTCCAGGGGCGACTTGCCGGTGATCAGGGCCTGCACCAGGCAACCCAGGGGCACGTGTGCAACCGGCCTCTGCTTCCCAAACCGGCCTCTGCTTCCCAAACCGCCTCTGCTTCCCATACCCACCTGCACGAAGAAGCCGAACATGGAGAACATGGCGAGGCGGCCGTTCTTCAGCTCCTTGACCTTCAGCTCGGCCAGGGTGTCGGGGTCGTCAGCCAGGCCCAGGGGGTCAAAGGCGCCGCCTGCAGGCCTGCCAGAGCAAAGCTGAAAGCCAGCCGTGCAAATGCACGACTCCTCACGCGCCGTGCAAATGCACGACTCCTCACGCGCTTCGACCGGTCACCCACCGGGGTACAGGGAGTCGCCGCTGGTCTCCACGGGGCCCTCGCCGGCATAACGGTACGCCTCGGCGGCGCCCATGATCACCAGCTGGGTCAGCAGCACAGCCACGATGGACTGGGCATGGATCAGGGAGGGGTTGCCTGCATCGTCAGGGCGAGCGGCGCCCGGGCTGGTGTCAGCGAGGGGCTCCCAGGGGCGGCCGTACAACAGGCGGTCATCACCAAAGGCCCCCTAGCAAAATGGGGTGGCGCTCGCAGCTGTCACTCACCCAGGTAGTTCAGGCCATCGTCGCTGAAGATGCTGGCGCCGGCCTTGAACCACACAGCGGCCTCGCCAAAGTCGGCGGCGCCGTTGTTCTGCAGCAGCTCGGGGGTCAGGCAGCCCAGGGCGCCGAGCATAGCCTGCAGGTAGCAAAGGGGAAAAGGGGTTGCGCAGATGAGCCACACAGGTTGCGATTGAGGTGGGGGCAATGGGCAGCGTGGCGCATCAGCACTTAATCTCACGACGCGGCAGCCCTCGAGCAGAGGACACCCGCCGTTGCTGCTGGCGCATGGCGGGGCACCTACCCAGCGCGCGTGGATGACCTCGATCTCGCGGTAGCGGGCAAAGGTCTCAGGGTCAGCAGACAGGCCAGCGCTGTCCCAGCCGTAGTCGCCGGGGAACTCGCCCTTCAGGTAGGAAGGCACGGCGCCGTCGGAGAAGGGGCCCAGCCACTTGGCGCGGTCGGGGCCATAAAACCTGCAGCGCGTGGGGGGGGGCAGCAGCGGGTTGAGGCCAAGAAAAAACTGGCAATGGACATTGAAAGAGCTGGGATTTCAGGCGAGTGGAAGGGGCTGCAGCCTATCCGGCGGCAGCAGAGCGACGCTGGTGGCCGAGCAGAGATATGCTCGCTGACCGCTGCTGCAACCCGCGGGGTTGCAATGGAGCTGTCCACTCACTCGACGGAGGCACGGGTCACCTGGCGGGAGCCCTGCAGGCAGAACAGGGTGGGGCGGCAGACGGTCGGGGGCGGCGTGGGGCGGCAGCAGCCAGGCACGGCCCAGGAGCGGCAGGACGAGGCCGGAAACATTCAGAGGCGGGATGGGGGAGGGCGGGCGGGGAGCAACGCGCGGCTGACTCAGGATAGAGCGAGATATCCTCAGCCATTGGGGGCCCAGGCACCGCGTTCTGCTGGTGCTCTGCTGCAGGGGCAGGCCAGGGCTGAGCAGACGGTGTGGCGTAGGTCGGCCAGGGGGCTGCACCGAACTTACGCGGACAGCGGGCCGAGAGAGGCCAAAGGTGGCGCGGGTAGCGGCGGTGGCCTGCATGTTGACTCTGTGTGGAGGGGGGTGACCGGTCTCAGAGACGATGCAGGGAGAACTGGTGGCGATGCTGGGTGGGAGGGCGAACTTCTGGGCGGTGGAGGGTAGAAAGATGAGGCTAAGATTCTCTCCCGCCCGGGATGAGAGCACCTCACGCGTGCAAGAGTTGGGAACTCTGTTCTAGAATGCCGAAGACAAACATGATTTGCTGGTAGGGGAACGTGCGGGGGCGGCACAGTCCATCAGCCGTGATCATGTTGCCGAGCGAGTGCAGGAACCGCAGGGACGCTCCCCGACTGTTCAAGCCCCACCAGTGCTTTCAGCACTAGTCAATCAACGGAAATGCTACACCCGCGCCTGGCACGGCTGCCCCTCGCTGTGGCTGGCGGGCGGCGGCAGGGGCGTCAGCCATCCGTCACTTAAGCTGACAACCGCCTCCTTCGGATTCAGCAACGTTATGCATTGCTATAAGCAACAGGTGCATTCAGGCCATGCTCAAACCAGATGGGGGGAGCCTGCGTGCCAGGGACCACTGCGCTGCAAAGGTGCCGCTGCACTTACCATGGATCCGGCTGCCGTTTCGGTGTTTGCACCATTCAGCTCTGTTCTGTGCAAGCAGAAGAATCGTGTAACAAGTAACAATTAAGTAACAGCTACGATGCAGGTGGGGCTGGGAAAACCTCGCGCGGGCAGCTGAGTGCAGCATCTGATGATCGTCGCTGGTCCATGCTGCAGTTCCACAGTTGGGAGCGCCCACCAAAGAAATCCCTACGGCCCTGTCACCGGCTCCCAGGTCTTCTCCACCGTGCGCCCGTGCCGGTCCTGGTGGGGCAGCTGGTCAAAGAAGAAATCATACCTGTGACCAATGGGGGGGTGGGGGGGTGAGCAGGACAGGAGCGGAGGTTGGAGAGAGATAACTACACCCATAATACATCGGAGAGCGGCGCCTGGGAGGCCGCGCACCAGATGTGGCCAGGATGCGCGTTCACGCAGCACCAGATGGAGCCATAGCGGTCCAGCCGCCGCTTGAACCGCTCCCCAGCTGCCTCGTCTGTCCAGCCGCCAAATAGCCGCTCAATACCCCCCACAAAGTGCAACACCTGCAGCCGGAGCTCAGACAGGTGGTGGTGGAGGAAAGCATGTCCATGAGCAGGGCTGAGCCCCTGGCGCCAACAATGTTGACAACGCGAGAAAGGGCTCCAACCTTGGCTTCTGCCACCTTGCCCTCTGTTAGAGCAGCCTTGAGCGCCTCCTCATGGAGCTGCGGCTTGAGCTTGTCGGCGCCATCAGCACATGTTGACGCATCCTGCGGGTAGCAGGAGCAATGCGGCGTCAATGCTGCGTAGGCAGGCTGCACAGTGCAGGCATGGCCCACTTGCACCTGGCAGATGTCCAGGGTCAGCACTGACGCATTGAGCGCTGCAGCGTGCTGGTTTTGCAGGAAGCTGTACTCGCGAAACTCGATGTTGGGGCCAAACTCGTTCTCTGGCATTGTGTTGGACATTCTGCAAATGAGGGTGCGGCTGACACCTTGATTCGCGCATAAACTCGCGTGTTTTGCATGCACTCGTTACTGAATTGCCCATCCATGCCCCCAGATCAGTTTGGAAGGTTGGAAGCTCACGCTTCAAGGTCGAGCACATGGTCTGCTGGGCAAATGTAGGGCAGGTCCAGTCCAGAACCCGGGATCGTGCCATCATGTGGCGCCCACCACCGGTCCATGCCACACATCAGTTTGGGCAGGATCACAGCCCGGCCCGTGATCTGCATCCAACAATGGTGCAGCCATGGGCGGCAACCAGCAGTCGTCACCACTGACTGACAGACGATGATGACCAGATGTTCACTCAAGCAACAGTCACAGCAGATCAAAGACGCATAACATACATGATGCGTGCCTGTGCCAGTGCAAAGGCAGCACGCATTTGCTTGATCTGGTGGTTGACCAGATTGAAGTGTGGCATCGTTGCCTGCAGCGAAAAATCCCGCTGGACTTTTTGGGCAGCTTCCAGCAGCATCGGCGGTACAGTGCCATCATAAGCAATAAAGCCCTTTGGGTGGGAGAAGTACTCGCCGGGGTCCTGCACAAGCAGAGCAGAGCAGCCCAGTGATTGAAGCATACCGCACAGCGTCGCATTGCGCGTACATGAGGAAATGAGTGAGAAGGAAGCAAAACCAGGCAGAAAAGCGGGGCTGCGAATCGCCTTACATTCCACCAAAGACGCTCGCGCATGCGATGTCGCTTGCCCGGTGTGCCGCTATACTGGAATGTGGCATGCACCACATAGGGTTGCAATCCGAGCTTGTCGGGCATGCGCTGTGTGAAGCCAGTGTGGCCGCTACAGAAGATGGAGACGGGAAGGATGCCACACTTGAGCTTGCCATTGTAGCACCTGCTCAGCAAGGTCAAAAGTGTGAATCACCTCCTGTAGATCCGATTAGTGCAACAACACGGCATTGGAATGATGCTCACTCAAACAAGCGATCCGTGCGGTCAGGTAGAGGCTTGGAGCCACGGCGGAACAGGTCATTGAATGCATTCTGGTCCCACACATTGGCATCATTCTCAAGAATGTCCACCCATTCCTGTAGCAGACTGCTGGAGGTGTGTGAGTACCAGTAACAATCCACGGCGTGACTATGCACTACCCCCTACCAGCACCACGGACACTGGACACTGACTGCATGAGTCACTGCCACCATTTGATCACCCCAACATCAAACTGGCCCGACTCATCCAGCGAGTAGAGTCGCACCGCTGCCAGGTCGTGTGCACGCGGTCTGAACAGCATGATGCCAATGTTAGCCGCAGATGCAGCTTCTGGCCACTTCTCAAGCCCCTCGTCTTGCACAGTGTTCCGCAGATGGTCGCTAGATGTGAGGATGTCGGCATCCCGATACTGCAGCCCACAAAGCTGTGTAGCAAGATGGGCCGGCTGCATTCCACCCAATCGCAGCAGCAGGCAAGCAGACAGACAATACACGGGCAGGATCCACATCCCTCTGCGGTAAGTGTGCACTTGCACGTGCACGCACCGCATTAATGTAGGGCAGCGGGTTGCGCAGCCACACTGTGTCCACATCTGATATCAGCACATCGTAGCCCATCTTGGTGAAGGAGTAGATGAGATTGATCTTCTCACGGCCCTGCAACTCTCAGGAACTAGCTTGGAATGTATGGCGCCTCATTGGGCATGCACGCTCGGGATGACCAGCAGTATCTCCATCTCCTCGAGGTTGCAAACGCGAATGCAGCAGACCCACCATTTTGTGGAAGGTTGGTGTGCCCCAGCCGAAATCGCCCAGCGTGAGGCCTGAGCTCATGCTGAATGCGGGGATATTCTTCGACACCAAAAATTCAAGCAGTTTGTCGTCCATGGCACCTGCAAACACACAAACACAGTTGTGGTTTTTGGCCACATGCAAAGCTGCAGCAAGCTGACAGCCCTGGCTTACCCACTATGAAAGCATCACATCCGGCTGCCTGCAAGTGTTCCACCCAATTCATCACGAAGTCGTGGTAATGCCAGTTAGCCCACGTCACCATTATCGTGTTGTCTTTTGCCACCTTGCCGACCAGGTCCCTGGCAGAGGCAGCAGGAATCACAAAGACACCTCGCCCAAAGCACCCTGTTACCGCCAACTCAGGATGGTGTGGATGCAATCCATGCCAGTAGTGCGCGTGCATGCGACAAAAGCAATGTCAGAAAGGTCAGAATGGAGCATCGCCCGCTGCACTGATGCTCTCACCTGGTCAATGCATGTGGCCTGGAATCAGCCGCTACAGCGTCAGCGGTGCCCTGCTGCTCGGCCGGCTTGTCGCTCGAAGGCTGCACCTCCTCCTGCTCCTGCTGTTGCTCATGCCCGCTATCGGATGCACCAGCCACCAAATCAGTGTCCAGCTGCTGCTCTGCAGGTTTTGCATTGGTGCTTGTCTGCGTGTCATCAACGCTGCCAGATTTGGTCGCCTCTTGGTCTTGGTCAATCATCTCCCGCAAAGCCGCTGCGCCACCTGTGGAACAGCACCACCGACATGCAAGGACACCGTGTTGAGTGCACGGCTGCACGCTACGCAGCATGCTCGGCAACTGGGGGACATGCGCACCTGGAACCTCCTTGCCCTGCTGCAGCAGGTCCTCCTCCGACACCATGGGGCGCACACGGCCATATACTGCAGCAGCGCGCCGCAGGGGGAGGGGGCTAAGGGGCCGGCATATGGCAAGGCAGACATGATGCGCTTCTCCCACACCGGGGTGCACAAAGAGCGGGTGGTCGGCCCCACGGGGAGAGGGAGGCTGCAGAAGAGAGGGAGGCCGCGCCGGTGGCCATGGGATGGGCAGCAGCGCAGGAAGCGCACCTCCCCAATACACCTGCCGCAACGGCATCACGAAGAGGTACGCCAGCCCGCCGGTGATGGCAAGAAGGAAGGCCAGGATGAAAAGGAGTCGGAGCGGGGAGAGGGCCGCCCTGGGAAGGCCGCCATCTGCCTGAAGGCGTGCCATGCCTTCGTGGAGTGTGTGTCAATGTGTGGAGATGGGCTGGAC